AAACGCAGGTATTTAAAATACATGAATATAAAGTTCATATAACTAATAGTGCGCAAAGGGGGCGTACAATAACTTCAAAACGGGAAAAGTGAAAGACCCCAACAGGTACATAAACTGATGAAGTTGCCCTGTGACTGCAGTTATAAGCAAAGATGAGACATCTCATCTCATACTGAACATTTAAAAATTTTTTACACCTAAAACTACAAAACAAAAAACTTTAAATAATTAATAGTTCACAAATACTATGATAAGAATATATCAGTTTATTAAACTAACATGCCATTTATACAGTGTAGATTAAATATGAAATTATCTAGGACATCGAAGAGAAAAAAGCTTCAAGGGAGGATTTATCTGTTTATTTCTTACAGACATGCAAAAATAAAAGTGAAAATATTCAATGCTGTAAAGGTGCAAAATAATCTTGATTCACGGTAATTTATGACATACTTTAAGCAAGTTAACATATTCTTTAGTTCCTCATTGTAGGTGCCCTTGATTTGTGGGTGGGAGAGCATACTGGGTCCGTGGTTCAGATCTTTTAAAGAAAATGAGCAAAAGCTACACAGATCTGGCCTATCAGGTCCACCCAGGTGGAGGTGATTTTAATGCAGCAGCCCGAAAAGTGGGTCTTTAGCTCCATTACAAACGTCTTAGTGTGGCCCCATATAGCTACACCTGTAGCTTTGTCAATTTCTTTCCCAAGATCCCAAGCCCATGTTTGCAAGATTGTATCATTTGCTTCACCCTTGTAATGCACCTTGCCGTGTTTTCCTGTTACAAGCCTATTACAATACATTATAGACATGGGTATGGTAGTGGTGGGAAAAGTGGACCTGGCCACCAAGGGCCAATGAAAATCGTGACTTTTTTTTTTTTTTGCTCACACACCCTGTGCACTGGCATAGATAGGGGCCCACTGACATTGAGAGTATACAGGGCCCAGAATTTGGTGCTACGCCCCTGAAAATAATCAATACATTTTAGAGATAAAATTTTATTTTTTAACCATGATGTCGTAACACAATGCAACAGAGCAGGGGTTTTAAATAGGACCCATGTCAGCCACCAGAGTCAGTCCACTCTCTCCTCAGAGACTGGTGGAGAGCAAGGGCCCAGGGAGAGGTTGAGGCGATTGCCTCGGTTGTGCTTGGCCGGCTGAGTATAGGCACTCAGAAAGCGTAGCACACCTCCTGTAGGTGCCCTGTCATAGCGTGAGCATGGCCATCTGCTCGCAGGGGGTTCTGGTCCAGAACCTTGCCAGCAGGAAGCTCATCTTTGCTGATGATGCTCCCAGTGCTCTTAGATAAGGTCTGTCTTTCTTTTCTCTTTCTTTCTTTCCTTTTCTCTCTGGAAATCAATTCAGCTATGACCTATCCCAATATCGCCATATTGTGGTTGGTGCAGTTTATCCAGAACTGCGTTCATACACATCTGTGTATTTGGTCAGCTGGCTACTTACCTACATGAATGGCTGAATACTAAGAATTTGTGTTTTATCAAAGTCACTGAGAATTCAGTGACTATGTTAAACAAAGTCTAAAACATCATTAAGCTTTGGGTATAACTCAGATATCTCCCAAGTTAGGAGGAACACCCAAAAGGCAGCCTCTGGTCTGGAGAAATGAAGCTGATGTGCAACTGCTGCGTTTGTAAATAATGAAGAGATTAAGGGCACTATTTTCCGGCAGCGCGGCGGAGGGTTGCGCACCCCGCGCAGTACTTTTTTCATCTGGCAGAGCCTAGCGCACAGTCAGTTTGATATTTTCGTACAAGGGGGAATACTTACACCGGGCTGCGCCGCTCACCAAAATACCGAAATGTGTTTGGGCACGCCTTATCGGCGCGGTGGACCTGACTTACACCGTGCCTGCACCACGATGCTGGCGAGGCATGAAAATAGAGCCCAAAGTCTGCAATACTGATAAACATTTGAACCCAGTTTAAATCTAGAAAAAGCCTTTTACTTGCAGAAACCTGAACAAATGTGCTTGAGGTGGTTTATTTTGCAGCCAAAAGTTGATCAAATTATTTTAATATCATTTAAACTACTTCTAATAAGCCCTTTAAAAATTTAAGACTTACGTCTTTCTGACTTTCTCATAGAGAGAAACCAGTCAAATCAGTCATTCTTCAAGGAAAGTCTATAAATTTAAAATTTAGATGGTTGTTGATAAAACACTGAAAAGGTTTTTTCTGCTTTTGATGAAAATTTGAAGCATTGTTCATGTTAAAGCACCTGTGAGGAACATTCAAGTTCTGTTGATTTTTACAGCCCCCTGTGGACAAATTAGTATAAATGATTTTTCTGCTGAACTCTTAAGTTAGTATTTTCTAGAGGAAAAAAGTAGTATAGTATAAAGTATAAAAGTAAAAGTATATATAGTATTAGTATGAAACTGATGATGAATTTTTGTTGTGGCAAGAAAAAAGGTAATTATGGCTTTAGTTACCTAATAATACACGTATCCCTGCCTATGTTTGCAGGCTTTATGAATAAATCTACACTGCATAGATCATTGTTCCACTCTCTGATGGTTGTATTCAGGGCCGGCTCAATGCTGGGGCAAGAGGGGGCAAAGCCCCCTCAAACAAATGGCCTGCCCCCTCAAATCAAATTTTTAGAAGTGGAAAGTCCGCCAAAAAAGCACAAGTTTATTATTAGCCTCCGCACATCTCTCATCCCTCTGCTCCCTGCAGCTTTTATTCACACCCTGCATTTAGAGATCGCCTCCCCCGCCCCTCCCTCCCCATCCAAAAACATCTTATCACTGTTAAGTATACAAATGAGCCAAGATGCACTGACGCAGCCTGAGACTGTGGTGTCAGGTTTTCGAGACAGAGCGGGAGACTTTAAGGAAGCTGCAAAACTCTACCAAACTAGTCGTAGCGACCCGTGAGATAATTAATAATTAGCAACAACTAAAACAAAAGTTAATATAACATCCATACATATTTGTGCAGCCAACTGGTAAATACGCTGCTGTTTTTTACCCAGTGGGAGCGTTTCTCAAATCACAAGCACAGAGTAGAAACTGTCCACTGCGTCAGAGTGGAGAGAAAGGAGAGTGGAATGGAGAGAAAGTGGGAGATTTTAGTTATTAAGTTGCTAATAAATGAATAAAAAACCCAAAAGATTAGAAAAAAAGAAAACTGTTATGTGTGTTATAGCCTATATCTGCTCTAAATTTGTTGTGTTCTAAATTTGTTTAATAACTTTGAGAAAATGTTTAGTGTTGCTGTACAGTGGAGTGGAGAGTGAAGAGAGCGAATAGTGAGGTGGAGAAAATGTTCTGCCCTTTATCTGTTGTGTTTTGCAAATTTGAGAACTTGTGATACTTGGTGATTTCTTTTCATATGACTACTGTTCAGTGTTGTAAATATTGATTATAGCGACAAGTCTTTCCTTTAGTTGTGAGTGAAAGTCAGGGCACCCCTTTAAAAAAGCATAGTTTATTTATTAAAAAATTAACCTTGATATTTATAGTCTCTCTGTTAAATAGGAAAAAAGACAATATTATCAGAAATCATTAATGCACAGTTACTTTTTATTTTATAAAAATTACAAAAATAAAAATCATCTTTTTGGCATGTGCAAATGTCAGGGCACCCTGAGAGCTTTAAAGTGTCTGATCTTTAATGATTCTTTTTAGAAGCTCATACTGCGTCCGAATTGCCTGCTCGCATACTACATATTACTGCTTTTCCATTACTTTTGGCCTTCATTCACTCACGTGGTGATCGTTTGTTCAATGAGATCTGCCTGATTACTGCAGCTGTGCAGTTTAATGATGGAATAAGTGAGCTTTACCTCCATGATGTCGCCATATATTTGCTCATAAAATGATTACTTGGACAAATATGACACCGTGACATGACAAAGAGATACAACTGCACATTTTTAGGACAGTGTGTGAAGTTACATGAGACTTACATCTGTACTGCTGCGGTCCTGTCTGCTACTGCTGCTCCGCCATGGTGCGCGCTGCTGTGGCCAGCCGGCGTTCGCGACGCATCTAAATAGGCAGCAGCTGGTGGCGCTAGCATCACATGCGCTTCTACAACTTTTAAGAGGACGAAGAAGAAGCCCGCGGTGCATTTTGGGTCAGTAGCATGCCTGTAGAATGCACCGCGACCATACTACAATGTGGGCGTGTCTAATATCTGAAGTAGTATCTGAAGTAGCATGCTACTTGCTCTGGTGGCCAATTCGGACATGCTACATATTACTTCGACTACTACTTCGACTACTACTTGGCAATTCGGACGCAGCATCTGACTTTCACCAGCTCATTAGTCCTGAAGCAGGTGTCAACAATTCTCATCAGGGAGTGCCAGCTGGTGTCAATTTAAGGGGTTTCAACTCCACAAACCTTGTGCATTCATCCAGCAACCATGGGTTCGTCTAAGAAGCTGTGTAAGACAGAAAAAATGAAAGTTATTGATGCCCACAATGCAGGGGAGGGCTACAAGAAGATAGCAAAGCATTTCCAGCTTGCAGTTTCCACAGTGCGAGGTGTAATTAAGAGATAGCAGGTATGGGGAACTGTGGAGGTCAAGATGAGATCTGGAAGACTAAGTAAAATCTCAGAGAGAACAGCCCGTTTGCTGGTCAGGAAAGTAAATCAAAACCCACATTTGACTTCAAAAGACCTGCAAGAAAATTTAGCAGACGCAGGAGTGGTGGTGGACCCTTCCACTTTGCGGTGATGTTTGAACAAAGAAGACCTTCATGGAAGAGTCTGCAGAAGAAAACCTTTTCTGCATCCTCATCATAAAATACAATGACAAAAATATGCAACAGAACATCTAGAGAAGCCTGATGACTTCTGGGAACAAGTGCTGTGGACTGATTAAGTTAAAATAGAACTCTTCGGCCACAATAAGCAAAGGTATGTTTGGAGAAAAAAAGGAACAGCTTTTCATGAAAAGAACACCTTGCCAACTGTAAAATATGGGGGTGGATCCATCATGCTTTGGGGTTGTGTTGCAGCCAATGGGACAGGAAACATTGCTTGAGTGGAGGCAAGAATGGATTCCATTAAATACCAGCAAATTCTGGAGGCAAATATCACAGGATCTGTAAAAAGCTGAAGCTGAAAAGAGGATGGTTTCTACAGCAGGATAATGATCCTAAACATACCTCTAAATCCATCATGGACTACCTCAAGAAATGCAAGCTGAAGGTTTTGGAATGGCCTTCACAGTCTCCAGACTTAAACATCACTGAAAATCTGTGGGTTGTTCTTAAAGGAGCTGTGCATGCAAGACGACCCAAGAATATTGCAGAACTGGAAGCCTTTTGCAAGGAAGAATGAGGGAAAATCCCAAAGGATAGAATCCAGAGACTTGTAGTTGGCTATAAAAAGCATTTACAAGCTGTGATATCTGCCAAGTACTGAAGGTACTGATGCTGAAGGGTGCCCTGACATTTGCACATGCCAAAAAGATGATTTTTATTTTTGTAATCTTGTACTTTTTATAAAATAAAAAGTAACTGTGCATTAATGATTTCTGATAATATTGTCTTTTTTTCTATTTACCAGAGAGACTATAAATATCAAGGTTAATTTTTTAATAAATGAACTATGCTTTTTTTAAAGGGGTGCCCTGACTTTCACTTACAACTGTAGGTTGAAATGTATTTGAGAATTAGGCCATCCACGCAAAATAATTGCTATGTTGTTGGTTGTTAAAATTTGGATGAAAGATATTTTTATTTTTTCATTTTTATTTTTCAGTTTTCCGCCTGAGGGATTGCCACGTTATTGTGGTCAGGGGGTTTGCGTGCCTCAATGATCCTAAGAGCTATACCCGCAGGAGCTTTACTAGCTAAACCCACAGGATCTGGAACGGCTCCCCTACGCTCTGGACCGGCAGACGGATCAGATCCGCAAGCCTACAGCACCCACCAGATCCGATCCGCCACCACCGTCAGAGGAGAAAGCGCTCGCGAGATTCACGAGTTCTCGCGTGTTTCCCCGGGAGTCATAGAATGAGATCCGCTGACTGGTGTATATAAACGGCGGTGTAAATAAAAACCCACATCCCACAACCCCAGCCTCTCCTATTATCAAGTTAACAACAGTTCAATGTATTGACTTTATTTTATTTTGAAAATTAACCAAGTATTTTACGCTGTAACAGCATACAACGTCCACTGCTGCTCGTGCTGCGCTGCACTGAATTGATGTGCCATGCTCCGGCATCAGGCAAAAATAGTCTTGCCGATCTGATCCGGCCACCGGAGCCAATCCGAAGTGGAGCTGGACACTGGACAGATTCTGGAATGACTCACATTGATTATAATGCTTGCAGATTTGATCCGCCAGTTGTGCCGGAGTGGAGCCGTTCCGGACCCTGTGGGTTTTGCCCGTTAATCTTCAGGTGGGACACCCAAGTTGGACTGTTCTTATGGTAGAGGCCTGACAGAGTGCAATCCCTGTTGAGAGCTGGACACACAACTAATAACCCATGCAGTGAAGAAAACACGAACAGTGTTAAAAATCTGTTAAAAAAAAAAAAAAATGGCCCTCCTCACATTTCTGACTGCCCCCCTCATTTGTGCATTCCTAGAACCGGCCCTGGTTGTATTTGATGAAATGTAAACCGTTTAATAACCAAACTTCTAAGATTTAAATATATAAAGTCAACATTCAAATGATGTAAAAATGTTAAAGAAGTTTTTTAGGCTCCTGTTTTGTCCTGTTTATTGTTTATTTCGCAGCGTGAATCCTGTCAAGCGCTGCTGAGGGAAACAAAATCCGGTATACCCTCCTTCGTGGTGCATTCTGGGTATTTATGTAAAACCAACATGGCGGCCGCCTGCGCTAGATCGCTGTGTAAGGTCGGCCGAACCATCTCTGAGTCTCCAGCCGCCCGTCGGACCGGTACCATGTCCTACCTGCTGGGAAGTACGGGCGCATGCGGGTCCAGGAGGGCGTACGGTACCGGTGGGTCCGGGTTCCGTTCCGTTTTGCTCTCCTCTGTGCGGGGAGCAGCAACCGGACGGGGAGGCAGGGTGCTGAGTTGCGCGTTCCTGCTCGGTGGAGGTCTAGGTCTGTACCAGACTGTGAAGTATAGCGTCCAGCAGCATCTGGCCGAGGAGGAGCGAAAGGTGAGTGTCCGGTCTGAGGGTTCCGGGACACAGAGGCAGACACAGGTGAAAAGGGCCGTTTCCACTCACTGCGGTTACCTAACGGTGTCACCTGGAGAACCAATGGAGTCACCTGAAGACCCTGTTCATTCACTACCCTACTAAACCCAATTCCATTGAAGTTGGGAAATTGTGATAAACGTAAATAAAAACAGACTATAATGATTTGCAAATCCTTTTCAACCTATATTCAATTAAATACACTACAAAGACAAGATATTTAATGTTAAAACTCAAACTTTTTTTTCTCTTTTTTTTTTTTTTACAAATAATAATTAACTCAGAAATTCATGGCTGCAACATGTGCCAAAGAAGTTGGGAAAGGTGGCAATGAATACTGAGAAATTTGAAGAATGCTCATCAAACACCTATTTGGAACATCTCACAAGTGAGCAGGCTGATTGGGAACAGGTGTGTGCCATGATTGGGTATAAAAGCAGCTTCCCCAAAAATTCTCAGTCATTCACAAATAAGGATGGGGCGAGGTTCACCACTTTGTGAACAACTGCGTGAGCAAATAGTTGAACAGTTTAAGAACAACGTTTCTCAAAGTACAATTGCAAGGAATTTAGGGATTTCAACATCTTCGGTCCATAATATCATCAAAAGGTTCAGGGAATCTGGAGAAATCTCTGCACGTAAGCGGTACGGCCGGAAACCAACATTGAATGCCTATGACCTTCAATCCCTCAGGCAGCAGTGTGTCAAAAACTGACATCAATGTGTGAAGGATATCACCACATGGGCTTAGGAACACTTCAGAAAAACACTGTCACTCATACAGTTTGTCGCTTTATCTGTAAGTGCAAGTTAAAACTCTGCTATGCAACGCGAAAGTCATTTATCAACAACATCCAGAAACGCTGCCTGCCTCTCTGAGATGGACTGATGCAACGTGGAAAAGTGTTCTGTGGTCTGACGAGTCCACATTTCAAATTGTTTTTGGAAATAGTGGACTTTGTGTCCTCTGGGCCAAAGAGGAAAAGAACCATCCACTGTTATCGACGCAAAGTTCAAAAGCCAGCATCTGTGATGGTATGGGGTGCATTAGTGCCCAAGGCATAGGTAACTAACTCTGTGAAGGCAAAATTAATGCTGAAAGGTACATACAGGTTTTGGAGCATCATATGCTGCCATCCAAGCAGCATCTTTTTCATGGATGCCCCTGCTTATTTCAGCAAGACAATGCCAAGCCACATTCTGCACATATTACAACAGTGTGGCTTCGTAGTAAAAGAGTGCAGGTACTCGACTGGCCTGCCTGCAGTCCAGACCTGTCTCCCATTGAAAATGTGTGGAGCATTATGAAGCGTAAAATACGACAACGGAGACCCCGGACTGTTGTACAACTGAAGCTGTACATCAAGCAAGAATGGGAAAGAATTCCACCCTTAAAGCTTCAACAATCAGTCTCTTCAGTTCCCAAATGTTTATTGAGTGTTGTTAGAAGGAAAGGTGATGTAACACAGTGGTAAACATGCCCCTGTCCCAACTTCTTTGTCACGTGTTGCAGCCATGAAATTCTGAGTTAATTATTATTTGAAAAAAAAAAAAAATCAGTTTATGAGTTTGAACATTAAATATCTAGTCTTTGTAGTGTGTTAAATTGAATATAGGTTGAAAAGGATTTGCAAATAATTGTATTGTTTTTATTTATGTTTTTCACAATTTCCCAACTTCAATGGAATCAGAGGTAACTGTGCTCCTCTTTTGAACCAGGTACTCTACATTTGATCTCAAAACTGAACCGTGTTGGATTATTGAGGGTCAATTTGTGAATCATGATAAAAATAAAGTTTACTATCACATCTAGGTGCATCATTAAATATTAAGCAGATAAATGCATTAATAATAATTCAGTAATATAATTAATTAATTTAACCAGGAAAACGTCAATGAGAGTGAAGATCTCTTTCCTGGCAAAAAAAAAAAAAACAGCAGCAGCCGCCTACAAAGTTACAGACACACAGTTACATAATTCAAATGCTATCATCCTCCATCATTTGAAAATAATCCATCAAAGCATCTACAGCCTGATGTGTCCTCTTCCAATCTGCCTTTAACATCATCTATAGAGACCAACTCCATCAGACCCTCCAACAAATCATGTGTTAGTCAGCCTTTCTTTACTGATCTGTTATAGTGGCTTTGGTTTCCCTGTTGTCTCCTTTCAGAGCTCAAGTGGAGGTCTGAAGCTGACTCTGTATCAGTATAAGACCTGTCCATTCTGTAGCAAAGTCAGAGCCTTTTTGGACTACCACGGGCTGCCATACGAGGTCGTGGAGGTGAACCCAGTGATGAGGCAGGAGATCAAGTGGTCAGCGTACAGAAAAGTTCCCATCCTAATGGTGGATGGAGAAGTGGTGAGACGCTCCAACCTTAGCTCCATAAGATCTGTGGTGTAGTAAAAACATACATGTCATTGTATGGAACCACCAGTTTGAACATTTTTTAACTCCGATGAGTCTCTCTCTCTCTTTCTCTCTCTCCTTCTCTCTCAATTCTCACATCTCTCTGTCTCTATCTCTCCCTGTTAAGATTTACAAATCTGCTAAATGTGTTTGTTTCTTCATTTTCTTCGAGATAACTTTCAATAACCCCTTACTGTCTTTTTTTCTGTTTCAGCAACTTAACGACTCATCTGTCATTATCAGCTCTCTGAAGACGTATCTAATCAGCAAGTGAGTTAAACTTCTCTCATGTGGTATAAAATGTATATATATATATTTTTTTTTTGTTTGAAAGAAACAATGAAAAAAGGTCTGTATGAATCAGTAATAATATCTAAATATTTTTTAAAACATCAGCAAACTCTAATATTGTGAATTGCCTTTAAAATATCTGAACGAACTTGAACTTATTCAATACTTTTTGGTTACCACTCTGAAATAATTTTGGTTATTGTGTAACAGGCTCAAAAGTTAACACTAAAACATCACAAATGTTGATTTAACCTTTGACTGATATTCAGAAAGTGGATCTCAGTCTACTCTTAAAGCTAAGGTAATACAAAGAGCAGGATCCAGCAAAAATCAGATTTTTAAATTGAGCTTTTTATTTATGTTTATATCGTTTATCTGACAGGGGTGATGTAAATTACACAGTACAACGTTTGCATGTTACAAACAAGCTATAGTGAATGATATTTGGCATACAAACTCCAGCTTTAGATGGTCTCCAGCTCCTGCCCACAGCACTGCTTAAGGTTAATGAAAAGGATAAAAATAATGAATGCTTTAAAATAACCAGCTGGATTACCAATAGTAAGAGAAATCAGTTTGGAATAAAAGACAGTGAACAGGCACCCTGTCTGTCCTGATAATTCCCCAGTTGGTCTCTCTGACCCAGAAAGGTAACAAAAGATCAAGAAAAGAAAATCAACTGTGAATGTTGAAATTTTGTTGCACTGTCTCTTTAAATGTGAGGTTTTGTCTCACAGGGAGAAAAGCGTACCAGACATCCTCCGCTGTTATCCAGAGCTCAAATCTAAGAATGACAGCGGGAAGGAGGTGACCGAGTACTTCAACAAGTATTGGGTGATGCTGAGCGAGGCTGAGATCACCACGCTCTACCCCGAAAAGGGGATGCAGAAGTGAGTGGCTGCTGGCACTCAAAGCACCCTCACCTTCAGTCTGACTTTGTTGAAGAGTAATCTTCTCTGTCAGGGTGATGTCAGTGTTTCTTTGTATGCTCTTAGGGAGGAGATGAAGTGGCGTCAGTGGGCTGATGATTGGCTTGTCCATCTTGTATCTCCCAACGTTTACCGAACCACTGGCGAGGCCCTTGCCTCTTTCGACTACATCGTTCGTGAGGGAAAGTTTGGCACTTATGAAGGTTTCTTTGCCAAATACGTGGGAGCTGCAGCCATGTTCATCATCTCCAAGAGGCTGAAGAGTCGGTGAGTTTCACAGGAGGATTTTCAGCTTGAGAGGAGCCGTGTGCTCTGTTCTGTGAGGAAATGTTTCTTCAAGATCAGAAGTCTTCCTGTGATGATTAATTTTTATGACCTTTGTTTGAAAACAGACACAACCTTCAGGATGATGTTAGGCAGGATCTGTACAAAGCTGTAAACGACTGGGTGGCAGCCATCGGCAAGAAGAGGAAGTTCATGGGTGGAGACAAACCCAACCTGGCAGACCTGGTAAAGACACTGCACTATATTCATTCACTGTTTTACTGTAGCCTCAGTTATCCTCAAGGAGAAAAGACATATAAAACACAACATGAGTAACTCTTAAAACTTAGAACTTTATTGATGGTAACTATGAATGGTAATGAGTTCAAAAGATATACAACCCAATCTGGCATACTTCAGGGATCCATGTTTGGGCTGTTACTGTTTCTTATTAACATAAACTACACTGCTTCAGTGATAAATATTTCAATTCTGTTGCTTTTTGCAGACGCTAGGTTAAAAAAAACACCTTGCACGCTGCAGGACTCCAAATTTTGCAGATGACAGCAGATTTTTTATCTTTAACTGGACTCTGCAACTCTCTCAGGGCTGGGCGATATGAGAAAAAGTTTATTTTTTTCATATCAGTCGATGTCAATATATATCGCAATATAAAAAATGACATTTAACAGTGCTTATTGGTGGCATGCCTTTTACAATACAATAAGCTACTGCATCTGTGAGGTCTGTGTGTCTCTTTGACGTTTTGTCGTAAGGCGTTGCGTTTGAGACATGGCAGAATGCCTGTTAGAAAGCCCATGTTGTTTAGGTGTTTTCAAGTAAATACCGTTGTTATAGTGTTATATAATATATAGTGAGTTTTCATTTGTCCTACGCTTTGAACGCACCATAGGCGTTCCGATGTGCTTGAACGCACCACATCTGTGTGTGAGATGCCGCAGCTTTGAAAGTTTAGTTTTCCTCCTCGTGCAGCAGAGGATAGTTAGTAAATTTCCTCTTACCCGTTTTTACCCAATAGTCACCGTCACATCCTGGGTTTATTGTGTGTAAATGCCAGAGGTGAGTTTCACTGACCAAGTTGGATGCCATATTGTTGAATGTATTGTTTACCGTTAATATGGCTAATGCTATCTCATGCTGGTGAGCTGTACTGATTGTTGCTTTGTATCTTTATCAGCAGAACCACAATCAAATAAATCCACCACTAAACTGGACATCTGTATCTGTGTATTTTAACGTGGACACACGCCATACACTTAGCTGCTCTAAGCCCAGCAAAATCCTGGAGAACGCCCTTTTCTCGTTTTTAACAGAGGTGGGAATTGTGAAGTCAGCAAGTCATCTCCATGCCATGTATTTGTTCTGCTCTGTCACTGAACCAGCTGCTTCCAATGAGCAGCCAGGAAGGTGAGCTCATTAGTAAAGGCACCTGGTTCAGTAACTGAGCAGAACAAATACCTGGCATGGAGATGACTTGCTGACTTCACAATTCTCACCTCTACTTTTTAATGCTGATTATTAAAAAAGCATATCAACCATGTTTTATATTGATATCAAGGAAAATTAATTTTCGATATATATCGTTATAGTTTTATCGTCCAGCACTTAACTCTCTCATCACAAACTTAAATCAAGATCTTGCTAGTTTCTTTACATGATTTCAATCGTCATCTCCAAATATCAAAAAGTCAAATTTTATTCTTTGCAGGGAAAAGAAAATGAACTAGTCAGGAAATTATTTTGTATTAATTCCATATTGGTAATGTCAACATGTGTTTTGTGTATCTAGACTGAGCGTAAACCCTGAGAACAGGGTTGATTTGCCTGCAAAAAGGTCCCTGTGAACTACTTTTGTTTAACGTCAATAAAGTTTAATTAATCCTTTTTTATCATTCTGTAATGTTGTTTGGGCAAGTACCTTTCCAACTTACCTCCATAAAACACACCACCTTCAGACTCATTTTGTTAGATCAGCTACTTTTTCCTGATCTGATGACCTCTTTTTCAGTTTTATTACTGCAGAAGTTGAATGAACAAAAATAAAGATCAAACGTGTTCTGAGGCTTTAACAACTGAATTTGTCTTTTGTCTTGCTGTCATTTACATCAGGGTATTGTGTCTCTGTTGTAAAGTGAACCATCAGAGGGTTTTAAAGGTGACCCTTTTTGTTTTTTCAGGCGGTGTTTGGCGTCCTCAGAGTAATGGAGGGCCTGCAGGCATTTGACGACATGATGGAGAATACCAAAGTCAAATACTGGTACAGACGCATGGAAAGAGCTACGGCCAATCACGAAGGACAAAACTGAGGCTGGACTGAGATGAACAGGTGAAGGAGACCACCGACAGAGACTGGCAGCGATCAGGACCAGCGTCAGGAAGAAAGGAATTTTGAAAATACTCTGAGAAATTTGGTCATGTTTCATTTCCTGCAGAGGAAAGGAGGTCAGACTCAGAGTTTCACTCTTTAATTTACACATTTAATGACCAAACTGCCCCAAAAGGTTCCCATTAAATCTGCCTTTCGTGTTTTGACATGTTTACTGACCTCTAGTGGTGAACAGAGGGATCTGCAGCATTTATTTCCTCTTCAGTATGGCTACAATTTCACTGTGCAAACCCAATAAATGAGGTTATCCTTCATGCTTTTTCAATCCCACAAAATTTCTGCAAATATTTGTTAGATTTCTTCATAGGAAGTTACTCAAACAGATTGTGCAGATCTGGAGTCTTTAAATGTTTTTTTTTTTTTCTTTTAACCTTTGTCCAGTCTTCAAATGTGTCACAGAAGTCACATACAACACTGTGTACATCAAGATAATCTTGAGTTCCCCATTCATGGAATTCGGCCAAACAAAAAAAGACAGATCTGGGTCTTTTTTGTCTAATTTGGCTCCAGATATTTTCCAAAAATGAAGTTTTAGCTCCACACTTTTCATATTTTCGGATTTTGCTGCAATTGATTTAAAATTCGGCTGATGGCTGATGTGCAATTCAATAAATCCCAAATTGAGACCCACTCTGTTTCAACGGTTCATTACTTCACCTCCCCATTTGATGATTTGTAAGCTGATGCATTCATATTTTTGAAGCCTTGTCCCTTGATTTTCTTCTCAATTCAGTATTTGTGAACGCTCACCTGCTCCAGGTGCTGTGAAAGCAGGTTTCCTTATTTATTTTAGAGTGATTTTTCTTTGTATCTAATGCAGGATCGGTCTGGCTCCCATCGGTGTTCTCTTTGCGGATGAATTAAATAAGAATAGAATACTGTAAACTGGTGAGCTGCCAGTTTGAATGTTCCTAATATGCAAACTGCAGATTGACTTCTGATTTAAATGTATTCAAACCAACTTAATGTGCATAGTTGTAAAAAGGTAAAATAAAAAAATCTGACGTGGTTTTTTGTTCCAGATTTATGTCTCACTATTTCTGCACTGCTCCAAATAACAACAGGAACACTGACGGTACACATCCTAGATCTGGATTCATTAAATCCTGTTAAAAATTTCTATTAATTACTTCCTGTGATTTGTTGAGGTCAAAATAATGCAAGAATGATCAATGGAAACCAAAATCCTTAACCCATTGGGGACTTGATTCAGAATCAGACTCCAAACCAAACTGGAAATTGAGCTCACAGGCTGATCCAACTTCTGTGACTCTCATCAAGATCTCTCATGATGGGGTTCAGAAGTGTGTATGGCCTCTGTACCGAGAAGCACAGCAAACTTGATGGCTGCAGATACCTCCTTATGCTACTGTGAGTGAACAAGGGCACTGAAAAAAGCTAAACTAGCCAAGAATCATCCTGAAAGGATGAGGAGAGGGAGGTGGTCTGATACCTCCACCTGTAAATCCACTCCTTAATCAGGGCTCTGTAGTTAACTGCCTATCCTATAGTAGTCTGTTCCATTAATACAACAGCAGGTGAAAGTGATTCATGGTCATAATAACTGTCTAACTGGAGAGGTCCATATACCTTAAGACTGACCTGGAATTACATTGTGATGATGATTGTGTATTCCCTTTTTTCCAGACTTTTCCTTTTTAATCAGAATATTGCTGTAACCTAAAATGTAACCTTTGTTTAACATAAACATTAAACTTACTCAAAATCAGCTTTTATTTGTGAATCTGTGTTGTATGACAGACCCTCTGGAGGTTAGTCAGACCCACAAACACCGAGATTAACCCGATATGTGCCTGTGGGTGCCCTTGTTCACTCACAGAAATGTGAAGAGATGAAGCTGCAGATTTTCTTACAAAAAAAAAAATGATATCCTCCTCTGTCAATAATGATAGACTGCTCTGAAAGACTGAACATTAGCGGGTCAGAAACACAGAACGAACCATGACCACAGACTACAATAAACTGCAGATTGACGAGTTTTTGTTTCGGATGTTTTCTTTATGGATGAAGATGCAGATTAAACACAATTTAAATTTCAAACACACTTTTAAACTGACAGATTCAACTAAAAGCATGTTTCTGAAACTGACTGATGCAGGTTAGCAGTTTTGATTTTTCTGAGGAAAAAAAAAACACCTTTCACTTCCCTGACCCACAAATTCATCAGACTCCACACAGTGGACTTATTAAAAAATAAATAAAAGTTCTGATCAACAAACTTTGGATTGAAACAGCAGCTGTCTAGCGCTTCTAAAATCACACAATCCATCAGAGAGGAAACCGTTTTTCTGAAGAGCTGGACAGAGAGTTCGCTGACTGCAGACACACTGAAGGACAGAGGATTCAGCTGAAGGCACTTTGCACACAGGAGACATGAGCCCCATCTTCATCCCCATTGTCTGCTGTGATTTTACATGTTATTTATGACCTGTATTATGAAGAGACTAACAGACACATGTTCAACGAAATCCAGAGAAGCAGGTGAGCTGACACTGGGAGGACGGATATCTAAGAATTGCTCCCTTCATTATTTAGAGTAAATATGTGAGAAGATATGGAGGCTTGGCTCTGCCTATCTGAGGGTAGAGGATCCTGTTTGTTAAAATCATATTAGTTTTCCACGAAATAACAAACATAATGGAACACAAACACAAAACCTGCTTTAAATGAACAATTTCAGATAGTGGATTTTAGTTTCTATTCTTAATAAGTTAAAAACTCTGCTTTAAGTCTCATTTTGAAGGACAAGAGGTTATTGTGTTTGGATGCATAAAGTCATTAATTACAAGAGTATTTTGAGATTCATTTTCTTTCTTTCTTTTAATACTTAAAGACACTCAGCCTTTATTTAGAGCTACTGAGTCACGATTTTGAGAAACCAAATACTTGATAATAATAAACAACTCATGGTTTTAAGAGTCCCCCACAGTTTGACCATTATTAAGATACAAAACTGAGACAGTAGGAGATGACTTTGGGTACTTGAGTCGTTTTGAGCTAAAAAGTCCAAATGTGTGCCTTTAAAACCTCAAACATGACTCTGTTATTGTTGGACTACAATTGAAAATATTGGGTTTTTCTCAAATGGCTTCTTGACTTTTCTAACAAAATCATTTAATTGTTGACAAAGATGTTTATTATTAAGTAACTCTGCTTCAGGCCGGAGTAACCAAAGAAAGTAATGAAGTGATTAATGCTCTGTTTGTTGTATGAAGTACTGAGGGAGAAGATTCAAAATGATTCTTTTGAGTTGAAAAGTCTTGAAATGATGTGAATAAGTCATTATTGTCATTAACTTGGTCTGGAAGTCTCTGATCATGATAAATTGCATGTTTTCCCTGTGATGTCGGAATTGAGCCTCCATGATATCTCATTTGAAGCTGTTTTTCGATCAGCTGGATTACTGTATTCTGTCCTTCAGGCGTCTTGTCAGGTTTCAGATTCTTTCCTCTCAGCCAAATGTCAGACATCTCTGATCTCTCCAACCACATAGGATACTGTTTCTTAGCATCAGCACCCCCACCCTCTCTGCATCATTCAGGTCTTGACAGCTTTATGCAGAAGATCCAACATGGCACACTCCTCCATCACGTCCTCCAGAAGTTGGCGCTCAGTTGGCCTTTGGGTGGACTGATCTGTCGGTTCTGCAGAGACGTCTGCAAGAGGGAAGGAAAAAAAAAGAGATGTAGTAACACTGAGATCGCAAAAAAAAAATCAACACTTGACTTATTTTAACTTTTGTTGTAAATAAAAAGCAACTTCTCCTCTTTTTCTTATTCTGGTCGGTTTTTTGTCTTTCAACACTTTTCCATCGGCTGTTTTGAACTTTTCTTGAAACAGCTGTTGCCATGCCATCAGCCCTAATAGTACGAAGCATGACTGCATCAGCACAGAACACAGGAAACCTTAAGATTAACTTTATTAACATTGTTTAAGACCTGACAGTTAAATCTGAGAATGATCATGTTTTTTTGTTCTTTTTTTATATGTTTAATTGACAGAGACAAATGCATGAGACATTGCTCATGGAGTATACCAGGTTGATGTCATGCATCAAAGTTTCTGGCCATGGCTGATTTGCAGCCCCGGTTCCCGGTTAGGCGTCAATAGATGAGAACAGAAATTATGAGCAGGGGTTTGCGGGCTGCTGTGTCTTGTGTACTTCATCACAAGACATTTCTGTGACTATTTCAGAAGTCCACATAAATTTGTCCTTCTCAGCTGCAACGGCCTTCGAGTTGAGATGAAATGTTTTTTTTTTTTTTTACTGACCAACACAAGGTCATGAAGAAAACACTCCCCACATCTGCTGGTTTTAGAGAGCTCACACGTCAAACTGGCGTAATAATGAATAAAAAGTGTCTTCTTCAGTCAGTGCTGTTACACACCTGCAGAAACTGTTTGAGTCTGATGACGGAGCCCATCTGTCCTGAGCTGGTCACGGCTTCGATCCTACAGATACCAAAAGCACACAGACTTAACACCTCAGACAGGTTTAAACTACAAATGAGTTTGACATGTTGGTAACTATGGCACCCTTGAACCTGAGGACAGGTGAGTGTACCTGGGGAAATATTCCTCCTTCAGAAGCAGGATGAGTTTCCAGAACTGAGACTGATACTGTTTCACCAAAGCGTTCCCACATACCTGAAGAGACACACAAAGACGACGTTACACACACACACACGCACATGCACAAACTTTTTGTTGCTCATCTGTAAGTGTCTTATTTTCCCCTGCCTGTGTTAAGCCCCTCGTCTAACCCATGGGTTTGTTTCTAACTCTGTAACTAATGTTTTTTCTCTATGTTGAAGCAGCCTTCAGATCAAACGCTGACAGACTCACCTCCAGAAAGTCAAACAGCAGAGTTGCTGTGATGTCAGCAATCGGCTCCATATTGAGCATCTGAGCCAACCATCGCCAGCCATGACTCAGGCCATGAGGAGACTGAAAAACATTGTGTCAACATTGTCTTATAATTTCATATAACACACCTGTGAACAAATAATATTAAAAACCAGGAAAGAAGGAACAAGGACATGAAAGAAAATGTCTACTAATGAGGGGGATACAATTCGAAGTTTGATGTTCACTGAGGATTGTTTTTGCCTGTTTCTATTTTCTGAGGTTCATATTTTTAAAAAGTTCAATAAACTTTCAAGTCTGTATTCTGCAAATCTGAAAAGAGAGTCATTTGTTCAGCAGTTTCTCCTTGTGACAGGATTTTTCTTAAACTGATAAAAAAGGACTCCAGACATTTAAATTGCAGAACATGAGTAGTACTTCATTTCTTGATAGATTCTCAAAATCAAACCAGAAGGCAGCAAAGATTGTATGTTTATAATATCACATGGATGGAGCTCTCTGTAATAATAATGACAGCGAGCTGCTTTTTACCCCCTGTTTGGAGCCATAGGGCCACTTGAGCTGGATGATGGCAGCATAGAGGCGTATCATCCCTGACATCCTCTTCAGAAAACTGTCCTGACCTTCAACCCCGGCGTCGTCCACACGATAACCAAGAATCCTGAAGAAATGAAAGCAGGACACTTTTACAGCCTCAGCACTTTCACTTCTGTGACTAATTCGACTAATTTGATAATGTCAAAGTGTCTCTCTGACCTCTGGTACTCATCCACAGATGTGCCCTCCTTCATTGGTGGGTAGTGGGGGACAGCGTACGGGCATTTTTTGTGTAGGTGAGCGAGGAGGAAGTCTCCCACTCGAGGGTGCAGCTCCCAAATACCTGAAGCCACGACAGCGATGGGGAACGCAGCTTCATGATGAGATGCCACCTCCTCTTCTCCTTGTTTCTGCAGAGGCGGCAGTGCCTTATATTACACTCTCATAAACCAAAGTCCATCCAAAGTCACACTATTTACCTCGTAAATCCGTAAGAATCTCTGATCTGTGATCTCAGTCACAGAGTTGATTTAAAGAATTTCTTCTGCAGACTCACCACAAACTTCTCAGCCAGTTTGTAGCAGACAAAGTCGAGGCCCTGAGGATGCTGTGACGTGGAGACGGACTTTCCTCCCGACATCACTGCACGGCCCGACAGCAGCTTATCAATCTTGTCAAAGATTTCTCTGAGCTGTGATCCAGAGTTGCTGGAGATCTGACTGACGGGGATGCTGGCGGCTTTCTGGAGCTCCAACTTTAACTTCTTCGTCTGAGTGCAGAGCAGAAAAAACTGTTCAAACATGTTCAACATCAATATGTTTCATTATGAAAAAAAGTGACTTTGACGCCTTTGTGCCTTGTGTCCCTTTTGGTTGTAAATCAGTGTCATTTTTTTTTTTCGTCCAGGACCTTTGTGCAGTTGACTTTTCCTAAAATAAAAAGTAATGATCCACAAACCCTTGACCTCAGGTTTGTTAGGCTTCATCACTAACCATTACTCACCTGTGTGTCTTTGGGGGTGTTGAGTTGTTCAAAAGACTGAGCGCACTGAGCAGCGGACTCCTGCAGCTCCTTGAACCACTTCAGCGTGCTGTCTTCAGCGCTGTTCTGCAGACCTGAGCCACGATCAAAATTGTCAGATGATTTCAAGTACTCACAATATTCTGTACAGAGTCTGGATGACAGAATAACAGCAGACACACAAAATGAAATATGAAACATGCACAGCGACTGTCTCTCACCTTTCCTCTTAGCTTTCTCTTTGGCTGACTGTTCAGCCTTCTTCTGCACTTCCTGCTGCGCCTGAAGCTCTGCCTTCTTCCTGAGCTCCTCTTGTTCCTCCTGCTCTCGCTTCTTCTTCTCTTGTGCCTTCGTGACCTCCTCCTGCATCAGCCGGATCAGTGACCGCATGTCATGGAGGGCTCGCTCGGCCACGGTCATGTCCTCTACGCTGGGAAACTCCCCCTGAAGAGACACGACAGAAATTACAGTCTTTAACAATTGGGAGGAGCACACAGGAGGAGTAAAGCAGCAAAACAGACCTCCAACAGGAGCTGAACTGACCTCTGCCGTCTTCCTGATCACCTCAGACACCTGCGAGCACAGCTGGTTTCCTCGGGTGCTGAAGGAGCTGAGGCTGGCAGCAGGGAAGTCGTCTTTAGACTGTTTGGACGGGTCCAGCAGCTGGTTAAGCTGCAGAATCTCCTCCTGGATGGTGTTCAGGTTTCTGAGTCTCTCCCTGCCCTCTGCCTGCCGCTGCCGCTCAAGCTCCGCCTCCTTCAGGCGCTGCTGCTCCGCCTCCCGCAGCCGCAGGTTGAGGATCTGATAATGAGTACAGGAAAGAAAAACCTGCCAGTTAGAGTGCAGGAAGAGCCAATTTCTCATCCTAGAATCAATTATTGGCACTTTTCAGTTTGACAGAACCCCTTGGCCTAAGTAGAAATGGACTTGTTGATTGGCCAGGTTGATTCATTTGGCTGTTAAATGACATTTTCAATGATCAGCATTGGCCAATATCTGTACTCATAAGGCCTACTCAGTCACCATCACCTTCCCTAAGTGTTGACATGATTTTCCTTCATACATGACAGTAAAATGGGCTGAAATTCAAATGAATTACAAAAAAAGCGAGTAAGACCATCAGCCACAAAACTGGTGATTTTTACCAAGTAATTTTTATGCCTGGAACTTGTAGGCGGGGATACATGACCATTAAGTCATGAAGAGGCATCAGAATCACTTTATCTCTCCCACCAGGGTCCTCTCTTTGTGATGGTCTCACCTTCATTCTGTGCCGCTGCTCCTCCTTCAGTTTCTCCTGCCGTCCGATGCTCTCTTTAGTTCTACACAGCAGAAAACAACAGAAACAAAATCAGCTGAATATTGTAGAAGTGTAAAGTACCAGCAGATGTGGATCTCTGGGTGTGTCTCTTACTCTCTGTCCATCATGTCCCTCATGCTCTGGAACTCTTGTCTCTGTTTCAGCTCCATGAACTCCTCGAAACGTTTCAGCTGCTCAGACTCAGCACTCGCCACCGCTGCAACTAGCTTCTCCTGCATCTCCTGCCGCAGTTTGAGCGCCATCTGAGCCCACAGACAGTATATTCATCAGGGGAAGAAATGTTTTCTTTTCAAGATTAAAAAATGTGTCAAATCATTTGAGTAGAAGGTCTGTTGAACCGGATACTCCAACATTCCTCATCTTGTTCAGACAGCTTACTGTTCACCGTGAAACAGAACTGACACTTAATCATCCTTTCAATACCATGACTTTAATACAACTTGATTTTGCTATGACTCTAGTCCTGTGAAAAACTGATTTTGAAAATATTTTAAATCCTAGAAAAGAAAATCTTCAATCTTCAAAAATAGTTTCCCCTATGTGGCTCTAATACTTTGTTGTACCAACTGTGTTTATATCCAAAAAATACCAAGAAGACTTGGAGTTAAAGTTGTAAATATGCATTAAAATAACAATCAGATTTATGGGCAAGAATCTTGAATATTTTCTAAAACTAAATAAGTAATTTAATGAGAAACAGTTCTGAAATGTGAACTTCGTATTTTTGCTTAAACCACCAAATAACCATCTTATTTCTTCCTTTAACTCAATCAGTTTCAGTTGTTTAACTTTTTATGTCTGCAGCAGTGTGGAAATAATCTAATTCATACAAATATTTTCCAATATTTTTAAAATGAGCCGAAACCAAACAGAATAATTAAAAGTGATCTCTGCTGACCTTTGCTTTTTCACGCTGCTGCTCTGCAAATTTGAGAATCTGGCCCTCCGTCTCCATGGCTTTGGGTGACAGGAGAGAGATGGACGGGAGTGATCCAGGACTGGAAACATTGCTGACTTCTGGCTCATCATCCTTTGCATCGTCACTGAGAGCCTGAGATACAAAACATGGAGGGAATAGTTAGAGTCCGACACTCAGACAGACAAGCTAGAACTGATACTACACCAAGGGTGTAGTCTTCAGCTTTAGTCATCTTTTAGGGAGTATTAAAGGGTAAAATCCCTTTAAATGACTGAAACCTGCAGGTTTTCAGAGTCTGGACTGAACATTTAGGATCAGTATGGACTGAAACCTTTTCCACAACACCTCTTTCTAACTCTTTCAGTTCAGATGAATGTTTTCCCTTTGTAATCTTGAATAGAACAGATGAATTTAAGCCTAAAAATCATATAAAGTTTGTATAACAAGTCCTAGAGGAGAACAAGCACAACAGCATTGTCATCCCCATACGTATCTGGGGGGTATTCCAGAAAGCAGGTTCAACATACTCTGAGTCTATCCCTGAACTCTGAGTTGACTTAATCTGAGATGGGAGACTCTGAGTATCCGGTTCCAGAACAGCTGATCTGAATTAGTTCAATCAACTCTGAGTATGATAACCTGGAGTTACGCGCGTGCACAACCACTATAATAAGCCATCATCAATGGAGCCCCGATACCACGAGTCACCATGACAACAGAGCAAAAACAGTCAATTTATTTCACCCCGGTGGAGTTGGAGGTCCTTATGCTGGCCTACGGCGAGTATGAGAACATTTTTCGCCGCAAATCCAACACGGCTGCAGCAGCGAAGGAGAGAGAGACGGCATGGGAGAAAATTGCTGCGCGAGTCAATGCGTAAGTTTGAATGTACTATTCCACTGACGTAAATATAAGATCGAAGCATAGTCTATAGTTATGAATATAAGTAGGAATGAAATCTGATTTTCATTTAGGTGCAATCCAACGGGAGAAAAAAGGACTTGGAAGCAGCTCAAAATGAAACATAAAAACATAATTCAAAAAGGTAAGGCATATTTTGCTAGGCTGTGATTGCACCTCACTTTGGTTTTAATTTAATTATTTTAAATGGACTTTGGCTATTAGACAAAGTCAATATTAATTTAAACTAAAATATTAATTCAGCGGCTACTTCAAATTATAATTTAAACCCCAAACAAAATGTCGTTTTTCAACGTCCTCTCACTTAATTCTACACTTCGTGGATTAACACTTGATACAAACACATTTATATTTTAGACCTATTGAAGTCATTTAAAATGTGACGCTGTAGCCTACACCAACACTGATTAAAATAGTATTTTAAAATAAACATTGACTTCTGCTCAGCCAACAGAAAGAAGGCAGAGGCCCGAAAAACGGGTGGAGGGCCACCTCCACTACATCTGACGGAGGCTGAGGAGCTGGCCCTCAGCCAAAACAGGGGTCGCCTTGTGGCTGAAGGCATCCCCGGGGGAAGCTCATCCGAGCCTGTCACCCCCCAGGACACAAGTCCCTACAACAGATGCAAGTATACACTTATGTCTTTAAAAAATAAAACTAATATATAAATATATATAGCCTACTTTTTAACAAATATATATCCACCCACCCAACAGTTGTGGATGGTGTCATCTGCCTGCTTCAGCCTCCGACAGAAACAAACCCTGTAGCTGTAAGTCTTCCATACTCAGATTCCTCAGATGGTAGTTCAAAGTATTCTGAAACAGTATATTTTCCTGCATTACAGGAGGGGGAGGAGGAGGAGGAGGATGAAGAAACACTGTCTGCTGCCACAGGGAGAGATCCAGAGGGGCATCCTGAAGTGTGTCTTAATATATAGCTACTGGCAGTGCCCATTCATTTACATTCTAAAGTGGAATTTGGAGTTTGACATGTACACTGAATACACGGCCGGAGAAGGTTATTTAGATAAATTATACTGTTCAAAGAAAAGCGGTAGCGTTCGAAAAGAAATTCTTCTGGAAATGATAAAACGTCTAATCTGGGTTGGAAGAGTCTCTCGCGACGTAAACCGTTGCGCATTATTCTGGCTTCGATGTCGATCGGATTTTCAAGGAATGGACAATCCATGTTCAACCGCTTTCTTTGTGTGGGAGGAGACATGTAGAAACTCTGGGTCTCTTATAGTAAACCTGTCAGCGAGCAGGTTATGTTCACAGAGTAAGTTACCGCAGTAACTGACCCAGTGTTTAAGTTACCTCTCTTTCTGGAACGGATAACTCAGAGTTTCCCTCATCTCAGGGTTAACTTACTCAGAGTTTTTCACATAACCCGCTTTCTGGAATACCCCCCTGGTGTCTCTAAAAAGCTCAAGAGAATCTTCCACAAACATAACATCCCGGTTTTCAAACCTTCCATCAGTCTTAGACAGAAACTGGTTCATCTGAAGGACAAAACACAGAGGGAGAAACAGAGCCATGTGGTCTATGCAATCAAGTGCCACGAAGAGTGCAAGGACCTATACATTGAAGAGACCAAACTACCTCTCCACAAATGCATGGCACAACACAGGAAAGCCAACTCCTCAGGACAGGACTCGGCTGAGTACTTGCACCCCAAGGACATCAGCCACTCCTTTAAAGATGACCAGGTCCGCATATTGGTCAAGAAGGAGGATTGGTTTGGACGTGGGTTTGAAGAAGCCATCTACGTCAAGCTGGAGAAACCATCCCTGAACAGAGGAGGAGGCCTAAGGCACCATTTATCTCCAACACTCCCTTACACTGATGATGTCATCCTAGGCTATATACATATTTCAGCTCTGGACCCAGTCCCCTTAAAACTGAAGAAGCCTTTTGGAGAAGAGGTGAAATGTCTCCAAGATAACCCGAGAAGTCCCTTTGCCATTTTAGAAGAATTTCTGGAACAAGTCCCTGTTGTGACCCCCCTTAACAGACAGACCCTAAGAATTAGGAAAAAGAATCACAGTTCAAAAACCTTTTACCTCACTCACTCACTCACACACACACACACACACACACACACACACACACACACACACACACACACACACACACACACACACACACACACACACACACACACACACACACACACACACACACACACACACACACACAAATGAACCAGGACCCTGGTGAAGAGCCTTACCTGCTCACTGCCCTCACTGCCTGTCCTCAGAGGCAGGGCTGATAATACAACATTGCTCTTCCTGTTGATATCAGGGATCGATCCTGCTGACGACGCTGAGGCCGAGATGACATCAGAGAGGCCAGGGCTTGAGTTTCCAGAGCTGGAGCCCAGAAAGCTTCTGGAGTTCTGTGGAGGTAAAGAACCCAGATGCTCCAAAATAACCCCGGAGTGCGGGGACAAGCTGAGGACTTCTCTGCAGCCTGCCAAAATGTCCTGATAGAGCACAGACACAGAGCACGTTGAGGGTTTGACACACACACACACACACACACACACACAAGAAGATTTCTTGACTAAAAATGCAGGACTGCATTTCTTCTATCATTACATGAAAGTGGGGACACAATGCAATGTTGTCCAAACATATTTTGGTGGTTTTTTAATCACTTAAAGCCTACATTTAAAAATAAAGTAAACAGCTGGAGGAAGATCTGAGGTGAATTTCCAACAGGTTAGTAACATGACTAGGTCTAAAAAGACATTCAGAGAGGCTGAGTCTCTCGGAAAAAAGGATGGGAAGAGGTTCACCACTCTGTGAGAGACTGTGTGAGCTACAAGTTCAACAATTTCAGAATAATGTTTCTGAGTGTCAAATGTGAAAGACTGAGTTCAACATTTCATCATCCACAAAACATAACATCATTCAAAGATTCGGAGAATCTGGGGCATTCTCTGTACTAAAGGGACAAGGACCAAACCAGAGCTGGATGATCCTGATCTTCAGACCCTCAGGCAGCACTGCATTGAAAACTGACAGGACTCTGGAGTGGAAATCTCTTTTGAAACACTTGAAGATGTATGTCCCCGAAAGGTGAAATATAAATAAACTAATTTAAATAACACGACAGCACTCTAAAAAGCCCGGGCTGAAACTTTGGTCTAAGAAACGGGAGCAGACTAAACCTACTCCAACCGGATCACGACAGGTTTGTCTATTGTTAATTTACCATTGTTTCGTGTATGGTGGTGCTCTATAAATACACTCGTTTCTACCTGCTTTATACCTTCTACGTCTTACTTTAGCAAACATGCTAAACCCAGTAGGGGAACAGTTTAACCGGGACCGCTGAAAGCTAGTCAAACTCAGTTAGCTGTAACTCACCTCTCCCCTTTCGGACCAGTGCGGGTCAAACGGGATCTTTGCTTTTGTTGATTTCTTTAAGGCCTCTAAAGTTTCCCATCTTAAATTTTCAGAAGGCATAACGACAAGATACAGAAATAAAACCGAAACTACAAACTAACGCTGATGACGAGCTAAGTTTAAAAACACCGGATGGGGTTACAAATAATACAACCCGATGAGAAACAACCCGCCTGCCTGCAGCCCTGCAGCTGGGTTATATAGCTGTACATCACACCGTGGATTTACGCATTTTTCATTATCAGTTAAAATTATATGAATTACTGTAAAACTACCTCAATCGTGCAGCAAAATACTAAATCTTGAAAAATATTTTATTGTTTTTTAGACCGGCAGCTCAACTGCGAACATCATAATATTACAGCCTCCTGGGCTCTTTGTTTTTAAACCCCTTTCTATTTGTTATTTGCGTCATTTATATTAATACAAAACTTTCATGCTTAAACTTTAAATCTAACTGAAAAATAATTCAAGGTATTATTCGGCGTAAAAGCTATTCAACAGGGGGGAATTCTTGCTGTAGTTTTACCTGGTGCATGGCGCAGCGTACCCGCACGCCCTCCCTGACAACTCAATAGAAATGTTTATATTCATAGTCGTATTTTGTTCGACTTTAGTGAATGCCGAATTACAGTGCCGATGTAATGAGTGCCGATACTATTATCCAACATATTTATAAAGATGTTTATTTATTTGTAATCCACAAATGTCTAAACTGTAAGAGTTTCTATTCAGGTTTGGTTGGTGTGAGTAAAAAAAAAAGTCTTGGTATTCTGCTAGGAGGTGAACAAAAAGGTTCATGCCCATAATTGTATGCCTTTTGGTTAGCTTTGTGCTAAATATTTCTAACATTAAAAAAATTGATTTTCTGCGAAAAATTTTCAAAAAAAAAAAAAAAAAAAGGAACACAATGATAAATGAACCAAAATGTATTCATTCAAAGGAAAATAAATACATTCCATGCACTGAAGACAACGTTTCATTCAGACAACTTTTAATTTACTCCATAAACCATATAAAACTCCCTGTCAAGATCAGCAGTAGTTCAAAAACACAATGTAGCCTGACCAAAATGCTTCACGGATTTATGAAAGTCAGTCAGGATTTACAGTCAGCTGGTAAGCAAAGAATCCCCGAACACATTTCCATATGAGGTTTTCAGAAACTGAACATAGTTCTGCAGAGTGCGGTTTGTAGAGTCAGACTGCTCCAGTCTTTCCTTCATGTTCTGCAACTGAGTCTTAAGGCGGCGCTCCATCTAAGAGGGGACACAAACACAGAGAGATACACTTTTAAAATAATATGTTTGGATTTATTAGTTCTAGCAAGGGAAGAAACAGTCCTATTTCCAACATGTAAACCATGAAAGAGCTGCTGTACCTCCTCTTTGCTCCTCTGCAGCTCACTCTGCTCTGATTTTGCCCAGCTTAGTTGACTCTGCAGCTCCAACGCTTTGGACTGAGACACTCTCTCTTTGGCCAAAACCCTCTGCATGCTTTCATCCACCTGCAGAAACATTTAAAAAGTTTTTGGTCAGCTTAGAATTTTACAAACAAACAAACTTAAATGACATGTACCCAACAAATACCAAAACTGTCAGGTAGATTGGCACAGATAGAGAAATGGATGCACAGAATTGCACAGCATGAAATCAAAGTATCCTCACTTTCTACACATTAACAACAGGATTTTATATAACTAGAGCTTACAGAATTTGTTCCAAAATAAGCAGATAAATTTAGGTATGTGTGCCAATAAAGTGATAAAAGTTTGTTTAATAATTTGGGTATATAAAAGTGTGTGACCTGAGAGCCAAGTGCAGTATCTGTTATATCATGACTGCCCTGCAGCTGACAAATTAAGAGGAAAGTTTTTCAATTGTATTGCTGTTATAATCACAAAACGATACCCAGTCCACTCATACTCATTTTATGTGATGTACTGCAGGTAAAGAGTTTCAGTTGTGTGTGTATTCTCACCTGTTTCTGTGTGTCGTCCAGAGTTTGTTGCAGCTGTCGAGACAGGATGCCACACTCAAGCGTCTTCTCCTCCAGCTGCTGCTGAATGCTGCGGATGGTGGTGGCCTTCAAGGAGAGAGACTCAGACATGTCTTTGTTTTCTAGCCTCAGGTCCTCCAGCTGCCTATACACACATACAGACATCAACAGCTGCAGCCTGGAAGCAAGTAACTGCTCCTTAATCTGAAACATGTTTGTATATGTTCCACAGACAGTAGTGTGAGTGTACAAACCTTTCCAAGTTGTGGACTTTCTCTTTGATGAGGTTGTTCTCCTCCTGCAGAAGTAGATTCTTCTGCTGAAACATCTCCAGCGTAGCACCCTGCTGCTCCAGCTGTGAAGGAAAATCACAATCAACATGAGCCTCTTTCCCACAACCACAGAACTCCTGGATTTCCTGACTTGAGATCCTTGGTAGTTGCATTCTTTTTAATAATGAGTTTAAGACCTCTAAAGACCTTTTTTGGCACCCAAAAACAGAAAGAACACATACTTTTCTAACCCTTTGTGCATATCAAATAAATATACCTGAATACCCCAGGTTTAGAGGCTTTTATTGAATATCTCTCATGCAAGGCACTGTGTAATATTTAGCCTGTAAACTATGTCCTGTGTTTTGCATCCTTTTTTTAAGTTATATTTTAGGACATTTTTGCAAATATTAGATGGAATAGCTAAAGAGAGACAGGAAATTTAGGTAAAGGCATGCAGCACAGGCTCAAGGCCAGGACTCAATCCAGTGTCTGCTGCAACAAGCACTATAGACTCCAGACATGCGGCACTTAAACCACGAGGCTATCAAGCCCAGTATTTTGTATGAGTCAGATTTCTTTGACTGAATCTTCGTGTTTTTCTTCTCTTTGTTTTTTCTGTACACCACCTGTAAACGAACGTACATGCCGTATTCACAGATGTAGATAAGCAAATCTATAAAAAGTATAATAAAATTCCTTGTGACATTTCCAAACTTATTCAGGCTCAGGATTTTGTCCAAGCATCACCATGGGCACAGGATAAGACCATCAGAGCTTCACTTCACTCTCCAGACTGTATGTCTCTGTGTGTGACTATGCGTGTCTCTATGTGTGACTGCGCGTGTCTGTGTGTGTACCTTGTGCCTGACTTCAGACAGGGCCGAGTTGTGCACCATGTTCCTCCTCTCATGGGCGTCAGCCTCCTGCTGGGCATCTCTCAGCTGCTGCTCGGTCCTCCTCAGTCTGTCGGGGAGCATCTCCAGCTCTCTGAGTTGGGTCAGCAGCTCCCTTCTCAGCTGCTCCTTCTCCTTCTCCAGGCTCATCTTTACCTCCTGCGCCTCCTTCTGGGTCACCTCCAGTTTCAGACGGCTGTCCTCCGATTCCAGACGAGCCTGCTGCACCTACATGCAGAAGAAGAGTAGCATAACACAGCAGCCAAAATTAACTGTAACACTTTCTGGAAAGTTTGTCTCATGATTTTTTTTGAACAAACTTGACACCCGCTTGAAAAAGAAAGTGTGTCTCAAGTTTTAGAGAAGAGCGTAATAGGAGAAACCTGGTCCCAAAACCAGCTGTACCTTCTTCTTGCATTTCTCCACCAGGTTCTCCTGTTTTCTGATTGAAGATTTCAGCCCACGAGCTTCAGACTGTAGACTTCTGAGTGTCTCCTCAGAGGACATCAACTGCTCCTAAAAATGAGGTTTACTTATGTAAAATGCCACCACAATGGACCACTTCATCACGCATGTCTGTAACCCTAATTTAGTTATTTCTGTTCATTGTCTGGATGTCTACTTTTCTCTTTGTCTTTTACATCACTTTCCTTTTGTCAAATTTTGCCTGTAAAAAATGGAAAACAAAGAAAAAGAGCAGATTTTCATTTGGCTTTCTGAAAATTAGAGATTGAGGAGTCAAAGATCTATGAAAACATATCTGAAGCTGTAAACCTGCTGCAGAGGAATCCGACGTACCTTCAGTCTCTGGTTTTCCAGTTTGGTGGAGGTGTTCTCAGTGCTGAGATGTAGGATCTGATCCCGGTGCTCCTCCCTATGAGTCTGACCCTTCTCCTCTATTGACTGGATCTTCGAGTTCAACTCGGTCACCTGACTGAGACAGAAACAGCGATGTTAAATATGACTTAGTATTCCTAGTAGTTCTAGGAGTCCTGCTGTTGTAAATTTGGAATTTCTCCCTTTGGGACAAATCAAGGAATATCTTATCTTTTCTTCCTTCACAGCCTTCAGAGAGTGAACATTTTTGGTTAATCTCAGAACTTTTTTCACATTTCTGTCACATTTTCTAATCACTAAATGAAGTATTTTCTACTGACGGAATGGTTAAGTAAGGATCTACGTTTAGTGAGTGATCCCCCCCTACAGCCTTTTATAGATAAATATAAATGTAAATGAACAAAAAGAAAACATTCACCCACAATTTAAGAGCTGATACTTCCTCCTCTAGCTGTCCTTTAGCAGCAGCCTCTCTTGAGTGTCGGAGGCACCAGTCACTGGACGTAGACAGAGCGTGAGCCAACTGGGATTCCTTTAACAACAATACACATACATATAGTCTGAACATTTCAAATCATGTTTCAGCCTGAAACATTTTTATATTTTGAGACAGTTTGCTTCCAAAAGGAGGCTAAGGCAGCCAGGCAAGTCAAACACACTCAAGAAACACAACAACATTTATACTGTTGTTTGTGCTGTGCAAACTAAGCTGTTGTGTGCTTTCAGATACAGAACAGACACATCTATATCTGTGAGTTGACTGGAATAGAACTAAGCCAAGAGGATATCTGTATTCAAGCAGTTTCTGCCACTTATTCCAAAACTGACCTGTTGATGGAAAAAAAACATTTTTTGAGGACCACAAAATCACGTGACCAATCATTGAGGTGAATGTTCTGTGGTTGGTGTGTGCTGATTCTGTGTACAGACCTTCTCCTGCAGCTTCGCCCTAAGCTCTCTGGCTGCTTCCTCAGCGTGGTCGGCGTGCTCAGTGATCAGATTCAGCGCCTCCTGGTCTCTCTGTCCCTGCTTCTTCTGCTCCTCCTCTCTCTTTTGCCTCAAAGTCTCCAGCTCCTCCTGCACAGCACAAAGCTTGTCCTGTTGCTCCTCATGGCTCTGCTGCAGCCTCTGCTCCAGGAAATGGACAAAAATCTTCACACATCCAAAATTTAATGGTTGTAACAGTGATACAGAGAGAACATCCAGCTTGTGTTTGCGATATGGTTCTGTTTGTGTTTCTCAGTGGATTTTTTGCACTTCAGTACCTCATTTAAGTTTTTATGGCAATTTCCTTTAAGCTGCAGCTGCAGACTCTCAGGTTTTTTTTCCCACTTTGTTAGTTGCATTTCAGCTCATAATAATTATTTATTGCTGCATCGTCAGACCTGAATCTGAGCTGTCATGTGTGGCTTTTCAGCTTCAGCTCTGTTCAGCTCAGACTGCAGACGGTCCCGAGTTGACTGCAGGACTCTTGAAAGCTCCTCCATCGTCTCCACTTTGTCCTGTCATGATAGAGAGGAGAGCCTTGGAAACTGCTGAGCCTTTAAGTTGTGAGACATATGAACCTTTCTCTATGAAGCTATGACAGAATAAGAGTTGTATAAACTTTAATAATTCAGAGTTTCAAACCTTTTCAAAGTCCAGATGCTCAGCGAGCGTAGAGGCCTCTTTCTCTTTGTTGGTGAGTTTAGTTAGAAGTCTCTAAAGGAGAAGGAGAAGAATCTCCTAAGATGTCTGATGTCAACAGTAAATAACTAAACGCTGCATATGACCAGGTGATAATGACTCACAATGTTCTCTGCTTCACTGTTGGCCAGCCTCGACTTGATGGCATCTTTCTGTTCCAACCAGATCAGCGATTCTCTCTGTGGACACAACAGAATAAGCAAGAAATACTCTGGGGATCATTCATGTCAACCTTTCCTTCTTTTTACCTCATATTCTGTCCACTCTCTGAGGAGCTCCCGCAGACTGTGATTGGTGCTGTCAAACATGGCGATTTTCTCAAACAGCAGCTGCTGCTGACGTCTCAGTGGAGCTGTGTGACATTTTGATAAACGCTTGTCCTGAAAATGAAGATAATCTAAATTAGCCTGACTACATTTTTCAGCCATCCTGCACCTATACATGATCATAATTATCATCTGGTACTTTGGTGAGGCCATCTATAGTTTCCTTCAAGGCTGTCAGCTGATTGGCAACTGCAACGCCATCGATTTCCGCTTCTACAAGTGCCCTGAGGAGCACAGCCGACTCTCTGTACCGACCCCTGACATCTGAGCTGTGCGCAAGAGGAGAAACAATAACATGGTTAAAGTAAAATATAAAATTGCTTAATGTTTATAATCATCATGAAAAAAAACACACAGGTCTATGGGAAAAAAAAACAGATTTCAGCAATCTTAAGTACTTCATAACAAGTCTAATGAAGAAAACTGTGTATTTTCATGTCAGAGGTTTTGCATGTGTGTTGTGAGATGTGTTTCAATGTGTATGTCTAAAATAAAAACTCAGGTGGAAAGAGTGGATTTGTAAACACTAAACAGCTCTTACTTTTTCAAATGACGAATGCTTTCCTGCTCTTTGAGTAAAGAGCTGAGGTTTTTGGAGACTGCAGCCAACTCTTCTTCTTCATCTTCCTCCTCTACTCCACGCTGGCGCCTGACTCCACAGTCTGACTGATCCTGCACCCTGCTTCTCTGTGATAAGATACAGAAAGAACTTGGTTAAAGAAATTAGACCGGAAAAAAAATAATACATGTTTGAAGTGAATTCTACATTTAAACTCATAATTATTTCAAGTGTTTTAAGTTTTCTAACTCCCTGTATCAATAGTTCACTGCATATCAGACGACATCTGCTCTGTTCATCCAATCTGAGAGTGTCATGACAGCTAATGGAAGCCTTCAAATCTGATTATTGGACCATGGTTTTGTTTGAATGTTTGTTTATTACTGCAAACTGTCTACAGGGTTGCCAGATTCTCATGTTTTTTTCTTAATGCTGAAATCATTTGATAGCAGATACTGCAGTGAGAGACACTTTAAGCTCATTCATGCCCACATCTCTTCTGCAGGATGATGTTCCAGGAGGAATCCAAGGTGTCTTGACCCTTGGTTTCCCTTCACCTCCCTTCACATGTGCACCTTTGTTTCTGTTCTGCAAAGGGATTAAAAAAAACAAAACTTTAAACTCAGAAACTTCACCTGAAAATCACCAGCATGTAAAAGTTTACCTCTACTTGACAATAAATTATTTTTGAGGGAATAGAAATATTAACAGACACAGCACTCCCACTCATAATAAGGTAGTATGTTTTACCTGGGGGGTTCTGCTGGAACTTCTCATATGAACATGTACAGGTGTGGTCTCCGGGACGTGAACATGGACTAGCGGCGGTGAATCCCCGGTATTCATTTCTTCTTTCCTGACCTTAAAACAACATCCAGACTGCTTTGCGGATCAACAAAGACATTAAAACTCCGATATCCGAACCGCGGCGGTTCATTTTAGTCACACCACAGTGGTGTGCTCCCGAGATCAATCTCGACTCTTGTCTGTGAAGCAGTCAGTTGTTTGGAATTACAAACGAACCCCCTGATTGGCTCGTCTTGAGTATGCCGCTTTGTGATTGGTTGAGATTAGTTTTCGACGAACGTTGCCCGTGGTAACCATTGAGAGTACGGATGACGAGTAACTGTTTACACGCCCCCCCCCCCCCCCCAAACTACCGTTCATGTAAAACGCACTTTTCTATTAATGCTCCTCTCAGATGCTCTAGCTGAGATTTTAGCTTCTGCATTGCCTCTACCATTATAAATACTACATACTTGTATCCCGGTGTTGATGGAGTTGATAAATGTTGAGCAGCAGGCGATCATACTCTAGTGTTAGCTTATCAACGTGATATTGATGTTTAACTACCGTTTGCCTTCCAAAAAAATGAAAAAGTATTATTTCAAGGAATAAAACTGTCTTCTAATTTAAAAAGCATCGATAGTATATCTAAACATTATTCGATACAGATGATTTTCTCAACCTGTGATTTCCGAGAAATCAAGAGGAACCTAAACGCAACGTCAGTTAAAGTGGACGGCCAAGCTAGCGCTAACTCGACCAGCTGGTCGATTTGAGTAATCATTGTAAAACTAAAAATTGACACAGCTTTTGTAAATCATTAGAGTTAAAGTAATTGGGTGTTTAGTCATATACACCTTAGATGGTTAACTTTAAGATATCTAATCGATGATTGGTCGATGCACCGCCTCATGCTAAAAACAAAGCAGAAACTAAAGCTAGCTTGTTTTCTGATTAGCCTTCCAGGATGAGGTGCACGCTGAGCTCGCGGCTGCTTTTAAAGCACTTGGACAGGGAATTGATGCACTTCATTTTAGCTGTGCTCCTCTTATATCCCGATGCATACCGGCCCGGGGAGGCGTGCGCAGCCGCGGCGGAGAGCGGAGGGACCAGCCCCGAAGCCCTGCTGCTGTGCCGGGCGTGCGGACACGAGCTGGCGGGCGGGACGGATATCCACTTCGTCCCCAGCAGGCTCGCGCTCTCAAGTCGCAACCACACTGTGGTCGGGGGTCGACGGGTCAACATCCAGATGTTTGAAAACCCACACGGACACCAGTTTGAGGTGATCACCTTCAGAAAGGCGGATGTTACCCTTCACTGGCCGGCAGAGAAACACTTCTCCTGGTTCCCAGGTTCCTCGTGGACCGTGGCCACCTGCCCCAGGTGCGCCACTCATTTAGGTGGGTAACAGGGAATTTGATAGAGATCAATGACTAAAAGTAAAATACAGACGGTACTTAAAATACGAAAGAAGTGAACAGTCAAACACTGTTTTTGCCACGTGTTCACTTAGCTGTTAAATAATCTTTTATTGGACAATGTGGCTAAACACAGCCCAAAAAAAGAAAATTATCGACGCTGAAAATCACTTTAAACTGTCAGAAAATGTGGACCTACGATGTTGTGAGAATGAGTAGGTGCATCGTTGTGGTCCATTGTTATGGACACAGTAAACAGGACCCTATTTGGAGGCCCCATTTACATTTTATACATATTTTTCACTATAAAAATAATTGTGAGATGGTTCACAAAATTTTGCTCTTCATGTAATTTAATAAAGGAGACTAAATGACTTAAATTTCAATCCTCTCAAAGCTAAATGTCTAAATGTGTAGAAATGTTATTTTCAGAGTGGGAAACTTAATACTTGTCACCTCAGGGGTGTACTGAGTGTTCAAGTGTACACACACAAATGAATATTTACCTTCAGTCTCCCTCAATCATGCTTAAATAAACTGATATTATAGAATCACATGCCACTATTCCTGTTTGTAAACTTTTCACTTTAAAAGATATTTTTCAGAGGCTGAACAGATACCAACACGTCACAGTCCATATGGTTGCATTTTAAACTAGAAAAGCACTCTGAGAGTGCAGACCTCCGCCAAGCAGCTCATGTCCCCCCTTATATTGTGATTCACACCTAAACTTTTACTGTTACGTGTCTTTTATTAACTTTTATTTGTATTTAAACTGGTATGTTCACTGTTCATAATGTTCCTAAAACAACAAAGCTCATATTAGATACATAAATGCATGATTTATTATGGAATATTTGTAAGTGTACACTTCCTTATATCTTCATTGGTTATCTTTCAGCATTGAAAATTCCAACAACACCCTTATTTTTGTGTGTTCTTGATCACAGTATCCCGAATTTTGTCTGGATCAGATCAACCTTTGACACCTCATAAAAGTCATTGAGATCCTTTTGTGTAATTTTTTACTAAAGACTCTGGCCATTTTTGTAGAGTTAAATGCAAAAATTCCAAAATGTGCCCTATCTCACAATGATAAAGAATCCTTCAAAAAATTCCTGGATCCAGAAGGCGATCCAGATCACCACCAAAATGTAATGGAATCCTCCTGGGGCTGAGACGCACCTCTGGTGAAAATTTCAGGTCAATCTGTCTGTAACTTTCTCCGTAAAGTGGCCAACCCCTCAGGAGACACCACTGTTACCACAGTAAATCACACTTTAATTATAGATAAGTACTCATAAGATAAACTTAAGTATAATTTTGGGATTTATTGAGGCTTGGACCATTTTTCATTTCATTTTAATAATTAGAGAAGTTGTTGATAAGTATTAAAGCTCTTGCCAGTTGTTTTTTTTTTTTTTGTAGTTTTTCCAAGGCAGCTGAAGAAATATCCCCATTTTTACATTTAAAATATTCTCAGTAAAAAGTAAATATGACTGTCAAAGGTCGACAGGAGATTTTTTCAGAGACCCAAAAAAGGGCTTTTGTAGCCACCCGGTGACCACTGGAATTCTTTATCAGTTAAGTTTCTTTAGTTTGTGTCACCAAGAGTGAATGATTTGTTACAGGTATTTGAATGTACTAAATGTTTGTATGTCCTGTTTGGAAACATACCTAATATATGTAGACTATATTAGGTACGTTTATGTATGTGGAAATATAGCTATATCTATTTAATTATCAAATATATCACAAGATATGTTGTTTTACAAAAAGAAAGCTGACTAGATTATTAGTTATTCAGTAAAAGGGTGTGATTTAAGTCTTACCTATTCCCCCTCTGATACATAACCAGACATTTTAGTGGTGAAAATAGTTTTTGTATTTTGCTTTGTTTTTTTAATAACAAAATAAAACTTAAATGTAATAAAAGTTAATCACAGAAGCTTTTTATTTCAAATATATTTGACTTTATACACATTAACTGGGTCTAAATAGTAAGTTTTAAAATTTGCGTCAGTTATAACTTTATTTAGCCTCAATGTTTGTTTCCAATATTTAATAAAACCCCTTGATCTAATAATCCGAAAAACAACCGAAATTTACTCTGAATTACATACAAGCAATCAAGTAATTTAGGGTAAATGTCCTTATTTTAACTGCTGTAGTTTAATGGTCATGATTACCAACCCCATGATTACATATGAAGTGTGTGGAGCTGGATGGCCAGACCTTTAAATTCACCAGCCTCAGGAAGTTTTACATTCTGCTCACAAATACTGAAGATTGGGAGTAAGTCATTCATACAGATTTCTCTGCCTTTAAAGATGTGAAGTTTCACACGCTGCAGGAACAAGAGGGAAAAGGGATACCTTTGTTTTCTTTTAATAAGACTCATTTACCCTCTGTGCTCCTGTTAGATTTTTTATCATGCATGGTTGCTCATAACTGAACAAAACTCACTTTTTTGTTTTTCTCACTTCAGGTTGGGGTTTCCAGCCGAGCAGCTGGCCAGACACAATCACAAAGACCAAATTCGGGGAGGCGGAGGAAACCTTCTTAGCTCTAATCACAGTCCGTCTACTGAGTGAAGACTTCGCTTCCACATTGCTAGTGACTCCAAAATCCTTTATAAGCTGATGGACTTTTGACTGCACGATAATCCAGGTGCCTTTGTTGCTACTTTAATTTTAATAAATTTCTATGCACCCACCAAACTCCCAGATGTGTAAACACAGTAAGTTTTATTATTATAACAAAGCAAGTTGCACACCTTAAATTTAAAACAGTTTCTTTTCCCCCAAGCGGAAAAGGAAAGTTTGATAACTTCTCCGATAACAGTTGTTTTATATATCCACGAAGCAGTGGGGGCCAAAATTTACAAGCTGTTTTTTTTCCATTTTGTTCTTTATTAAAAATGTCATTTCAAATCTCATGGATATCTGTAAAACAATACAATGAAAAAAAAAAGTCCCATAGAAATGGTGTCAAAATAACCACTCTCCCCAATAACCAACATACTCCTGCCCCTCCCCAGCTTGCCCCACCCCCCTCCCCCTAAACAATACAAGTCAAAAGGAATGAGCTGGTACTCGTTAACCACAAAGGGGAAAAATAACAGTTTTTTTTCAAGGGATCAACACCCCAACTGAGAAAAAAAAATCATATAGGTGAAAAAAATATTGAGAGGTAAACTAGCGCTGGGTCACTACACCATGGCTTTAGTCAATTAACCACACAACCTTTAACAGGAGGAATTCTGTGTGAATTGTCTTCAAATTCTACTCAGGATGCCGTGCTGACTCTATTTTTGTACTTTTTTTAATTATTATTTTTGAGATGACTCAGGGGATGGTACTCACAATTCAGGGCAAAGTGCCGTTGGCCTGACGTGCCAAAGGAGAACACGACATGGCACCAAAAAGGTGAGGCGGCCTCAGAATGGGAAATGAAGCTCACACGGATTTAACAAAAAATAAAAAATTAAAATTAAAACCTTTGCTCCCGAACGTGAGTGGAAAACCAAACAGGGAATAGAAGATTGAGGGTCTGGGTAGATGACGTTATTTATTAGTCATCTTCTCCTTCGTCATCCTAAATGAGAAACATCAATCAGTCAGCTGGAGGGTCAAACAAAATACAACTAACATCTTTTTACTTGGTAACACTTTACCTCGCCATCTTCACCATCATCTTCCTCATCATCCTCTCCATCTTCATCCCCCTCCTCATCAATGTCCTCCAGACCCTCCTCGTCCTCTTCATCATCCTCACCCTCACCCTCTTCATCATCCATGTCAGGAACCTAAAGAGAAGAATCACAGTTCAGTATTTTCTGTTGGATTTTCACTAGCACATGACTGAACTTTCAGTGAAAAGAAAACTTCAAGGGTATAAAAAAAAAAAAAAACTGGAAATCCAAACAGATTTAAGACCAGAAACAAGCTAAAGACAATGAGGTCAAATCTTTTAGTTTTTTCACTTTTCTATCAAATCTTTTATATAATTATGAATTTTAAAGTAGAATTTAAAGCATCAACTCAAGATTCTGTTTTGTAAAACAGAATTCTGCCTTTTTTGTTCTTTATATTCCTACTTCAAAAGTACATTAATTAAAATTTAACTTGAAATTAATTCTGAACTTTAGTCAGAATTCAAGGAAAAAAGATCAAATTCAAAGAAAATGTCAGAGTACCTGGAAAAAGATTATCACAACTCCAAGGAAAAAAAGGAGTTTTGAAGTATAGTCAAAATTTCAAGAAAAAAAAAATGTAATTCCAAGAAACTGTGAGTTGTTTTTAGAAAAAAAAAAAAAAAAAAAAAAAAGAAAAAGACAGATATCAAAGAAAAGATTGTTTAAATTCTGGAAAAAGAAATGTGAAAAAAAATTAGCTAGACAATGAATTGAGAAATTCTTATAGTCCTCAGAAATTCTGAGAAAAGTCAGATTACAAGAAAAAGAATGGAACACAGAGGAATAATCTCAATTACGAAAAAGTCTGAATTCTTACCGAAGAATCCAAATTCCTCAAAAGAAGTTAAAATACAAGGAAAATTCTGAGCAAAAAGACCACCAAGGAAGAATCCAAGAAAAGACAAAATTCCAGGGATAACAATAGTTTCTGGGGAAACATGTTTGAATTCAGAGAACATGAAGTATACTGGAGGAAGAGCTGACCCAAATGTTTCTCTTTTAACGGCCCTTCTTACCTTTCATGAGTAAATATTCATAGAATGCGTAAATCTAAGTAAGTTAATTCAAATAATATCCAAAGACCTCAGGCTGGGTAAATGTTATAGCCGAGATTCACACAGGGACACACTTAGCCGTCTGTGAGCGTACCAGGTAGTACTGCAGAGGGTTTGGCCAGATGTCGTCCTTGATGACCTCCCCGAGCTCGTCAGCGCCAGCATCAGCGTGATCAGTGAACCAAGTAAAGAAGCTCTCTGGCTCTTCGTGTTGCCTCTTTCTTCCTGCTTTGTTCTGTGTCTGGCTGGAGCGCTTGGTGAGATCCTGCAGATTTAAAAAAAAAAAAAAAAGTGTCTCAGTGTTAGAAAGTTCAAAGTGCTTGAGTAAGTTTACATCAAGCTGCTACAGTGTAGTTTAAGGTTAAATCAAAACAGGATATTGACAACACATGCTGATTTGATAGTTTCTGTTCTGACAGAGCATCTCCTACCTTTCCTGATTTCCATTTGATTTCTGTTGACTTTGAAGATGGGTCTCCGCTCTCATTCAAATGGAACTCTTTGGAAAGTACTTTGTTTTCGAAGTACGGATTTTCATCGAAATACTAGAAGACAAAATTCACCCAGGTAAGAATACAAGACCCCTGCAGCTCCATGTTTCTGGTGTTCACAATGTTACAATACTTACAAAATCTATTCTGTAGCCTGACTTGATGTCTTCAAACTCTGTCACCTCCACTCGGTTCAGGTAATGAAGTGCTTCTTCATCCTCCTCTCCCAGTAGGGCAGATACTGAGTAGGAAACACAGACTTGAGCTCAAACCACTGCCATAGTTAGTCTTCTTGCTGAGTGTAGGAATAAAACTAACATCTTGTCTGCTTACCCTGTGGATGGTTGACAAATGTGGTGACCCAGAAGTTGGGGATTTTGGCGATCAGTTCTGACCTCTTCTGAAAGAATGGCTGACGGAGTTTGTTGTATTTCTGTTCTACTTTGAGGATCTCCTCACTGGCTTGCTCGTTCAACCTAAGGGAGAAAAATAAATCACATATCAGATTAAAACACTTTTGAATGTGCTGATTTGGTAACCAGGCAAAAAAACACCATCCTTAAAATTTACTTTTACATGTAATCAATCCTTTTTTTATAGGCACACGTATGTCAAAATGTGCACCACAAAGAGCTGACATTTTCCAAGTTTTTAACAAAACCATAGATTACAGCATCTGATTTCACAAAAGAGTTCCTTCTTTTAAAAGATCACATGTGATCACATCCAGTTGTCCTCTTTGGGAGGAAAAATCTGCGCCCTAACAAGGAAAATGTGATATTCAAAATAAGTCTTACCTGTCAATTTCATTTTGAACTTCGTCAATGTGTTCAATAGCTTCTTGCTGTTCTTTCTCTGCAAAAGAAAAAAGAAATAGTCTTGATGCAAAAGTTCATTTTTTTCACACAAAAGATAAGACTCAACAGGCGGGACTGGTTTCCAAGAAGTCAGAAATTATTTGTGTCAATAAAAAAAAGGGCATCTGAAACTGAATGGATAGAAATTAATGTTAACTCAAACTTTTTTTGACCACACACTGGGGGAAAATCCACCTGTTTCACAGCAGTTCAATAATCAAAGTGAAGGAAAGAGAAATCAAGCAATGTATAAAATTAGAACAAAAGTAAAATAACTATTTAGAATATGTAAATCTTACTTTTGGAGTAAGATATGGCTTTTTATGTGGGGGTAAGGCTAACTATTGATACAGCATTTTATCATCACACTGACTTTTGCAACTGTTGCATCACTGCATCAGATCTCTATACTGTAAACTTAAAATTATGCACTTAATTGGAAACATTTTGTTTTCTTCTGATGTGTCATCGTGGTTATTGCACTTTTTGCAGCATAATGGAATTATGTTATATTTAACATTGCCAAAATATCAGGTATAGTACTCCACCTGTAACTGCACAAAAGATTACAAATGCTATAAAAAACACTGATTCATTGAACTAAACATACAACATATAGGCAGTCTAATGCAATCCAATACCAACAGTTTTTTACTCAGTTTTAACATTTTCAGTTTTAGTTGATGTGACTCAACACAAGCAGTTGTATTTTATATTTCGTATTTAACATGCGGTCTGTAGGGTACTGGACTGAATTACATTGTCCCTAATAATTTGTCAAGTTAATTAATGAACAAGAGGGGAGAAAACTGTGAGGGACATCTTTCAGTATAATGCACTCCAGTACATTAACAACAACCAATAAAACTCCAAATACTGCCCAGGTGTGAATACTGTTCTGGCTGGTAGATATATGTGGTTTAGATATATAATAAAATGTTTATTCAGGTAACATCAGCAGAAACACCGGCAAAAGTTGCTGTAGCTTACTCAGGTACGTTGCTGTAGCCTAAACTGTTGGACTGTAAAAAAAAATGTAAAGGTTTTTTTGTTGTTGTTGTTTTTTACCCGAAAGTGATTATGTGCTGGGCTATTACTTTGACTTTTTATAACGTGTTAAAAAAAACATCCCCGGTTTTTATTAAGTTGAAAACTGATAATTTAATATTTTGTTGTAGTCTAAGAGTTTTGTGTCGATGTGAGGCGGCCGAATAATTGGACAGTATCAAGGGCTTCACCGAAGGTTACAGCAGACCGAGCGGCCAATAGCTGCCGCTCTCCGGGCTCAGACTCGCTCCGTGTCAGGCCGCGTGGTTTAAATGTGGGACATCTGAACACACACTGAGCCGCGTTCACGGGACATACTGAGCCGGGACACAGGGACCCCTTAAACTATCAAACTACCATAAAACGGAGTCCTTTAACCATCCCCCTCAAATCATAAATGTTTATTCAGACAGATGGCAAGACGAGAGGAATTAATAGCATTATTGCAACAAACAGAGTAGCATCAGTCAGCTAGCGTTAGATAACATTACAACAACAACAGCAGCAGCAGCAGCAGCAGCAGCAGGCTAACAGCTAACGTTTAGGTTAAACGGACAACTTCCACCGTGTTTCAACACCAGATTTGCAGAATCAGCACACACTCACCCATTTAATGTAATTTTACAACGGCACAAAGAGCAAAGCTGCTCTTGTGTGGGACACGACCTCTCTGAATAGAGTCAACGACACATCTGTCCACGCTGCTGCTGCTAACGGAGCTAGCTAACATGGCCTCTGAGCGCCGCTCCGTGCTCAACAACAGCGGCATGCTAACAAACGCGTTAGCCTAATGCTAGCTGCTGTTATCCAAATGTGGACACACGCAGTGGAGGATGGAGGACAGCAGAGATGCTCCTGAGACAATCAGCAAAATTAAAGCAATACGTAATACAAAAATTGATAATAATGCACCCTGTGGCAATGCAAATTCGGTTAGAGAAGAGAGTGAAAATGGCGGTGAACAGGAGGCCGCCATTCCCCTTACCGGAGGTTTCGTCCGCTCCGTCATGGTTCGAGTTCAGCTCCTTTTTACTCACTTTTGCCGCCGAGGCCGACATGTTCTCGCAAGCTGGGGTAATTTGCAGGCGTCTGAGAAATTAGATGGTAGCTTTGAATCTGTTTTCTCCCTGAGCAGGAGAGCGTTAATTCGGCGTAAAGTTCAGCGTGCAGAAGCCAACAACGTGCTGCTTTCCACACAATGTAGCTGCCGAGGAGCGAGGAAGTCAGAGCAAGTAGTGATGCGGCTTTACTGAACGAGTCGGTAAGAAGAGCCGACTCTTTTTACACACAAAGGTATCGTGAAAAGTAATTTCAAATGTAATCCACAAGAAGTTACCTTGTTGTATGTTATTTTAATATGAACAAGGTTGATTATCTGATTTGTTTTAGATGTAGTATGTGAAAAGATGCAGGAGAGACTATAGTCTTACCAATCTCATTCCTTTTCAATCCTTTACTCAACACCATCTTTGTTGAAATCAGCGCCCCCAAAAATCTGCCAACAAATAATTTTTATTGTTTGCTGATAGCTTTGCCTTCATAGTGCAAACTCATCTAAACTTCATGCAATACTTTTTATTGTCTTTGTCTAACAGTGCAAATCCACAGTGACCCTGAAACCGCAAAAACATTCACTAAATGTCAAAATATTTGATCAATCGCAAAAAATACTAATAATTGAAAACTCAAAACAATTCAAACAGCATAACCGGACTTCATTAAACTCCACAAAAATTCACAAAACAAACTTAAATTCCTTAAATGTTAAAAAAAATTACAAAATACATTCCACAACAGGGAAAAAAGCTGTCATTGAACACACACAAAAACAATTTGCACTAAATAAAGACTGTTTGCTGCATCCAATTAGCAAAAATGTTTTATAAAAGGCAAAAATATTCTAGGAAATTCAATAACTTTTTGCAAAGCACAAACAATACTTTTTCAAATATTTATTTGTTCTTTGATTTAATTAACTTTTTTGTATGTCCTTTTGTGTTGGTATATTGTAAATTATTCTGCTTTTCGTGAAACATTCTTGCTTTTTTAACATAGTTTTGCTTCAAAAATTGTTTGTGATAATATTTTTTAAGTGGTTGATAAATGTCTTTACTTGAAATGTTTTTGTGTTTTTGAATTAGTGTGCAAAACAGTCACACATTTTTGAGAAATGTTTCTAGTGTTTCATCAAATATTTATTGGGATCGAAATAAGTTTATCCATTTATCCATCCATCGTCACTGTATAAAAGTGTTTAGATGTATATTCTTTATCAAGTCGAAAAGAGTAAACTTTTCCTATTACTTAAATTGATGGCATAAATCTTTTCTCTACAAAATGAAAAGTCGTAAATTATGTTTATCTTTATCAAGTTAAATGGTCAATAATATATAATATATCATATTATATCAAACAATTGACTGAACCATAAAATTCAGATGTAGTTTAAGAGAAGAGTTGTTTGAGAACCGAGAAGCCGGACTGGCACTAATGAGCAGTGTAAAATGGTCCGACTCACTAAAAGTAGCGGGAATTCCCACACTAACAGCAAGCGCTGCTCACGCGCTTCTTTCATTACGAACGCGCCTCGGCGAATGGAGAAGAGACGAGCTCCGCCTCTCAAAATAGGTCTCACAACTTGGCCCCAATTCGTTGATTTTTTCCTATTCTTTTTATTTAAAAAATCCATCAAACATGAAATATCCGCCAATTAAAGCTCGAGATTTTTTTTTCAAAACAATTTCAAAATTAATATCTTCCAAAGATATCGTTTGCTCGGACCAGGCCAGAGCTTCATTTGGACCAACTCGCACTTGCGCACTTTAAAAGGATGCTGAATATCAGTTGATCCGCTTTCTAGTGGCCAGTGCTAATTAGCCTGTCTTTCACAGTCTGTTCTGACCGATGTGAATGTTTGTTTTAGACACAAACAGCCCGAATCACCTGGGTATTTCGATGAAGGTGATGAACGGTTACTCTTCAGCTCATTTATTTTGTTCTATAGGCTATAGCCTCACACTTTCCTGTTTAGCGAGGTAAACAACTAGCGGACGTATACTTCATTATCACAATTCTACGGTTAGTAGAGGCTGTTTAAAGTATGTCCTTTTTTATGTACTCACGTAAATGTTAGTATGTTTGTGTAGGCAGACATGATGAACACACACAGAGCTGCTCGCGATCATGTTCACAACAGCTGCTCCTGCACCCCCCAGGAGGACTGTTGACTGCTCTCGGTAATGATATTAATGTCCCTCACACCCCCACACATCTAACCCCGATGCTGCAAACAGATCCCTGCGTTGATCGTCCCGAAGAGAGCAGCAGCAGCTCAGTGTTTGTTTTTTGGTTGGTGACACACAGGAACATGTGGTCATGCAGCGGCCAATACGGAGCCCAGAGGAGGCAATCAGCCCTGTAGGAAGAGCAGCAGCATCAGCAGCAGTGCTGGCACCCGAGAGGAACTCTGCAGAGAGAAAACCTTCTAAAAGAGACAGAAACAGACACAGAGAGGGGGGATTTGGTTACAGAGCGGAGGGTGAGGATGCAGTGGGGAGAGGATGTTGCCGAGGAGTCTGCAAGGAGGCAAAAACAAACAGGACAGGCTGTCTGATCCAGTTCTCAAAATGTAGGAGCTGCACCAGAAGAGCCCTCAGTGAGAGAGTGTTTGTGAACGCACCATAACATCCAGGGACCTGTGTTTCAAGGATAGTGAAGGTGGAGAGGCGCAACCTGAGAAGTCTCTCCTCCACCTGCACAGAGGATGTGAAAATAGTCCTTATTCAGCAAGGAGCTCGAGCATCACCCTGAGGTTAGTGAGGTGCAAAGTCATCCTGTTTCCTCCTGCTTTGAACACATTGTCCTCACTTATCCCTCTCCTCTTGAGCTCTGTCTTGTTTTTGACGAGCATGGAAATGAGTTGTATGTGTGCAACACTGTTGCTGTTGATTCCTTCATCTTCTGCCACTTGTTCTGGTGTGTGCTGGCTGTGTTCAGTGTGTGTTTGTGGATGTGCCCTGTCCCAGCTGACCTGTCAGGAAGTCATAAACGGGGGGATAAAGTGTTGTTTGTTTCCTCATGATGTGATGTTGTTATCAGGATCAGATGTTGTCCACGGCTCAGCAGATGCTGCAGGATAGCCGCTCCAAGATCGAGCTGATCCGAATGCAGATTATCAAAGTCACCCAGGCTGGCAGCAGTGGCGGCGGCGATGATTGTGGCGGTGACCATGACAGCTCCACTACACATGGAGGTCAGAGTCCTGGGTCACAGCCCTGTTAAAAGAGGTCACACTGATGCAGTAGATATGGAAACAAGTATTTTCCTGAACACAAAGTCTCAGAATTTTTTCTGTTTTCAAAACAACCTTTCAAAGTAAAACCAGGGACAGTAACAGCCTCTTAGTTTGTTTCAGTGAGTGAACTAGCTTTAAAAAGGCAGAAAATCAGCTTTCACAGTCATCAAAGCCTGTCTATCACCCACAGCAACCCATCTGTGAAACTATTAATAGCTTGTTTGTTACACTCAGAGTTTCTAAATTTAGATTAGCAAGCTGGATCATTTCACCAGAAATACACCAGAGACCAAAAGTTGAAACACAATAGATAAAAATATATCAGGATAATACGACTATAGGGCAGGTCTGCCTTAACAACAGACATGCAATCTATCATTAAGGCATGTGAAAGGCAATCAGACATAACATTAAATCCTGGAAATTAAAAGCTTCAGTGGCGGGTGAAGAAGTCTCAGAGTCATTATTATTGATTATAAAATCTATCAGTCCCTGCAGGTAATTCTGCAGATAGCAGGGAAAACAGTTTTGCTTAATTCAGTGTCCAAAAGAATGTTTTTAAGGATCACAGCACAAAGCCTTCAGTTTTTAGAAGTCAAAAATGTGTCACATTCATCTTTATTTTTGGCATTTAAGGTATTTCAAATTTAAAACTCATTTTGCTGCAAACATCTCTGCTCATTATGTTAATTCCTCCTTGAGTCCACACTGTGTGCTTTGACACTGTCATGCTTTAATGAATTATTCAGTTCAGTTAAAGGCAGTAATGTATGCAAGGGTTTCTTTTTTCATTGAGGTAAAGTTCAGGATAGCCTGCTGTTCAAGATTGCAAATGCTGTTATATTGTATGATGTTATTTTTGTAAAGTTTAAGCATCTTTAAATCAGTCTGAACAATATTTGAATATTTGCACTATAAAATGAAATACAACCAAACCAAACAAAAAGCTTTTGGGAAAAAAAATTCTATATAGTCTAAAAGACCTGGTCCTGGAAGAAAAATACAGGAAATAAACGGCTGGCTGGGGGCACCGTTTTGCTTCCAAAACCAGTATGATTTTTTTTCAGTCTTTAGGTTGTAAAAATTCCTGAATTTGACTTTGAACTCAGGGCAGCAGTCCTACTTTGGGCAGCTTAATTTCTGTGATGCGAATGCCAGTTTCATTTACCCTGCGATGGCTGAACCATGCTTCCTGCCAACTGTCATCTCTGTGTGCATTTTGCCTAATTTTGGAAAGTGAAACCACTCTGACAGCATTAATAGAGACAGACTAAGAGGGTGACATTCAGTATTATAACATAGCTTTTTCAGTTCGAAGAAATATGTATTACTGTTTGATGAAATTATATGTTTCAGCAGGAAGCCCCTTTGAGATTGAAAATGATTTTTATTTGGCCAAGACTGGCAGAACAAAGTGACAGATGCACAAAAATTAACAATGACAAAAAGAGGGGTAAAAAAACACATTCTGGATCATTTGATAGAAACTACGACCTACTGCACCCTTCTCCATCACCTTCTATCTACTTTAACAAGCCTGAAAGCCTTGACTTTGGGCAAATGAAAGTTGTAGTGCCGTCTGTGGATAAAGTGATGTAAGTTTTATTCCTTACTGATATCGTCCGCACAAGACCAGGTAGAGTTTTCAAGCAGCAACCTCTGATCAGTGGAATGAAGTTGATGCGGAAGTGCTAAAAACTTCAGTTTCTTGAGAGTCTGCTTGAGGCTGGCTTTGGAAGTACTAGAAACCACGTATACACCCATTCCCAAAGAGCCAGTTTTAAAGCTACAACAAACACCTTTAAAGTCTGGTTCGAAAACAGCTTCAGTCTCTGCTCACTCACCTCTTTGTCTCATGAGACATCAACATTAATGTTGGTTTGTTTTATCAAGAGATAAAAACTCCTCTCAGTGACATTTTTCTCCTGCTCCAAACTTTATTCCCCACATTTCAAGGCACACTCTGCTAACAGAACGCAAAAGTAAGCCTTGCCAAGCTGTCACAGAGCAAAGACTGAAGCTGTCGGTAGTTTTTGAATAAACACAGGCACATACATAAGAAAGAGACAAGTTCAACATTGTCTTATGAGTAAGTACAACCCAGTGATTCAGTCTGCAGGCAGACAGGGAGCAGTACAAATCAAATAACCTCTGTTTCAACAGAGACAGATTTCAAAGTATGAGACAAGAAAGTCAGCACCATGTTTCCTGGGATCATGTTTCCATCCCTGACTTCTCACCTCCTTTCCTCTCATTGATTAATAATAAAGTAATGATCTGCTGGGAAACTGAAGCCTCTTAACTGATGCAGGAAGCTTCATTTATCATGTACCCGCTGAATGTATTGATCAAACAGTTTAATTTTGGTCAGGATAAAATAAGTTTCACTAAACACAGACTAGATTTTAATCACACCACAGCTCAGTATGAGCCACCCATGATTTAGCTTTTGCTCAACTCTCATCAAAACTAATTTTAGATGAAGACCCACAAAAAGACTCACACAGACTTGGTTTGAAATGTTCAGAGAAAGCTTTCAGAATTTATTGCTTTCCTCCTAAAGTTTACACACATTCACCGTAAAGAAGGTGATTGTTTACCTTTGTATTTCTCCAAGTTTTGTGTTTCTGCAGGTCAGAGAAAACAGCCCTGAAGCAGGTCAAAATCAGGAAACCCAAATCCTTCAGTAACGTGATTAAAAACATGGATTCTTTTGGTGAAAATGACAGCATGTCATCTGCTTATTCCTCCGCTGCTTGTCTCCTTTTACAAACCTCTCCACAGGTGAAGGGTTTTTCTCACACTCCCTCTTACCTCTTCTTTCAGAGCTCTCATCTGTTTCAAATAAGTGTCAACCTAAAGCCCTAAACATTCATAAGCTTGTGTTAAGACCGCCTGGAGCTCAGAAAAAATTACTAGCTCCCCTCAGCTTTATAAATATTGATTACTGAGATGGAAAGTGTTTTTGTGGAGGATCTGTGAGGATGGATTATTTGTCTGAAGTGAATTGCTCCTCTTCCTCCCCCTCTTAGGGATCTCTCTGCTCACCGTCAGTCCTGCAGATGCTCGTTTGGCGGAGCTGCAGCACTACATGCAGAGAGAGACAGATGTGCTGGTGCTGGCCAAAGATGTGGTGAAGCAGCTGGAGGGGATCTCCTCTCTGGACCAGAAGGCTCTGACTGAGGTAGGACTGTTATTCCTAAAGTTACTCAAGTTGAGCGGAAACAAATATAAACAAGTAAATACTGATAACAGCAGTAAAACTTTGACCTGATACAGAGAAAAAGCAAATTTATGGGTTTTCAGCCAACTTGCATGCTGCAAGTCATCAATAACACAGTCCACACTGTCCCTTATGGGAAAGACCCTTATGGAGAAACGAGCAAATCAAGCAGCTCAAACGAAATTGCAGGAGTGCTGAAAGGAAATGGAGAAATCAAAATTAACGGTCCATCTCGAAAAATTTTAGACATCTCAAAACCTACAAGAGCACAGTCAAATAGGCAAGAACTTCCCACTACAAATAATAATTGCTGACAATAAACATAACCCCAGGGGCTCTATGTTTGTGCCTTGTCAGAGACGTGGCGCAGGCGCAGCGTAAGTCAGGTCTGCCGCGCCGACAAAGCGTTCAAAAGCACAATTTGGTATTTTGGTGAGTGGCGCAGCCCGGCGTAAGTTTCCCCCCTCCCTAACTCAGCTCCTCCCAGCAGCGTAAGTCGTAGGGAGGGAGGAGAGAGGGCGTGGAGTGGCTTTAACACAGCCGAGACCTGTATTGACTAATAACATCAGCTCCTCTCCTTGCCTTTAAATCCCCCACAGGCGAGGCGTATTACAATTTTCATGAAATAGTCAAAGAGATCAAGAGATGTCTGAAGACAGCAATGCCACAAGACGGCGACAGAAGGCAGCCCCTAACCAAGGGTCAATGTAAACGCTGCAGAGGGCGCCCTTCACACTCTCTCATATGAGCACAGATAGATTTGGTGTGTATAAGTTTGGAGCCACTAGTAAGACAAACATCCCTTTCCACAAATAAAGACACTCACATAAAGTTGCATATATTCAAACCTCACGTGACAAAGGTGGGTTGTGCGCACAGATCACATCATAAATTCCAAAAATGGCATTAAAATCGGAACCATCTGTGCGTAAATGACGCATCGCGCTCCGTGGCCTGGCTCTTTCTTTCATAGATGTTGGCATATAAAATAAATTTGGCTCACAAAACTGAATATTATAATATTCGTATGTCGGCTTAAAGTAGATAACGCATCTGAGCACTGAAACACATCATCTGTTCAGCCGCAGCAGCTGCAGCTGCAGCTGCAGCAGGACAAGGAGAGGACACAGAGACATGCCCAGGTCGAGCTGCGCAAGAAATAAGAGAAAGAGGAAGAAAGAAAAGGAGGGAGACAAATTAAATATCTTGTTAACTTCATCATGTGTGTCTATTTACTAGATATTTAATTTAATGCGGTTTCAGCTGTGTTGATTCGGTCAGGTTGTGTGTCCAAACGCGCTCATCAGATCAGATATAGATCAGAATATATCAATATAGATCTAAATGTATGTGCTGACACTGTGGAAACCTGCCGGTGAGGCAACGGTGGCGTATGCAGATACGCCGCCGGTCTACCAAAATACCTCTAGACAGGCTGCGCTCCGCTTGCGCTGAAAGCTGACCAGGTTTAAATCGGCGAGTTTTCAGCACACTTTTTGCACCATGGCGAGCACGAAAATGTCACTGCACCAGCTGATTCCGTCGACACCTCCCCCTGCCACGCCACCACACCCAGCTTGGCGGACCTTGGTGCGCCTTCGCCGCCTCACCGGCGGACACGAAAATAGAGCCCTAAATCTAAAATGCTCACTCTGTGTGCGTTAGTGTGTGTGGGTCTATAGGTGTATGTGTGGGTGGGAGGGTCATGTTTTATTGTTCTTTTTAGCCTCTATGAGTCACTTAAAACTACATTTATGTCTGAAAAGTTCCATAGAAATAAAATTGAGATTGAATTCGAATTTCACTTAAAAACACCAATCATAACAGCCTGCTGTTTCTTCCCATCAGGCTCAGTCCCGGGTGTTGGAGTCCTCTCAGAAGCTGGATCTTCTGCATCAGTCTGTGGAGAAATGTCTGAAAGAAAAGAGCCAGGAGCCTTTACAGCTTCCTGCAGGAGAAGTCCCCTCAAACGGACCGCCGTCTCCCCAAAACTCCAGACCTGTGTGCTGCCTGTCCAACTCCTCATCCATCTTCTCCATCAGACCCGCTTCCCTGACGGGTACGTTTGTTTTAGTTTGAGGATTTACACCTTTAAGCTGAGCTGTCTTGTTTCTAAGACAGACATTAAAACAAACATAAATCAGTTTGAAAGATTAAAAAAAAAATCAGACAGTAAGACAGATGGACTCTCTCGGTCTCAAACAGCTTTGAAACAACCCTGTGAGTTATGACCAGATGTGCATGGGGACCAGTGAAAGTTTCTCAGCTCAGCATAAGGCTGGAACTGTGAAAACCAGTTTTTGGTTCTCTCTGTACCCCACAGTTATTATAGAGAGGAACTTCTCCTTCTCAATCAAATCAATCAATCAATCAAATTTTATTTATATAGCACCAAATCACAACAGTCGTTATCCCAAGACACTTTCCAAAGAAAAAGAGCAGGTCTAGACCATGTCCATTGTTTGATGAATTGAAAAAGACCCAACCTTAAGATGGGACAGATTTGACCCATCTCATCTAACATGAGTGACAGTGGTGAGGAAAAACTTTCTTTTAAAAGGCCGAAACCTAGAGCAGGACCAGACTCAGGTTAGACAGCCACCTGCCGCTGCTGAGTTGGCGAGAAACACACAGAGAGATAGGGAGGGATATATATAGAAAGAGAGGAGTAGGAGAGAGGGCAGGGGGGAGAGAAAGAGAGCAAGGGAGTAGGAAAGAGAGAGAATGAGCAAGGGAGAGAGAGAGACAGGGGACAGCAGCAACATTTAAAACAACAACAACAGCTCGTCCAGAGCTTCTAAGGTGATGGTGGAGGAAACTCCAGAACCTTTCAGAGTTCTTACTAAACCCTTTGGAGGAACTATCACTGTTAGCTGCCCTGTTTTTTTTTTATCTGCTTTTGATTTTGGGTTGAATTCTCTTTGTAACTTGTTTTTGATAAATTTGAAATTACTAAAACAGTTATTCTAATTATTATGGCATTTTTATGAATAAAAAGCACAACTATTCACCAGCCTCTGACTTTTAGAAAAACCATGACAAGTTATGAGGAGCAAAACACAGATATACTTCTTCAGTTCTTTTTTAAAGGCCATCAAATCTGACATTAATATACCTGTATTTTAAAGAAATGTGTCTGATTGTTGTTCCACGAGTTGCAGCTCAAGCCCAGTCAGCTAAGTGAGTGCAGAGCAGTTGAAGAGATTAAAATGACAATGCATTCGCTGCATGAGACCTATGAGAAAAAAACAAGTCTGATACTATTACTGCAGAGCCATGAGGGAGCGAGTGTGCATCAGAAAGTGGGCCACAATGATTTGTCTCTGGGTCTGAGTCAAGTCAAACAGTCACCCTCTTATTTAGCACCAATTTGTGGATCATGCACCTAGTAACTCCAACCTTTACAAAATTTAAAAGGACACTTTCAGATATGATCAACCTAGGTGAAAACTTCCTGAAAGTTTTGTCTCTGTATTTTTTTCTCTTAAACTTGCCACCTGTCTGAGCCGTCTAATGTGTGCCCACAGTTTGAACCTGGTTCACAACATGCTGACCTCTGGCTCAGGGTAATCAGAACATGTTATCTGCTGGTTTTGGATGGTTCAGATGTAAGCCCGTCTCTGTCTGCACAAGGCCAAGAAAAGGCCGGATATAAAAAAATCCTTTTGATGATGTAACATGGAGACAAATCCTGGAGTTGCTCTATTGGCAGCGAATAGTGAAAGCGAGTCTCAGAGCCCTGAAACACTGGAGGTGATTTTCTGCTCCTCAGCTGCAGAAAAATGAAGAGAGAGGAGAAGTGAAAGCCCAAGTGCAGCTGCAGACAGTGCTGATTAAAGGCTTCAGTCTGAAAGATTCATTAAAGCTGAAAAGTGAAGGTTTTATTTTAAATGTGCCCTCATTTAGATGAGCTGTGCTATCTGAGATTCATTACTGGAAATCAGAAACTCACACAGTTACACTTTATGAGACCGAAGTGTTTTTGCTTTTTTGAAGGCTTTTGATTCGAATTTTCTACGTTATTTTTTTAGGGAAACTTCAAGTCAGGCTTCTTGGATGTGATGACTTATCAGAACCTCAGACAAACCTGGAGCAGAAAAACCACCAGAGTCCAAATGAGGACAGATCACCCACAGCTCATAGGAAAGATGGAACCTCTGGTGAGGACAACTTAAATTGTTAGATGATAAAGTTCTGTTTTTATGATTTCATGTTGAACTTTTCTCAGCTGTGTATGTGCATGTAAAGGTCACATTTTTTTATCCACTCTAGTTTGATTGAAGTCTTGCAGAGATTGAAAGGAACCAAAAACAAATAGGGAAGTTGGGTCAGAAAAAATAGTTTTGTTGCCCCCTGCTGGGCAGTAGGGAGAATGCGGGTTTGCAGCGCTACAGCCTTGGCCTCAGTAGATCTTCATAATCAACAAAAAACCAAATGTGAATTTTTGTCTCCTGTGAAATCTTTTCTCTGTCTCTCAGTCAAGGTGAGTGCAGTGCTCAGACTTGACACCAGGGTGGTAGGTCAGAGTCGCTGGGCTGCTATTGGAAAATTTAACTGGGATGAGACATTCTGCATCCAGCTGGAGCGGGTGAGTCCAGTCAGACACAAAAACAGTCAGTAAGTAATCTAGTGTTGTCCTGCTTTTAGCCACATTTTACCGAGATCCAAGCTTGATCAGTAGAAGTCACAATAAGTAATTGTGAAGATAAAATATTCAATTTCTGTATGAAAAGCTTCATTTAAAATCGAAGACATGTAATCGTCAGCTAAATTTACCATAAGGGCCTATGTCTATCGAGATCTTTCTTGCTTGTAGGGCCTACAACCCAGAAAAAACAGAGTAATAAAATTTCCCTCTCTTTGGACTTCTGCTGATGTAGTTGATCAAGATGATGCTATATGGCGGTGGTACAAAGTTGTAACTGTTTTCTAGGGATGCAATGAATTAAAAAGTCTTGGCCGAAACGGAAAACTGAAAATGAGGAAACCAAGGCTGAACACCAAAACACTGAAAGAAATTTTTTATGCCAGTTATTAGTACCATTGCATTTATAGCTATGGCTGTGTACTAGCATCACTAAAACCAAAACAATGCAATTGTATAAATTAATATCACATTAATATTAATTTATACATTTGCAACATGAATTTGGAGTTTTTGAGTCAACATGTTGCTGCATGTTCTGAGTGGTTTACACCTTTAGATGGTGCCCACGAGTCAGGGGCAAAAACAGCTTAAAAGTTCTGAGAGAAGAAGTGTTGCTCGTGACCTAAATGACATAAAGTAACTAGTAACCCATGCTACATACTCCGGTACAGTAGGTGGCGGTATGCACCTAATAAGCTATGGTTGCAACCCGCCAGAAAACCAAAAGAAGAAGAAGAAGTGTTGTTCGTGGTGGAGACACAGCTAAAAGAAGTAACGTTACTGTGTTTTATTTCAAGCAGCCAAGAGCAGGAGCTGAGCACGACTTTGCGTTGCAGTGTTTATTTCTGTTAAATTTATGAATAAAAGTAAGAAGAAGTGAAACTTCCCCCATTGTCCGTTTGTGCATTTGGCTGCAACATCCCCCACAGACAGAGTGGGCGTGCTTGGAGGGATTTTCCTGCTCTGTGCCACGTTTTTCTCACATTCAAAGTGTTTGGATTTAAGGTGATAAATTAAACCTGATGTGAAAAAACTCTTTGCAGATGCGCCCTCTCTTGAAATTTTGGCATTTTGGCACTATGCTATGCTATGCAAAGTCATGCTATCTGTCGTCCTCAGATATATTGAATCCACACAGCGGACATGTTGGCCCTTATCCAGACAAGCGTATGCTGGCTGCAGTTTTTGCTTGCATCATCACAACATCTGTTTCAGCTGTGTTGTTTTGGTTAGAAAAGTCTCTTGGCTGAAAACGGAAAATGCACTTTTTGCCCATTTTCGGCTGAAAATTTTTGGTGGCTGAATTTTCGGTGCATCTGTTTGCAGCTCCTGTGAGTGCAGTATGTTTTGGGGCCAAGGATCCTGAGTGCTGTAAGAAATTATAGAGCTGACACAGCAAGATGCAATCAGTGGACACAGGCCCTTACTTTGCTGAGTAAAGGTCTTAAAAACTGGGAGGGTATCAGGGGCAGTGGGCTTAGCTGGTTTCATTCGTATCTTTTAAAACAAACCTTTGCAGTAACCATAGGCAATCACACCTCCTCTACTTCTGCTATCGCCTGTGGTGTACCGCAAGGTTCAGTTTTAGGTCTAATTTTATTTTCTATCTACATGCTGCCCCTCGGCCAATTTATTCAGTGCCACCAAGTCTCCTTTCACTGCTACGAAGACGACACACAGATATAACTTCCTTCGAGACCTGAGGACCCAAGAGGCCTAGCTTCTGTCGTGGACTGTCTAAGTGACATTAACTGTTGGATGGCACAAAATTTCCTTCAGCTAAATTATTCAAAATCTGAAATAATTCTCTGTAACATACAAAACTCCCCCCTCATACAGTCTTGTCTCAGCCCACATTCAGTGATCATCAAACCAACAGCCAGAAATCTGTGAGTAACCTTCGATTCAGACCTCACCTTCTCCACCCATATCAACATGATTGTCCAGTCCTGTTTCCTTCACCTGCGTTCAATTTAAAAAATTAAACAAATACTTACCCCACCAGATCTTGAAAAAATAACCCATGCTTTCATTTTCTCAAGGCTGCATTACTTTAACTCTCTCCTCCCTGGTTTGAACAAGAAATCACTCTCCCGCCTCCAACTAGTTCAGAATGCAGCAGCTCGGCTTTTAACTGGTTTTAGTAGACGGCATCACATCACTCCAATTCTAGCCTCCCTTCACTGGCTTCCTGTCAGTTTTAGAATTGATTTTAAGATTTTATTGATTACTTTTAAAGCACTCGAAGGACTTGCCCCAAGCTACATTTCAGAGCTTTTAATACCTTATCAGCCAACTCGCAGCCTCCCCTGGCGAAGGCCTCCTGGTCGTTCCAAAGTCGAGGCTCAAAACTAAAGATGATCGATCTTTCTCCATCAGAGCTCCTCGACTTTGGAACAACCTGCCAGAAGAGATAAGGCGCACAGAGACAGTCGCTTCTTTTAAGTCAAATTTAAAAACTAACTTTTACAGACTTGCTTTTATGTGATGCCATCTTTTCTCTTTTTTTCTTTTATCTCTTTTACCTCTATCTTATTTTGGCTTACTTTCTTTTTAGCCTTTGTTTTACATATAATCTTTTCTTATTTTACCTTTTAGGCCTCTCATTATTTTTATTGTTTTTCCTGCTCATTTTTGTTATTCCATTTTATCATTACTATTATCATTATTATTTTGTTATATCAATATTTATATTGTCTTTTTATATTTACTATCATATTCCCTGCTTTCTACCCCCCTCTTTTATTACATTTCTTTTCTGACTATTTTATGTTTTTATTTTGGTCCTCATGGTCTCATTTTATGTTGTAGGGTTCTTGTATTGTCTGGGTTCCTTATGAAAAATGAAATTGGTCTTCAGTTCGGAGGCCTTGTTTCTAACTGAGCCTTTGTTTTTTATTTGTTTTTATTTCCATGTTCTGATGTTCTGTGCTTTACGACTGTTTGTCAAAGCACTTTGTAAACTTCTGTTTGTAAAAGTGCTATAAAAATAAAGTTATTATTATTAAAGTCATTATAAAATATAGATATAATTAACTTATAAACATGTATTTTATTTAGATATCACCTGCTGGTCTGAATAATCAGAATAACTTGTCTGTAGTTTTTCCTGCTGCTGTATTTTGGTGTGGCTGTCTCAGGGAGCAGCGTGTTGGGGTGCTTTGGTCATGTACATTTCTGATTGAAGTTAATAGTGACTACAGAACTGCCTCAGCTGTACATTTTTTAAATGATTCTTGGTTTGTTTAATTTTTATACCCGTCTTATTTCCATGTTTTGGGTTATTTGCAAGTTAGTCTTTTTTGGACAACATGAGCCAAAGACTTCACATCCTGCAGAAGTTTACACTGTGACTAACGATTCTTTGGATGACATTGTGTTTAACCTTTTCTGTTCTTCTTCTTCACTCTTTTCCTCATATTGTTGCTCTTATCGGTTTTGTTTCCTCTTTTAGTGCATGAAAAAACTGAATCAAACTTGACTGCTGGGCAGCTTTTCTGCACCTACAGGAATTTTATTATTGTTGTAGTTCAGCCTTTGGCCAACAATTGTCTCCCTAACACCTGCCAATAGCTCTTCATCACAGCATATCAATGATTGAGTCCACACTAAATAAGGAGGAAAGCAATGAGTTAAAGCTATTTACTGCTGCAGAACAGGTTTTCATGCCTTTTCTTAACCCAGTCAGCTCATTTCAGTTACAAAAGACAGACATGCAAAAACAATTTTTAATCTTATCGGTTAAAAAAAGGTAAACAGTTTAAAAAAATAAATAAAAATAAAACAGCCTTGCTGGTAGAAAAAGAACCAGGTTGATCTATTAGTAATGTTTTTGTGTTGGTCCGACAGTCTCGAGAACTGGAGATCGGAGTCTTCTGGGGGGATCGGAGGGCCATGTGTGCTGTGAAGTTCCTGCGACTGGAGGAACTGATGGAGAACCAGAACCTGAACCAGGAGTTCATCCTGGAGCCACAGGGAGTTCTTCATGCAGAGGTACTCACAGTCACTTTTTCTGCAGGGATTTCTTACAGAACTTGGATGGTCAAATAAACACGAATAAGGAGCGAAACACAGCCAAAAAAAGTACTAATAAAACTAGTTTAAAGTTTACCTTTTCAAACCGTGTCCTTCATGCAATCTTTGATTTCTTCATTGCAGCTTTTAATTGATATCTATTCAAAAGAATTGCATATGTAGCTTAGGTTTAATCCTTTTAATTTCTTTTTTTTTTCTTTCACTGTTGGTCCCTGTAATGTTTCACCTATTTCAAGATTAGGAGTTTAAAAGCAGTGTTACAGTTTAACACCTAAGCCTCCAAACTGTACCCGTCTGAATCAGATTACCTGTGCTGTTTCTGCAGATTTAAAACAGTTAACGTCACAAAAATCTCCTTTTCCTGGTTTCACAGCTTCGTTTCATTGACACTGTTGTTGAACGTCAGCCAAAATTGAGACGTCAGAGATGCATCTTCACTAAAGAGAGAGGTACTGACAAACAGCCTGAAGGACATTATACAGACAGATATGCAGCCTGTCTTTTCTGCTTAGCCGTCCACCTGTCCCTGTTTGACTCGTTTATATCCTCAGGTAAGAACTTCCTCCGAGCGGCTCAGATGAACATGAATTTTGCCACCTGGGGTCACCTGATGATGAACATCCTCCCTCGGTACAGCTCCTTCACCACATTCAGCTCCTCCCTCTCCCCGACCCCCGACACTGTGGTCAGCAACAGCTCACAGCCCCCTGAGAAAGAGCCTCAGACCAACACCGCACTGCCAAGGTCAGGAACTAATCTGATACACCTGAAACAGAGTTAGAAAGTGAGCCTCTTCACTCTCTCTGACTGTATTTTTGTATTTACAAGCCCAGGTATCTGTCCTTCAGACTAACTCGTCACATTATCTAAAGACAGCATTTCTGAACCAACATGAGGGCTTTAGAAGTTTGGGATAAAAACTGAACAATGTCCATATTTTCTTTTTGTTTTGTCTTTTTCATGTTTAGTGAAGCTCCTGTAATCACAATCAGCCTCACTGAGGATCAGACGACTCCTTCCAGCCTTGACCAAGGAGACAAAAGCTCTACCATCATCACCACTGACCACAAAACCTCATCTGCTCCTGCATCACAAGATACAATGGTAAACTCCTGTTCTGAAGTTTGATCCACCAGGAGTGGGTTAGTGATAGGGCAAAAGTCTGAATGATGTGTTTCCAACACTGTGTATATCCATTTTTTTAGCTATGCTTGTGCCAATGCATTTACCACTGATCCAAATTTGGGATGGTGCAGAATAACAGTAACCAACTGCATCTGCAGCTGTGACTCGTTTTCATTGAAAATCACAATTATCTCCTCTGTTTGCAGTCGTCCACAATTGCCACAGAAGGAAGTGAAGATCAGCCTGTGTTGTCTCCAAAGTAAACACTGTCTCTTTTCATCCATTATCCTGTCAAAGTAGAACATTTCAAGAGCGGAGGTCATTTTCTGTATTTCTTTCTTTCTCCAGGATGCAGGTGGATGATTACAGATATATTTCAGTTCTGGGCAGAGGACACTTTGGCAAGGTGACAGTAGAACTCCATCAAACTTTATTATTAAAATATCTCTCCCTGATGTTTCTCCTCAGCTGGTATGTTGTGATTTTTTTGTCTTTAGGTTCTTCTTGCAGAGTTCAAGAAAACAGGGAAACTGTACGCCATCAAGGCCTTAAAGAAAAAAGACATTGTGACACGGGATGAAGTGGACAGGTGAGTATAAGGAACTCTAACATAATGACATAAAAATAAGTGTCAGGGTTGCTGTATTTGGATTGGCACACAATAGTTAAGCTGCCTCAGCGTCGATCTGCTTCCTGCTAACAGAAAGTAAACAACACTTTTGGATGTCACGTTTCACTTCAAGAAAACTGCACTGACAGTCAGCACTCATTCACTGTCTGTTTTAGCTCATCTTAAATACAGAGAATAACTCCAGTAAAATCTGGGGTGTTTTTCCGCAGCCTGATGAGCGAGAAGAGGATCTTTGAGATGATCAACGCGTCCAGACATCCGTTCCTGGTGAACCTCCATGGCTGCTTCCAGACCAGCGACCATGTTTGCTTTGTTATGGAGTATTTACCAGGTGGAGACCTCATGATCCACATCCACAACGACGTCTTCTCAGAGGCTCAGACCAGGTACGAGTCCTCCTGTCCCCCTCCTCTTTAACAATATCATCTTTGTTTATCTTTGTCTTTGTTTGAGTCTTTTTTTAACGATATGAATGTTTCATCTTGTTGTTGATGTTGCAGGTTTTATTCAGCGTGTGTCATACTTGGGTTAGAGTTCCTGCATCTTAACAAAATCATCTATCGGTAAGTCAAGCTCGCCCCGCAGAGAGGTCACCTTAAAAAAAGACTGTTACCTCAGGTGTTTTTACCTGTTCTTCTTCTTCTTCTCACTCAGAGACCTGAAGCTGGACAACCTGCTGATGGATGCAGATGGATTTGTGAAAATAACAGACTTTGGACTCTGCAAAGAAGGTGAATTTATTCAACACATAAAACTCAAGTCACCAGACATCTCTATTTACCAAACATGTATGTTAAAGTTTCAAAGTTTTAATTTTCACTTAAGAAAAAGGGTAGAAAAGTCAGCTCAGTCTGTGCTTTATCCTGCTCAAATAAGAAGATATTTAAGTTATTCAGACAGAGGTTTTGTTGGAAATTAAAAGTATCCCAGTGAAAAAAATGGTGAAGGTTTTAATGAACCTCAGTTTTGAGTGGAATCTTTATTTTTAGGGCCTCTTTATGGTATTTGATGATGCTAATGTACTGTCCTTTTCTGTTCAGGGATGGGTCATGGGGACCGGACCTCCACTTTCTGCGGGACTCCTGAGTTTTTGGCTCCAGAGGTCCTGACAGACGACAACTACACCCGAGCTGTGGACTGGTGGGGGATGGGTGTCCTGATCTTTGAGATGCTTGTGGGAGAGGTTGTTACTGATTCAGATGGTTTAGCCTCAGTAACTCAGATGTTTCTAAGCACTCATTTTCTGCCTATATTTAATGTTGTAAATTTAAAAAAACCTTTGTCATCTCTCTCTTCCTCCTTCCCTCTGGTCTGCTCATAGTCTCCGTTCCCCGGGGAGGATGAGGAGGAGGTGTTTGACAGCATCGTCAATGATGATGTTCAGTATCCAGCGTGTCTTCCTCCTGATGTTGTCTCCATTGTCCAGAAGGTAAAAAAACTTTTAACATGATTCTCTCTAAAGGTCTGAAAACTTGTTACATTTTTTTGTTACATATAACAACAGTAGTAAATGTTTCTGTATCGGTTTTTGATTAATTGATTGATCGATAAATGATTTTTTGCAGCTTTTGAAGAAGAATCCTCTAAAGAGACTTGGAGCTGGGGAAAGAGATGCTAATGAGGTGAAAGGAGACAAATATTTTGAGGTAAATAACAGAAGTCACATTCATCTTTTGAAGTTTTATTCTTCACAAACAGCATGTGGGCACCACAAATGAGGAGGTTTCCACCAGAGGGTCCAGTCCAGTCTAGTACAGTCTTGTTCTTCTTTAATTTTGCTGTAAACTGTCTGAATCCTGTAAATGTAAGATTTGATGGACAGCCTTGCTTGTTAAAGATAAACTTCTGCCCATGATCTAAATGAACTGATCCTGGGTTTGTCTTCTCTCTCCTCTCAGACCATAGACTGGGACGCCCTGCTGGCCAAAAAAGTCAAACCTCCATTTCTGCCGTCGATCAAAGAGTCAATGGATGTCAGTAACTTTGACAGTGACTTCACTCGCCTCAAGCCCGTCCTGTCGCCCCCCTCTAAACCCTTCGTCCTCTCTGCAGAGCAGCAGGAAGCGTTTGCAGATTTCGACTTCTGTGCTCTGCATGGATGAAGGCGAGCAGGAAAGACCAGGGTGGGAGACAGACATTTACTTTAGCTTTGTATCTGGGACCATTTCAGAGGTAGACAGCTATTTTCATGTCGGTGAAATAGAGTCAGGAAAGCAGTGATTAAAGATTTTACCCTGATTTGAATTGAAGAATTGTCCAGGGCCAGGGAATCTAGTTTGTTTTTGCTCTGGATTAACAAAGAAAAACAGGATTGGATCAACTTGATACAAACTTTTAAAGTTACCAAACCCAGATTCCTGGAGTTTCAAAAGAGACGACAAACTTTGTTCACAGACATTTTCTGTTTGATATTGATGCTATTCAGTAGATCATTTTATCAGGACACGTTTATGACCACTGAAAGTTTTTTAAAACTTTAATCCTGCAGTCCAGCCTGAATCCAGCCCTTTGTTGGGGTCAGGATAATCCTGATTTTATTGATTAGTTATCGCAGTCCTACTTAAAGTTTTCAACATATACTTGGAGTTTAAAACAGACTAAAAAACAGGATTAGATTATCTGATCCTTTCATGATCCCTTTTGAACTCACTGTTTTCAAGCATTGAACCTACAGGACCGCTTTAATCTGATCTGGCTTTCACTTTTTCAAGTAAAGTTTCCCACTCTGGTCTTGCCAGTTCTTCCAAAGTAAACATACCCTTTTTCTGCAGCTCGAAAAGGATAAAATTAAATAGATTTTTCTGACTGTTGTCACTAGTTGTCCAATGTACCCTCAAACCCAGATTAAATAATGAGGCAGCATCACCTTTTTTTGTCTCTAACAGAGCAAAGACAGGGATATTTGCCCGCTGTATTTGACCAGAGCTGCACTGTTTGGCTCTCTCCTGCTGTGACAGACCTGATCCTATAATAAGTTTTATTTACATCAAACAAAATGTTGTACAGACAAATTTAGATAACCTACAACAGGATGCTTGAAGAGGTTATAAAGTTAGCATCTCTCTTGTAAGCTTCTTCTCACTCACTGTCAGCTCACTTTAACATCTCCAGTGCTGGAAATGTGCTTTAGTCATACATTTGGAGTGAACATAAGTAAGTAAGTAAAATATTGTAAATAGCTTGGTCTTAACTTTCTGAGAGACAAATAATGAGCTCTCATCACATGTTTAAAAATCCACCATTATTTTCTTCAGCTTTAGAAAACCCAGCATTGGTCTGGCTCGAACACTCATGACAAAAACCTATGCACTAATTTTAACAAAGTTCTGTTTGATGAACCAGGAAGTAGCTGCTGATGTCAAAATAGTAACAGCTACTAGCTGTTAAAACAAGATGTGATTACAAGGTGACAAAGGGTTTAAAGCTTGTTCTGGATAGAGTTCACCTCACATATGGTAGACTGTATGCATGCTCCACCTCTCTACCACTCTCGGATTTCATGAGGGAAAAATAAGGAAAGAGAGAGAAAAGAAGGTGTCCTGGACGATAGAGCTAGAATGAGCCTATTTGAGGAACAATTCAGGATAACCAGGTTAGGATGCACACTCTACCTCCCACACTGACATTTCACTAGATGTGAGAGGAGAGAGAAAAGACAAGAGAGGAGACTGAAGAAATGTTTCAAAAAGAGGTCAAGGAAGGAAGATCCAGGGCAACAAGGTTAGGTTGAATGCTCTACCTCCACCTACTTTTGGACTTTTATTGAGGGAGTGAGGAAAGAGAAGGAAGAGTCTGTTGAGAGAAGTTAGAAAATGGTGAAAAAGGCAAAGACAGGGTGAGAAGCCAGGTAAGGTTTGGACTTATCCCAGTAGGGTCAGGCTGTACACATTACCTCCCCTCCATTCCCCAGTTTTCATGTGGGAAGAGAGAAAACAATAAGAAGTCAGTCTGAGATGAGAGATTAGGAAAAGGATGGAAACGTATTTGACAGTGGAGAGGGAAGGCACAGCCAGGTCAAAAAGCTTTGACCAGAATTTATTACAACCAGGTTAGCTGTACCTTCCCACTACTCCCCCACTTTAATGAGGACAAAGAAATGTTATGTTTCTTATGTTAGAAGAAGGACAGGGAAAGTTGAGTCAGGTTGAAAAGCCTGTTTGGACTTGAACTTAGATTTAACGCTCTACCCTCCCACTTCTCCCCCACAGCTTAGGCTATGCTCTCCAGCTTCCAAACACTCCCACTGGGGATGTACTTGTTACTGCTTAAATGTTGTAAATTCATCCATGAAGAAACTTAAGCATTTGAACTTTTGCATACTGACGAGGTACCTCTTAAAACCAGCTGGTATGTAACCTCTTTAAGCATCCAGTTTGTTGGAGACCGATTTAGCTTGCTTCGTGGCCTTTGCTTCCTATATCTACTCTAAATATATATCCCTCTGAGGTACAGTATGTGCTGCCATTTCTATGCATCACTGTGACAGGCTTCGCCCACTGCCCTGAACAAAACAAGAAACACAAAGCTAACCCAAGTCCTGGTTATGAGCCTTTTCTAAAAAAAGATGTTAACTCCATGATGAAAATTTTCATATACTTGTCAACTCAATCCTTCGTAGCTTAAATACACTTATATTCACGTATCACTGTCCTCTGACCAACTGTTTTCTGTTACAGCGGTGGTAGTGCATGGCACTGTGGTGAACTTGTGCACTAGATATCCTGTACTTGCTAGAATAATCTAAAAAGCCATAGAGAATTTAATATAGCCATACTATATATGAAAATATATGTATTTTCAGTTAAGCTAACCATATTCTGTGATATAGATCTCTGATGATGTCAGTGCAATATAAATAGAGGTGGAAGAGGAGCAGCAGGGATGAAGCTTTAAGATAAAGGTTCTGATTTCACTGACCTCCAGAAAAATCACCAAAAACATGCCAAAAGTTTGAGTAAAAATATCAGAACTGACAGAGAGCTGGGGCGCTTCAGCAAAACAAGACAGGAGACTTTAAAGAAAAGCTTCACACCAGTTTCAGTTTAAGAGTAGGAAGTCACAAAACATTCAGACAGTCATCCTCAGGCTTTAACACCAAACTTCAGGATGTATTTTCTGGATGTTTGTGGTTTGAATTTATGGGAAATGTAGATCTTGTTACAAATATTTGCTGTTTTTCACTCACAAGTCAGTGTTTGACCTCCAGTGTGAACCACGCTGGGAAAAAAAATATTCAAATGATTTAAAAAAATTTCCTTCAAAAAATTGTAACTATAACTCTAAATACTGTGTATATGAAGTGGGCAAAGCCACCATAACATTCCCCAATATTATCTTTACTTCTGTATTCAAGCCCATGGTAAGCATTTTCTGTCACCACTGTTTCTTATTTTTTGAAGCAAGAGCAACCATACTTTTGATTCCAGGTTTGCTCATTAAAACATGGGGGAAAAAAAATTGTACCAGGCGACCAACATGTTTTTACTACGAGTCCGGATTAGGATTTAGGCCTTTTTGGGATCAGCCCCAAGGGGCCGTTTTAGGAACTGTAGTTTTTGGCACTTCCAATTTAGTCATAACTGCTGCTTTCTCTTCAACAGCAAAAAGGTCACCTGATAATCTTTAAATATTAGCGATGTGGAAATGTAGGAATTTTGAAACTTTCCTTGAGCAAGAAAAGTATTTTTTTCCTTTACAAACGGCTTCCTGGTGTAATTTGAGAAGAAAACTGGGAAGAATATTCTGGCAAGCAAAATGAGCATCATAATCCTTAAGTGTTTTTAAAAGTTATTTTAAAGTCTTAAACCTTCTTTTCTGTCATCACATTTCCATAATCTTTCATCTGCTTCTACAAATCAGTGTCTGAGTGCTCAGTAATGTTCCCTGCAGGAGTTTTAATACATGGTCAGATGTTTTCAGTTGCTTCTCAATGAGGGATTTCTATCAAAACCTGCTTCTTTGCAGAGCCTGTTACCTCATTTTAAACCCCTGAAACCAATATCCATGAGCAGGCAATTCTGATATAAAATTAAAACTAGATCTATTACACAATCACTGTCATCTCATGTTTCCACTGAATATTGTGGACAGTGGGATAAATGCAGACTCATTAGGAAGCTTGATGAAGTCATATTTACCTGCTCGCGTCCAGGTGTGATAAGTTGCTCTTTAAACAAACAGGATTATCATCCTGACGGTTCACTACAGCTCCTCCAGTCTTGCTGAAGTGCCCTTGAGCAAGGAGCAAAACCCTTTACCTGTGTCAGACAAGATTGTCAGCTTAATGAGCAGGATGTAGCAGGATAAGCGGGCGGTGTTAATTTAGCAACTGTAGCACTTTAAGTTTATGCTGCTGAATATTACACACGTTACTTCTGTGTCAGTACTGTATTTATGTATGTTTGTATGTATGTGAAGCATCATGACTAGGAATGTCATTGTGTACAGATGTACTCTATAACAACAGGCATATCATATCATCAGTGTTTTAATGTACTATTGTTGTCAATAAATAAAAACAGAAAAAATATAGTAAAAAAAATGTTTGTAAAATATTTCCTGCTGTGAAGATTAAATTAATTTAATATTAAATATCTACAGTCCACAAACTTAAACTCCATACTAAAGACTTATTCATTTAGACAGACAGACATAAAGGCATTTTAGTGTTACCACTGAAGGGTCTGAACTCTCACAACAAAGACATGAATAACAGAGACAGAAGAGACCAAACCTGAGCGATCAGCTGACAGAGGCTGACACTGAAGTTAACTGATTTTAGTCATTCTGAGTTCAGTTATCTTTGCATGAGGATTAGAGTTTTTCTTTTTGCTTTAAATCTCCTGAATCGTGTGATACCAAAAACACATCTGTAAAAGCAATGAGCTTTTAACAAGAAAATGATGTCAGACAGAAAAAAACTGGAACTGTGGAAGCTAATAAACAATTATACAATCATTCAAACAATTAGAAATTAAGAAATCAGAAAAGATGACAGAAGACAGGAGAACCACAAGCAATGCTGCATTTGTGTATCATACTTAGTGTGGACCTGATCATTTTCATGAGCACAAAAACTAATAATGAATTTTATGAGATAATCGTCTCTTGTTTAGAAGATAATCTGTTCTGATATAAAATAAAAAAACATTTTAACTCAACAGTTGGCGGGAGATCGGTCTGAAATACGGGAGAGTCCCGGGGAAACGGGAGTGTTGGCAGGGAATGATTATGATTGATTGCTGCTTTGGTCTGGTGGCTGCACCGCTAGTTGTAGCTAAACTGCCTTGCTACTTTTGCCGTTAGCGGTGATAGGCTGTGCAGACTCCACTCGCATTTTCATGCTTTCCACATAATCACTCGGGAAAAACTTAGTCAAATTATTTAAACAGATTTGTTATGTTGCCGTTTTATTGGTTTAATTGCTGGACGTCATTTTGGGGATACCTGAACCACCGCCACACAACCAACGTTGAATAACTTCTCAACAATAACATCCTCAGAGGATGACTTAAAGTCATGGCTGACATCTATTTTGCTGCCCTCAGCTCCGCGTTTAGCTTTATGTTCGGTCATTCTTTTTTCTGGTACTTACAGAAGTGAGCCGGAAAAACTCGTCTCTGATTGGCTGTTGTGACGCACATTTCCGCTATGTTTGATCGAGTAAAAATGCTCACAGCTGATCACCGTGATCGAACTGAAATTTATCACGATCATCGGTCACGATCATAATCGCCCAGTCCTATGCCAGATGTTTATTTGTTTATAAGCAAAGTTTCTCGTTGGTCAAAACATGTTCCCCAAGAAACAGGGTTAACTTATTAAAGAGTCATAATTTATATCAATCTCCAAAAGTTTGGCAGAAGTTTTGGGTATGACTGCAGTGGTGTTGACTGCTGTTATACTGCTGCTAAAGTTGAAATGGGTTTGTTGGTAGAAAAATAAATAAATAATGCATCCGGTTTTTCTATAGCACTTTACCAGAGACCCTCAAAGCACTTTACATTGGATACATCATTCATTCGATCACACAGTCATACCCTGGTGGTGGTAAACTACCAAATGTTTTACCTGAGAGAAGTCAACAGAAAAAAAGGTCTGCCTGAATAAAAATGAATGCACTTTTAATTTAACACATCAGTCGGCTGTTACCTGGATGCAGATTAGTTGCAGCATTTTTGCGGACATTTTTTGGCCGGAGTTCTGCAGCACCACCAAAAGACAAATATGAACTCTCTAGAGCATCAGTCTTTCGTCTTTTGAAAGTACGGCCTGATTTCGGAGGATGAGGTCTTGTCTGGTTGGAAATCAGGCAGGGTTCTGGTTGTTCCTCAGGTACATTTTCTCCCACATCACTGTCCTGCAGATGCAGAAAAAGTCCCACAGGTTGCAGAAGATGCCCCGGTCGAAAGGGTTTTCCTCGTCCCCGCAGTTCTTCAGGTACGAGATCCTGTGACGGGACATGAACTCCCATGTGGTGCAGTTGATGGAGACCAGGTAGAGGTGGCAGCCCAGCAGGAGCACCACCACCACGGAGAAAACGCTGACCACGCCCAGTGCCGCCAGCAGGAAGCCGTTCGTTTTGAACCACAGCTCCCATGAGACATTGGGTGAGATACCAGACCTGAAAAATGTACAACAGCATTAGATCCAGGATACAGAAAAGTACATGGACAAGAAAAGTTCAAATTAAGGTAAAACCCAGACAGGATCGCTGATTATAGTCTGAGACCCAAGAGAGACTCTGCTGAACTGATCTGTCCTGAGTTTAGATCCCTCACAGTGAACACTTAATCTCCTTTCATTTTCATTTCAGTGTTTACACACGGAGGACCTCAGCTTTGAGGCTTCACGCTGGCTTAAAGGTACTTGAAAGGTTTGAGATAAAAGAAGTCTGTGAAGAGCCTTAAAAGTCGTGTAAAATCTTAAATCTACTTGAATTGAAAAATAAGAAGATCCAGGATGATTTTGTGGTCCTGGTCAAAAGCCTGGTAACTGAAATCAGTGCAATCTGTCTTGATTTATGCAGGTAAAAAGGCCACTTTAATATCCCAGTGCACTGAAATGAAAGCAAGTAAAGCTGTTTCTGTGTCTCTAAAAGTTAAAAAAGGCTGAATTTTTAAAAAAAATTCTGAGACGATAAAATGGTTTGCACAAGCTCAAACTGCAGATTCTTTGCAGCACGTTCAATCTGACAGCAAACCAGCAGGGGGCAGTGTGTGTCTGGTCATGTGCTAAGGTCCAAAATAGACTTTTAAACTCAGGGAAACGGTCAGAGTTCCTTGGCAGAAAAGGATCAATCACACTGGATTGATATGAGATCTAATATTCAAAATAAAAGTATCTGAGAGGCCCTGTTTCTGATTAACTCATTTTTCAGATTAATGTTGTCAGCCTTATTGTTATCATGAAACTCCCACTTCAACGTCTGAAGAAAGTTTTGGCTTTTTTCTTTTTATCTCTTACATCAGTGACTGTATCTGTTTAGGTCACATTCAGAGCAAAGGTTTTCAGACAAGATAAAACCTGCAGGGTTTATGACGCACCCTTAAGCAGAAGTCTGAAACTTGTGAAATCACATCAGTCTTTCTCAACAAAACAATAACAGTTTTATTTCAGGGACTCCTCTGGCTTTCATTCTGACCTTTGTGTTTTCTAATCCTGCATTAATTTAGTGATTTAAAAGGGCCTGGGTCCCAAATGAGGACCCATGAAACCAGCCTGCTTTACTGTCTGTAAGGAGAATAAAGGTAGCTCTACCTGTTGCAGCTTTAACAGCTACTAAACTACTAATAATACAAATTTAAAAATAAATATTATGTCATATATAATCATATATATATAAATCACAGGCCTGGGTGAGTAAGCATGCTGCCAGTTTATCCAGTATGACTGAACTCTTACTCAACTGGGAGATCTGAAACAAGATTAGTAGACATAATCGAGTATTTCAATGTTGTTGTTGTATTTATATAATCAGCTTTATTGTTTCATCCGTCTTGTAAATATTTGATCTATCTGGAAAAATGGTAAAGCATTTCTGTTGTTTTTTTCTTCTTTATTAACATTAATAAGCTGCAATAATCTATATTACACCCCAAAGTTTATTTACTCCGCTGTATTAATTTGTTGTTTGTTTATTTTTTTTTTTACTTCTCAGTGTATTGCACCAAAAGTAATCTGACCTGTTTGGACATCTCTGCCTCTTAAAGCTGTGAGCACAATTAAACCCACACTCTATGAGCTTTATGTAAGTTCAAGTGCTTTGATTTAAGAGCTGCAGGATTGATTTCAGCACCAAAGGTCACTTGAACTTTAAAGCTGCACTTGAGCAACACATTCAAGCCCCCCTTTACTAAAAGAAACACAGATTAGCCTGTTAGTTTACTGGTCACCACTAAAAACCTCCTTTAAATGACTTAAATCAGCCAAATGTTTTGCACAGACTTTTCTCTGACTCATGATCAGCTGAAGTCTTTGAGCAGACCCTGAGGGTTATCTCTGAGGCCGCAGACAGAGGGTTAGTGTGTTTGAGTGTACGTTAGAGTGTGTGTGTCATAGACGTACAGAGCGATGTGAAGAGCCCACAGCAGAGCGAACAGCTGCACCAGCAGCTAGACAATGAACCAGCGGTGGTTCCTCTCTCCCACACAGTTCTCGATCCACGGACAATGGTGGTCGAAGCGCCGGACGCAGTGGTTACATGTCTGGCAGTGCTTTGCTCTCATTGGCTGCTGCTCAGAAAGAGAAGAGGAGAGAGATAAAAAAAAAGACCTGCACACATCTTTGAGATGATCCATCTTACACACAAACTAAATAAAAGACAAAGTTTAAACACTGGACCAAGCTGGCCACCACAGCCTTTCGTCAAATCATTAAAAACTGAAATAATACAAATTTCAAGAGCTGATGGCAGTCTCAAGAGCTGGCCAAAGACGATTTTTAAAAGGTATTTACAAATCCACCATTTCTATCGTAAGACAGAAAAAAATATATCAAAAAGGGGTTCAGAATCTGCTGGACCTTCAAATCTGACACAAAGACTCATAGTTGGTTATAATTCAAAAGATACAAAAGGCATTATCAGAAAAATATACCAAGGATCCGTCCTGATGAAAAGGAATATCATAAAATGAGACAGCATTGGGAAAAAGAAATTCATGTTGTTTTATCAGGAGACACTTGGCTTTAAATATGGCAAATTCAGTCCACGTTCACTATGAGATTCCTGCTAAAAAAATGTTTTTTTGTTTTTTGTTTTACCCCCAAAGGTCCAAATTTAGTGTTTCAGGATGCTTCTGCTGGAGAGAGAGGCAGTGTGCAAGAGTTTCTGCAGACTGTGTTTGTCCTTCAGTCTTATCTAGTGGCTGAGGATTTAATTTCAGAGATTTTACCTGCAATATTTTATTTTTTTAATTTTCTGTGCCTTGGAAAAATATCTGAAGCCCTCAGCACCAACATTACTAGTATGTGAATGTCTGCAGAGCCGAGACTAACTCTTTAATGTGGCACATTTAATATAAATGCAGATAAAGTCATCCAGAATGAAAAAGAATTGTGGCAGCAAACAAATTCATTGGAAAGTAGAACAAGTGCCTTCAACAAAGAGATGGGTGATTCAATAAGTATCATGTGTACGAAATGAAAATGTTGGGTAGAGCGTCAGGGGTGAGCCAAAACTTGAAAAGATCTGAAGCAGATCGCGAACGTTTTTGGAGCCAGAATTGTTCTCATTGCTCAGCTCTGAGTCATCACTGAGGAGAGCAACAGGATGTTCCTCCACAATGAACACTCCTGATTGTTAATTAAACAAAAATGTTATTCATTCTGAAGCTGTGAAATACAGGAACCATGAGAAGAGTGAGTTGAAATCTTAAACACACCTGTGAGTCAGACAGGTTTGGAAATGTACAAACACAGACTAAACAGAGCAGAGGTTGAATCTAAGTTGGAACAGCAGTTTACCTGCAGCAGGCAGTATCCACAGCGCCTCAGACGAGGGGTTGTAGACTGAGGAATCATCGACTCCACCTCCTCATTTGAACCCTGAACATTGTGCACAATAGAGTGTTGAAGGTCACACATACACAGTCTGGGGTAACTTCAACTTCAGGACTGGATGGGAAAGTCATTGTATATATGTGTCACAGTGCTGTGCATGAGCTGCTTTTAGGATGAGAGTGTTTCCTCCTGAAATTCAGTCTCACCTTCATGGTGTCAGAGAGCACAAAGCCAGGGTCCATTAAGGAAACAGCAAAGTATAAAAGCACTGACATCACAACCACCAGAAAGAACAGGATCGGCAGCAACAGCTCTCCTTTCTCCTCACATTTTCGCAGATCTACACACACACACACACACACACACACACACACACACACACACACACACACACACACACAAATTGATTAAACCTAACAGTCTCATAAAAATGTCTGACATTCATTTTGGGAACCTGGGACTCTGCATCTTCTGCTCTTCAGAGGAGAGGGACTGCCCGTCCTGTTTTCAGTCCACAAATCAAAAGGTAGTAATTTAGAATTTATGTCAATAAAACCTCTGTGAGGAGTCATGAAATGACGCAGTGAGTTAAATCCTTCATTCCCAGTGAGGGAAATTGTACTAACCTGACCAGATCAAATCTAAGAGGTTTATATGAAAGTACATTCAAATAGACAGCACATAGATGACATACCCAGAGCAAGAGCAGATAGGGTTTCAGGTTTTCAGGGCGATGTTTAATGAAAATAAACTTTACATTACTTCTGTCTGTGTTTAAAAAAATTTGTAATAAAAGTCAGACATACAAATGTAAATCAGGGTGCTCTGCATGTCAGAACCAACAGAGTTATATAAGAGGCCCTGATCAAACCAGTCTGTGAGTACTCTCCTGTTTACCTGCCTGCTGCTGACAGGTGAACTCACATCTTCCGGTCACCTGGTGTCAGAGATAACCTCAGCAGCTTTAAATCTGGAATCTGTCACAGTTCACAGAAACCGGACTCACCTGTGTTGTGCAGGAACAGAGTCAGGGTTGTAACCCAGGTTAGCAGAGTGTGGGTCGCCCGAACCAGGAAACCATTCCGAAACATGTTCTGAACCATTTTAATACTTTGAAAATCAGCACCACTGTTAGCTAACAGGCTAACCAACTAATCACTCTCGTTAGCTTTCTTCTATTAACAAACCGGAGGTGGCTACGGAGACAAACTAAATATACACAGAGCCTTACAGATTATAACTAAGCCATCGAAGGCTATACATTATACATCAGAAACGCGGCGGATTGTAGCGTTTGATAGTGGTTCCATCATGGTGAATTCTGCCGACACCACTTCCTTGTTTTGATACGGGAGCTGCGTTGGACAAAATGAGCTTAACGCGATGCGGAAAAGTTGTCAGCGGGTTGGGTCCCTTTTCGTGTCATATCGGCCTTGTGTGTTCAAACCCGAGAATAGTGTTTCATTGGAGTTTGTCAAAATTATCTAAACTAAGCCGTAGGTCTTGCAGACCCAGACTGCAGGGGTTGGTTGCCTGGCCTACATTCGGGTTCTCTATACAGTTTTTCAGCGAAGGAGCAAAGCTGACTGGGCCGATCTAATGAAAATACTGCTGACAAGTATCACACATAGATTTATTTCAGCGTCTTGAATCCAGGGGTTTCCTTTTTTTCCCGTTTATTTGAAACAGGGCCGAAATAGACTGAAGAAAAGATCAGAATGCTCCTATAGCAATCTGAAATGTCATAAATACTCACAGAATATTTGTGCAAATAATCAGCTGCTTAAGCCATAAATAGATAAGTCTAATTAGTCCGAGTCCAAATTCAAAGGCCTGTGTTTTATCTAACCGGGACAGCTCTCTGCTATGAGGCTGTAAATGATCAAACAGATGAGTGTCTGAGTGTCCCAAAAACAAGCCATTAACCACCATATTTCCTGCAGAAAATATGACCTGTTTGTCTGACCCTGATACGTCCTGTCAGTGATTATCTCCTGCTGTGTGACGCAGACATCCAGCAACAGAAACAGCAGCAGCAAACATGTTTTCAATCTCTGAGCTGGACCTTAACTGGTCTGTTCATGAACGGAAGTCAAAAGGTGCTTTATGAAAGACAAAAACAGTTTAAACATTAATCTAAAGCCAACCCTTTAGACAACTCACTTCACACTGCGATAATTTTCCTCACATAACCACTTATCAATATCACAGTTGCAATTCCCAGTGGTTGAACAAAGTCTTTCCTTATGCATTAAAAGACAGCACATTTTTACGTTTAAATACCTGTAAAGCATCAATAGGGTTAGTTTTGAAACACTTTAATGGCTTAGGGGTCATCCAGAGGGCAAGGCTTTAAATTTCATATACCTAAAAAAGCTTCCATACCATGATGACGAAGATTATCGGGGTCTCACTTCCCTTCCTCCTGAACATTTACAATACCCGCCTCACCCACAAAGCAGTTGGCACTGCAAGTGACTCCAGCCTCCCCTTACACAGCCCATTCAGCCTCCTGCCTTCTCAGAGAAGGTACCAGAGCTTCCCGGCCTGCTTCATCCACCAGACTGTCAGAAAGCTAAACTCTCTCCCCCCTTTGCCCCCCAGAAACACTGAACTCTGAACCCCCTCTCAACACTTAATAGACACATAGTATTTGCACTATAAAATCTCTGATGCATGGTGCTGTTATAGAATCCCCTGCTGGTCTTTCAAGGAGGGGAAGCTCATTTTTCTGGCCTACATCATAATTGTGTTTATTTGTATGTAACAGAACAGAGTCGCCAAACACAACGGCAGTCGTTTTTAACAATGACAAAAGTCGCTGAGGATCGGTAAAGTCTCCGGAGCAGTTAAGAACAACGGAATGAATAACTTGGAAAACGCTCTGGTAGATGTTTTATTCTTCAAGATCGCTGATTCGCTTATTTAGCTGTCAATCAAAAAAGGATTTCGCCTCAGACAGCTCATCCAATCATGGATGCAGAAGCTCGGAGTCCGGGAGAAAGTTGGGACCGCCCTCTCGTCATAGAACTCCAGAGACGCTGAGCGTCCAATGGGCGGGACAAAGCCCAGCATTTATCCAATGAGCGTCTAGTTTCGCTGCTGGAACAACCCACTTTGAGCTTCCACATTAAAGTCAGCAGAAGCCCAGCGTCCGGCTGTTTAAAGCGCTGAGGCGCTGCAAGGATGAATGAGAACGAAGTTATGCCGGTTACCTGTGATTATCACCTTCTTATCACAGTGTGATAAGAAGCTGATTCTGAACAAAAGATGAAGGCTTTCTAGCGCGTATTTAGTTATTGAAATGTACACACAGCAGTACGTACTTCACCACTTTTTCTTTTTTTGGGGGGGTGACATTTTAAGGGAAGCTGAGCTTCCCTTGCAGTCTTAGAGCAATCGCCACTGGTATGTTCTCACAAACTCCAGAAATTGACAGCAAAAAGCTTGAATCTTAAATCTGAAAGGGCACATTTTGTTTAATCTATATTCCTTGAGGGCATTCCAAGGGTGCTGTTTTACTATTTATATACCTGGTGGAACATTCAGAGGGCAGTTTTTTGTTGTTGTATTTTTTAAACCTGGAGGAAATTTGGAGTGCACTTTTTACTTTAATTACACCTCGAGTGGCATCGATGGGGCACATTTTTAAATTTTACATGTTCAAAGGGGAACCTACAAAGCAGCTTTTTTTATCTATATACCTCAAGGGCATTCCAAGGCAACTGTTTTACTTTGACTGCGAACTACATGCCAAGACCAATTGCAGAAGTATTGAGGCCATGATCACCCAGCACCAACTACGCTGGCTCGGACACGTGATCCGGATGTCCCAAGACCGACTGCCCCGCAGAGTGCTGTATGGCCAGCTACACCACGGCCATCGCCCTGCAGGAGGACCAAAGAAACCCCATAAGGACCAGCTGAAGACTTCACTAAAGAAGTGTAAGATCAGGCCTGAGGACCTTGAGACTGCTGCTTCTGACCGTGACGCATGGCGGCAGTACTGCTATGAAGGAACTCAGAGGCTGGAGGAGGACAGGACTGCCAGAAGACACCAAAAAAGACTCAGGAGAAACACACCCGCACCCGTGACTGCCAGTATCACCACCACTACAACCTACCCATGTCCCACCTGCAATAGAATATGTGGCTCCAGGATTGGACTCTTTCGCCACCAACAAACTCACCGTTAAGGACATAAGTGGACATCATCATCGGAGTCGATGGACAACCACAAGCAAAGTGTGTGTGTGTGTGTGTTTGTGTGTGTAAATACACACAAGATCAGCTGACTAGTTCAGAATTTGGCCTGCAGCTCTTGGCATTCCCTCTGTGCCCTTTAAGGGCTTCTGGCACTCACTCTTTGTCCTGGTCTTCATCCCTCCAGCCGGCTGGCTCAGGCTGGATTTGGGATCTAACAACTGGTCGGTCAAAGTTATGCAACATGTTTGCGGAGAGTGTTTCAGCTTCACAAAAGAATACTAAAAAAGGACATATAAGGAAAGATATGACATAGGGGAAAAGTGAAAGAGAACTTTCACGCTGGACCTGGAGCTTGATGAAAATTAGGAGGAAATAGAGACTTTTGTCAACTAGTCTTTCCTATTTTTGGGATTTTTTTTCTGATGACTAATTGATGCATGTTTCTTTCAAATTACTGAATACTGATAAATAAATCTGTGTTGTAGATAAACTGCCCCACTCTGCATCCAAGAGAAGCTATCATTCTTTAAACGCTGACTAGCTGCAGCACAGGTCATAGAGGCTACCTCCCCATGTTATCAGATGGACCATGGATCAAACTTTAAACAAAAAAAGTTAAATAAAAATCACCCAAACATGCTTTATTGTTTAAAGTTAGTTCCTGTTGTGCCGATTGATATTCACTGTTTGTTTCTATAATACAATTAATTCTAGTTAGTTTTTTTGTGCTAAAATGATGATTGGTTGGGGTGCCAATTGGCCCCATGGCTCAAAGGAACATTTACAAATATCAAGGCTATGATTAAGAAGCATCCCTCAATTCCAAAATCCGGCCAATTAAGAAGGATCAAATCCTAATTAGCAGTAATAAAGTCAGATTTTACCAAACAAAAATGTCTTTGCAAAAGCAGGGGTCATATCTTGTAGGAGCATAGCTCAGTGGTAGAGCATTTGACTCCAAACCAAGAGGTCTTTGATTTAAAGCCAAGTGCCCTATGAAGGTTGGTCTATACTGCTTGAGTCGAATTAACTCCAAAGTCCTAGAATTTGCTGTATTTTCATGCTGCTGATGTTTAACACACACACACATGATTCACAAAAACTTGTCTTCAAGGTAAAGACGGCCAACACTTGGAGATCAAAAACAAGTAGCCCAGTATTTCAGCTCCACCACAATGTGTCAGTACCCACTGAGCTGGTATCTTGACTACACCTTCTCAGTGGGAGGGGACAGGGGTGTTGTGTTCCTGTGCATATACAGCTAGTGGTTTGAACTACATTTTGATTGCTTTCTGCATAGATAATGTAGATAATGTTGAACAAAAATTCTGAACTCTGACCTCAGAAGGTTGGATTTGTGGCATAATTTATGTTGATGTTTTCATAGAACAGTGCCCCATAAGATTTGAAATGTGGAAGTTGAGCAAAAGTCAGACTGGATACTCTTGGTGAAATTGGATTTTGTTAATTCAAAAAGATAAATAATATCTTGATTTATTGCAATCTTTTAAAGGAGACTTTCACTGCTAAAATAGAAGAATTAAATTAAGGAATGGATGCTGCAGGATTGTCAGTTAAATATTCTTTAACATCTTACTTTTTGCATCTACCTCTTTATAAAATAGATAAAAAGTAGTAAACCGTATATCGGCTATTCAAAAGTTTAAATTTTGTTTCAATACAAAATACAAGTTATTGTATATGAATGTTGAAACTAAGGCTGTTAAACTCACTGTGTAACATAAAACTATAAACTTTGTAAGTTTTAAAAGGGGATTATAAATAACAACATTGTTGCAATTTATATTTGTATTTTTTATATTTCTGTGCCTATTTTTATTTGTCTTACTTTCAGTTAATTAGATGTGTTTGCAGTGCTTGTCATTTATGGACTGAAATAGCTTCAAGGATAAATGCATTATATTGGTTCTAATTTAAGCAGCTGTAATTGTATCCGGAGTCACAGTCAGTGTTCATTCTTAACTACGTCAAAGTTGTGTTCCAATTTTTCTATTTCAGGTTCCATCAGTTGTTCTATTAGTTTAATGTTTGTCTGATGTAGCTGTACTTGCCAAGGTCGTGGCTCGTGGCCGCCAAAATGTCTCCATCCCCGCCTTCTTTCAATTTGTATGAATGAAAACATGGGATTGGTCAGAAAGCCGCGTGTTGTATAAAAGCAGAGACGGGATTGGTTAAGTTTCTACTTCTCTTTACGCACTGAGGGGGTGTGACTTAGTCGAGCCCCATCAATGAGCAGGCACAGCCATTGGCCAGTAGTAAAATGACATAAAATGGTTGGTGACACAGCTTGTTCAGCCAATGACGTGCTGTTATTCCTGGAAGGGGTGTGGCCTCTGTCATTCTTTAGAAGCCGGCTTGCATTCCTACCGGCATTTCAGTGTTTTACAGCGAAGGGGCCATACCAATTTCGGTGTGCTATTTATTTATTTATTGTAGTAACTTTTAATTTTTTTCCGAAGCAAACATGCTTGGTCTGTGCCTTTACGTCCCCGTGTCTAACTCAGACCCAGTTGAAGTGGAATATTTTGAGTCTGATGGACTTCCGTCGGAGCTGAAGTCTCTCTTTAACAAACTGAGCGTGTTTCTGCCCTCTCAGGAGTTTTCAAGCTACCAACGATGGAGAAAGGTAAGAAACACCACGTCAACTTAACTTTCTTTTGTCTTTAAATGTCACGATACAGCCTGTGAGAGTTAACAATTACCTTCTTGTGAAATCCCATTACTTTGACCGGGTTCAAATCCTTTCTTTCCGGGCGCAGCAAAGATTAGCGTGTGTCGTAAAAAGCCTCTACGAGTAGGCCGCAAATTTACCGGCTTCTCTAAAAATCTCCCTGTACACCGCAAATTAGCCTGAAATAATACTTTAAACTTTTTGTACAGTATAAGTGTTGTACAGTTTTGTTCGTATCCTCAGTCCCATTTTCTGCCAACCAAGTAATGTAATAGTAAAAACTTATGCCAAGACCTAGCGCAATCGAAAGTGGCACGGGTGGCGCGCAAGACTTTTTTTTTAAATGTATTTTTTAATCTATATTCATAGTCAAAAGTTTGAACATTACCATTATTGACTGGCACGGGGTCCTCAATTACATACTTAAGCAAACTTAATACAAACCTAAGCTAATTAAAAACAAAGTATAAATGAATAAAATTAGAGGTTTAATGGAAAAATAAAGATGCATGGGGTTACTATTCTGCAATCCCTGTTTAGTTTTGAAACATTTAAAGTTGTGTTGAATTTGTGAGCTCATTTGCGGAAAAGTTTTAGACAATTATAATCCTGATAATTTTGAAACATTACCTCCTTAGAACCCTTCCAAAATCTTAAATTAGTATCAGTTTACTATTAATTAGTCAAACTATCGCTGTAGGGGTAAATATTGATATTAACGCACATGCAGGACATAATAGACTTCAGATTTTATGACAGCGGAGAAGTATCTTGGTTATTTTAACACCTGTCATTAAAGTAGCCTATTGTTAGTCATGTCTTTTATGTGAAAGAGTTCTGAAGTGAGAACGCCTTTTTCGGTAACGGTATCTTCCCTAAAAAGGAATTTATGCTATGCGACTAGAGTCCATGCCCTGCATGATCACTTCCCAGAGTTTGATACAAACTGAGAACATTTTAAGCACTCTTCTGAGACAGATCAGAAATCCAGAAGCAGTTCACTTCAAGACTTCGGACTTAAGTGCATTTACAAAATACACTGTTGCAAAGCGCAAGTGTTGAATGGCACCTCTCAGATTATACTATTTGTTCTCTTGAATGATCTATTTTGGCCTTTCATCTTTAAGACATATTGCTCTATCCGTCACATTTGGCCTTGATAATATGTTGATAGGAAACTGTTGAACTCAATCTCAGTTTCATGGGGAAAGATTTGCCTGCACTCTTACATATCCGTCATCTACAATTAGTTAGAGGTTGACCTCCTGAAGTTTTTGCCTTTTATTAGCTGAAGTTGAGATTCTTGCACACTAATTGACAGCACTGTGAGGAAAATCATTAATGGCTCTAGTTAGCACCTTCTTCCTCTCACTAAGTCAGCGGTTGCCTGTGATGCTGCTGGAGCAGCTGTTTGAGTGTGCCTGTTCCTCAAGGAAGGACAAGCACATGTCTTTTAGCAAAGGCACGAGTTTGAAGGAAGATTTATGGCTGTCTTGCAGGTAGGATGCGTGAGCTGCAGAGGACAGCAGAAATGTCCGGCAGAGAGTATCAGTATTACAGTCTGATGGTCATATGCCTGCTTTGCAGGCAGCAGGTCAAGTATCAGTGCAGGCCAACGGGCTGGAGGATTGCCGGTGTCCTGGTCTTGTTTTAGCTCAGTAGGTTTGAGCTTGGACCGGATTAAAGCAGTTGGCAAGTTGACTTGCAGCCGAGGTCAAAGATATTTCAGAGTGTAACTACCTACTTCTCATTCTCTCCTGGACAACTAAGCATCATTCATTAAGCCAAGTGCACTCTGGATCAGCAAATGGGTCATGGTGCTGTCTTTTGTAGGTTGTAAAACCGAAGCCATTTGAATGTCCCCTCATATTCAGGACTGCATGCTTGACATTTAGGTAGAGGACAGTACAGAACCTGCTGTACCAGTTTCATAATAGACCTAAATTCTGTTGTCAGTGCTGATGACTCCTGCATACCTCAGCAACAAATCATCTGCTCACGCAACAGTGTGAAATTGTCAGACAACAAATTCTGCATCTTTGTGTCATTAAAAAACAAATTGAAGGTGTCAGATAGCCCTCATTTATCAAACTGCAAAACTAAGTATGTATTTCATTGTAGCATGTGTTTTTTTTTTCTTGCAGAAAACTTTAAAAAGGGAGAAAGGCAACCCAGATGGACAGCTAGACTTTGAGGAGTTTGTTCACTATCTGCAAGATTATGAGAAAGACCTGAAGCTTGTGGTGAAAAGCCTTGACAAGAAAAATGCAGGTACCAGCCTTGGCTTTGAGCTCTTTAGGTTTATCTTTTGCTCCAGAAGTCACCTAGAGACTTTTTCTTACTCATTTTGCTTCCCTTTAAGGCCGTATGGATCTTAAGGAGTTCATTCAGTCCCTCCAGGATCTCGGTGTGCATATTTCCCCACAGCATGCTGAGAAAGCCCTTAAGAGGTAAATTCATTCATCCAAGTCTTCCACTGTGATATTCAGTCATTAGATTAAAGGACTTCTGATCTTAATACTTGACCTTTTTGCGTTCTTAAGCATGGATAAGAATGGGACGATAACCATCGGCAGTAAAGACTGGAGCAACTACCCCATGGTGGAGAAGACGGAAAACATGCCTGAGATCATCCTTTACTGGAAACACTCCACGGTAAGTTCAGCAGTCAGCGCTCAAACCCCTTAATTTGACTAGTTATGATATAGGTGCTGTTCTCCTGTCTGAAGACCTGACCTTGAGTCGATGGATATAAACAGAAAGGTCTAGAACCATTTTGTTGGTATTACATAAACTTAAACGTAATCTTCGATCCGATAACGCAATTAGGACCTTTGATTATGATATAAAGGGTGTTGGATCTTCCTCCTGCCCCTGAAAACAGGTCAGTTGAGGAACAAATTCCACGTAGGCCTCATCTCAACAAGCTGTGCGTCACTGATCAAGTGCAGTTAGGCTATGAAAAGAAGTGGTCCAATTCCGGGAGGATTATGTTGAAAGGATTTGTCAAGTTGTCTCACAGTTATATAACCAAGTCAGTCAGAGCAGGTGGAGACCAAAGTGTATAACTATTTGATATTTAGGGGCTGAAGCCTCTTTAATGAGCCCTCGGGCCTCCACTTTGCAATGAAAAGTATCTGAAAGGCTGAACCAGGACCAGGAATAGAGCTGGAGTTGCCTCTCATTGGAGGCCCAGTGAATCAGCCAAAGTACTCCTGAAACATTAGCTGCTGGGTCATCTGAGTTTGCTAAATATGATGTGAAATTCTTTCTGTGCTAACAGGCGGCAGAGCTGGTGAAGCCTGGAGTGGCACTAAAGCTGTGTAGCTGTGATTTATAATGAGACTGTTGGTGTTCTCTAATCAGGCCGGGGCAATAAAAGAGCTGTCCTTACCAGCTCAATACAGTTATGTAATGGTGATTTATGAAAAATTAGACAGAAACTTAGCATTGGAACAGAAATACCTCCTAAGGAAGTGTTTCTGTTCGGGAAACGCTTCATTGGAAGTGTTTTCTGAAATTCAGCCTGTCCTTAAAGATGGCAGAGACCCAAAGCTGCAGGTCTAGACAGATCCAATTTGTAACTCATGCCCCCTTTCAGCTCGTGACCCACATAGTTGGGAAACTTGCCTCCTTTTTGACTGGCTCCTTTTGCCCTTTGCCTGTGAAGCCTCATCTGAAAGGCTCAGATATCAAATGCACGCGGTGTTTCCATGATAACTCTCACATATCAGTTCAATCTTCTCCAGCACTGGGCCCTCTGGGGTAACAGACCCAGTGCTAATCCTGCTGCCTGCAGTAGGAGAACTGTCTGGGGGTCCCATGGCACACATTGGACCACTGTGATGTGCTGCTGATCCAAAAAATGTTAAGAGCAGCACATGTGAAGGAGCTTAGTATGTAACTGACTCTTTGGTCCAGAACAGACACCTCAAAATTACAGCAGCTGAAAACCATCTGAAACATGCAGAGGTTGTCCACTTGACGCTGACCCGATGAAATTGACTTTTTGACTCACCAATCGAGTTGTTAGTAGAAAAAATACACCTGCCAAGCATTTAATTGAAACAGTTGCCCATTTTACACAAACATTGTGATTAGACCGGAGCAAAATTAAAGCCAAATGACTGTTTTTGATCTATTTTCAGTAGATTTTAACCTGAACACATTTTATGTGAAGTCTTAATCCCAAACAAAGCTGTTGCACTCGAGCAGCTATTGTACTCAACAGTTTCTAATTATTTTGTACAAACATTTCTGTATCATGTAGCGCATGCTCCTCCAAAACCACTTAACCGAGTACCCAGCTGGTGTAAATGTAGGACCTCTTCTTTCCAATAAAACATATTATTTCCACACAAAGATGACTGCCCCTCAAATAAACCAAAATAAATTTGATTCAAAGATGAATGTCCAGATGCAGGGGAGCGTGTCTGCCAGACATTATACGAAGGAAAAACGAAGTGCTCTCAGTAATTGATGATTCCTGTCTTTCTTTGCAGATATTTGATGTTGGGGAGAACCTCATGGTGCCTGATGACTTCACAGAGGAAGAAAAGTTAACAGGAATGTGGTGGAAACACCTGGTGGCAGGTGGAGGAGCTGGAGCTGTTTCTAGAACGTGCACGGCTCCTCTGGACCGACTCAAAGTCATGATGCAGGTGAGACACAAAAATTCAGCCTGACTAGAAAAGAAATCACTTCCTCTTAAACCAGGGGGAAGGTAAGGACATGGTTTGGGAACTTTGTCAGTTGCCCTTGGAATAGAGATAATATCATGAAAATTTCCACAACTTTCTCCACCCCACTTTTCAAGGTCGTAACATTTCTATCATTTTAAAACCGTCCAAATGAAGTGAAATTAAGAATTTAGAGCTTCAGGGATCAAATTCCACATGAGGAAATAAAGGGAACTCCATCCTGAGGTTGATTGCTACTCTAGGTAGCACAGTCTATTATCAACCTGTAAAAAGTTGCTCAAGACAGAGTTACCTAAAAGGCCATGAAGTTAAACTTTAATAGAGTGTGTAACAGCAGAACAGTCAGAGTCCAGGATCTGATTGTGTGTCACAGCCAGGCCCTGCCACCAGCCAATCACAGCTCGGCTTCAGCTGTCACGCCCTCCGCTTCATAATCCTTCACGTCATCTAAGAGTAAAGGTCTTGTTGAACTGATTCAGAATCTGTGTCAGTTGCCCTCATTTGCGTCAGTCGGCATGTGAAAAGTCGACTTTGTGCCCAAATGATTGGTAGTTACTTGCGTCAGGTATTTGTTCATCAAACAGGCCCAGTTTAAGTGTCATTTATAGGTCTGAAAAGTCTTGACCTACTTGTGAAAGCACCTGAATCATCCCAAAAAGTTTAAGCACAACCAGAGAAATTCAGTGTAATCCCCAAATATCTGTATATTTCCTGCACATATGTATGTTTGTCCTGCTCAAGTAACGTCACCAAATGATGAAAATGAATTCTTGTCTTGTCTTAGGTTTACGGCTCTAGAACCAACAACATGTGCATCATGAGCGGTTTGATGCAGATGATCAAAGAGGGCGGGATGAGGTCGTTGTGGCGAGGGAATGGCGTTAACATCATCAAGATCGCCCCTGAGTCTGCGCTGAAGTTCATGGCGTACGAGCAGGTAGGACAAATCTCTCTTTCAGTGTTTCATGTTCATTCAGTGTGGTAACGTCCATTCACTAATTTACTCCCTCACTTGGCTTCTCCAGATTAAGCGTTTAATCGGCAGTAATAAGGAGACTCTGAACGTCGTGGAGCGGTTTGTTGCAGGATCTCTGGCTGGAGTGATCGCCCAGAGCACCATTTACCCCATGGAGGTGATGATATGTCAAAATCACATCCTCTCTTTTAAATGCTTAGTCATGAAGACTCCAATTTCAGGACATAAATTTTACAAATTTTCTGAATCTGTCTCCAGGTGCTGAAAACTCGACTGGCTCTGAGGAAGACCGGGCAGTACTCGGGGATCTCAGACTGTGCAAAGCAGATCTTCAGGAAGGAAGGATTGAAAGCATTTTATAAAGGATATGTCCCCAACATGCTCGGCATCATCCCCTACGCAGGCATCGACCTGGCTGTGTACGAGGTGAGACCTCCACTTGGTTATTTGAACTTTATCACAAGTGTATCAGTCTGTTTTTTTTGGTCTGTATCCCGCATTCCTCATTCTCTTTGTGACATAACTTCAAATCTAAGCATGACTGTGGATCATGACTACGGTTTCAAACACTGATATTAATCAAGTATGAAAGCAAACAGAGTCTTTGGGAGCAAAAAGGAACATTTGTTCAAAAGCTATTTCAGAAATGCCAAACCAACGCTCCACCAAACGCATGACCAGGTTACATAACAGACTCTTGACTGACCAAATGGGAGTCTTGAGACAAATGGGAGCTAGAAAACGATGCTGGGGGTGTTTGCTCATTTTCTAATCTGTGTACTTCTCCCCTCAGACTCTGAAGAACCGCTACCTGCAGCAGTATGGCACCAACAGCACTGACCCTGGTGTGGTTGTCCTGCTGGCCTGTGGCACCGTGTCCAGCACCTGTGGGCAGCTTGCCAGTTATCCCCTGGCTCTGGTCCGAACACGCATGCAAGCCCAAGGTGAGACCATGTAGAAAATGAGCATCTTGTCAGGTTCATCACAGTAAACTATAAAAATGTAGTTTTTCTGTCAGGGTTTTGACACCAAGGGTTGGTGTGCATTGATTTTGAATGAGAGGAAATGGGATAGGAACTTCACAGATCATAAGGGTGATTAGGGTGTTAAAGAGGTCATAAGGCTGTTAAGAAGTTTCTCATGTGAGAAGCAGCTCCTCTTTAAAGCGCCACACCTAATAATGATTCATTTGTGGTGAAGGAAGTCAGAGATTTTACACAGTAAGAGGTGGGAACCCATTTACTCTCCAAAACATCAGTGAATCATGTCAGAGATTGCAGACACATTAAGGGCCTAACTGAATTTTAATAGAGTAAAAGCAGGGTATGCATATGTCCTAGAAAACTTGCAAGGATGTCCTGGAAAGACCTTAAACAGTTGACCACATTTCCCAGCCATGGAAAACATGTCAAAGCTAAATTCCTAAAAAATCTTGAGCTTTCAAAATTCTGTAAACATTCATCTTTGTTTACCAGGGTTTAAAACCATTACTTGGTCATTAGAAAGGGCTTCATTATGGCAGTGGCTTGTGGACAATAATAGTAAGAATAAACTCCACACTGTAAACATCCATAAGTGACATTTTTTTCTCTGAATTAGCTGATCCAGAATAAAAGGAGAAAATAAAGTTATACATGCTGACACCATGATTGTAGCATCTCTGAAGTATTTTGGAGTCACTGTGAGGAGCGTTTGGCAGGATGAGAGACTGAAACTGATACTGACACCTCAGATCATAAACAAGACATCAGTAAGAAGGCTGATGATTTCATGGTCATCATTTTCATACCTAAAACTAATGTGAGGGGGAAGGGGTCAGACCAGGTGACTGACTGCAGCCAAATGTGGCTTTTCCCACAGCACATAGTCACAGTGAGCAACACGTTTCAGTCTTTAAATTAGTAAAGCCAGGGCTTCTGCCTGAATTTCACAATAAGATGAGAGTTAGCACTTGGTCCACAGGGGGCGCTAGTATCAACACAAAGTAAGAGTTTCTCACAGCAGCCTTTGTAAACTTAGTTGCAGTACCCCTGCAGGTGCATTAGCATATTCAATCAAATATTGATAACTGTTAGCGTGCAACAGCTGATAGTTACAGCCCCACCATGCACATTTTATGAATTAAGCTTAAAAAGAAATATGGTGGGTTGATGAAAGCAAATCAGTAAGAGGACTAAACACTCCTTTTATTCTCTATCCAGCTGCGACAGGGGCCACAAGTGAGCAGGTGACCATGACCAGTCTCTTCAGGCAGATCCTGCAGACGGAGGGTCCCACGGGGCTCTATAGAGGTTTGGCCCCCAACTTCCTGAAAGTGATCCCTGCTGTTAGCATCAGCTACGTGGTGTATGAGCATCTGAAGACACAGCTGGGAGTGACATCACGCTGAAGCCCTGTCCTTCCTTTGTCATGTGACTTAACATCGAGAATGTGACGAGTGACCCCAGTCTCACACCCTCCCAAACAACACTAACACCCTCCCTCATCCTCCCTCCCTCCTGCGGCTCATGTTAGGGAATCCCGGGGACCTTGTGGCCCCTCTGGGGGTTCGTGAACGATCTCATTCTGTGAATGTCAGCTGATGAAAGACGAGAAAGGACACTGGTCACATTTAGAGGCTGAGGTTGAGGATCTGGACTCTGTGAGCTCAGGACTGACCGCTGCTGCTGCTATTTATATTTCAAAGGAAGTGCTGAGAGTGAAGACAAGAAAAAGAGGGATGACTGAAAGTCAAGGACCAAAAATTGTAGTGTTTTTGCTCTCCCTGCCTAGTGCCTGAGTAAAACATCCTGATGTTATTTTTCTCTTTGACTCTGCACGCTTTTCAGTCAGCTGATCAAGCATGCCAGGCACTCGTGTTTTGTAACTGCTGAAAAAAAGGTCCTATGCAGAGAGGCAAGGAGAGCATTAAAGATCTCTTCAAAGTTTTATTCTTTAACTGGTCTGCCTGCAGGAAGAAATGATTGTGTTCCTAAAGGAGAGGGTTTTGCACATGTGAGTTTGATCTCTCTCTCCACTGCTGTCCTGACTGAATGAATGGAGTATTTATTTCCATCCTTTATTTATAGTTTTTATTGTTGAAGAGAGGATGTAAAGTGCTGCATGTTTTCTGTCTGAACAGCCAAAATGTGTTATTTAAAACCATGCAGTGAATGTATTCAGGGTGGGAATGTAACTCCAGGTATCAGCCTTAAAGTGTGGCTCTGAAATGCTACGTTACCTGGTGAGGTGGAGTTTGTGCTCATACTGCTGCTTTTAAAAGAACATATATACGTTTCTGGTGTTGCAAACTGCTGCAGATCATGTTTGTTCCTGTGTGTGGATGTTCTTGCTCATTCTCATTCAAAGGTATTAGTGTCTTAAGTTGACCTCAGGTTTCAGGGCAGATTCCTGTTTAATTTATTGAAGAGATTCTCTTTTTGTTCATTTCACAACGTTTATCCTCGGAAAAACAAGGGCTGTAAAATGAGCGACATATTTGCACTTTAATCAAAGCTGGAAGGGCCTCTGAATGAACAAATGAATGTCATTAATCCTGGTGTTTAGATCCAGCTCTTTTTGTAAAACACAACTTTTTAGATGTTTTAATGGACCATTTTGATGCAAATAAATGCAAATTCTTGTAATTCAGTCTTGTGTGTTTTTTTTTTATTTTTATTTTTTTCAGAATAAAGTACAAAACTTTTATATGACCATAAACTACAGCAACACATGTAGCAACACCTGGCTTTCAGAAATCAGCAGTTTATTGGTCATATGTGAAACATTCAGTCTTCTCAGCTGACTGTTCCTCACTACACCACATTAAGTCATGTGAAATATGACAAACAGAAGTTGCATTGCAGTAGATGATTTTTTTTTTTCATATTGCCCATGATAACTGTTCTTGTGACACTTTTGGAAACAAGTATTTAAAGGTACAGTGTAGAAAATAGAATATTTAGTGATTATCCAGCTGTTAGACGCTACATTGATCAAAAGCTCCCTTTGCCTACCCTCCTCAGAGAAGCAAAGTGAAGCCTTAGAGGACAAAAAGCTCCCATGATGCATGATAAGGGTGATCCTGTATTTTTCATAAGAAAACGGAAATTAAATTATTCAAATTTGTTACTTTTTCCAGATCCAGATTCCTGATCAGTTAATTATTTACTAATCAATTCTTAATTACACGCACGACACAAACTACTGAATGGTCAAACTGAAGTTTTATTTCAAAGTCAACGGTACGGTATTATTATTATCAGTATTAATAACCAAGCTGCTGAACTGTAAATGTCTGAAATAAAGCTCCTCTCTGTCCGTCATCTGTTGCCCTCTAGTGGCTGAACTGTACTTGAAGGGTCTAAACTGAATTTATAGTATTAACCGCTTTTGGGACAATACATTTTCATGCCAGCACAGGAATAATAATAATAATAATAATAATAATAATAATAATACTCTCATGTTATCAAACACCATAGAACTAAGAGCTGCATTACATACTAAGACCGCAGAGAGTCGCTGTTTCCCTGCTTTGGCTGCTTCTAAAGCGGGAGCAGAGGAGCCGTGTCAAGTCATAAGTGTGAGCCTGAATGGCAACGGAAGTGAGATATGTTTCTTTAAAAAATAAAATCAAACGAAAAAATTCAAACGACTGTAAGAGTTCATTTTTTTGTTTTCTAATTTTTTTTTTAATGACTGAACAAAAAAAAATTAAAAAAAAAAAAATTGTTAAAGTTGTTCGATACAATATATTTCTTAACTCATCTTCATTTGTTTATAATACAATTTAACGAATCAATTCGTCATACAGTTTAAAATATTAGCATCAATCTAGGAAGTACATCTTTAAGTTAGTTGTTACTTTAAACTTTTTGAATTGTTGTCAAGTCTTGCCAGGATTAATCAGATATATGTCAAACTAAAAATTCATACAATTACAACTAAGCATAAGTACATTTTTGACCTTTTTTTTTCTTGTGCCAGAGGTAGTCATGTATGATTACAAATGTATCACTTTCATGTTGTTTTTTGATAAAGGTTGGATTCATTTCAACATTTTTATTGTGAATATTTTACATTATATTAGGATAAAAAAAAAAAGATAAGATAAGAAAAAAAAAGAGAAAACATGAAATTACATTTAAAAAGATCTTATGGATCATGTTGTGGAAAGAGTAATGGTTATAGTATTCAGTGAGTGGAGTCTTAATTGTAGGGGTTCAATCGAGAGAATGCATTTAAAACTAACACATTTTCAAGAATATCATATTTAAAAGAATAAGGTTGATATATTACCAAAATGCAAAATTATAAAGAGCCATAAATTTAGGAAATTACAGTCTAGACGTGAAGAAGAGAAAAAAAACCTGTCTCATAACATAAAATTGTTTACAAGTTTGTAACAGCACATTTACATTCATGTCATAACAATGTAATTTATACCTCATAAAATCACAGCTGTTCTTTGTAATTTTATTAGAATAAATTGTCCATTTAAATTTATTTTTTATTTGTTTTGCCAGTTCTAGACTTTACTTTTTTCTATCTTAAATGTTTCCCCTTGAATGTGGCACTAATGTGTCAGCTTTTAATTAGAAAGGTATCCACCGGAAACTTCACCGTCTACTCGAAATTAGCCTGATGCTAATCTCGCAAAGTTCCACCTCTCTGAATCCCTGAAGGAACGGAGATGTGAATCCGCTTTTTCTGTCATTTTCTGTTGTTGCTCCGCTGCTGATCCAACTCGAGAGACCCGAAATGTCTCCATGTGAGTCTCGTATCACTTTTGACCCTCATGTGATGACATCCTTTTCTAATTTTCTCCTGTTTTCTAATGAAATATTTTGATTTGTTTCAGATTTCTGTGCTGAATCATCTCTCATCTGAAGCGGAGCTCGCATGAAAATACAGACTAAAAACAGCAGCAGGAACCTCTTTTAGCCTAACGAGTTTTTGAAGGTATATTGCGTAAGCTTAACCCGTATTTTATGTGATTAAACACTCTTGAAGAATGGCCTTCTTCGTGAAAAAGAAGAAATTTAAGTTTCAGACCCAGCTGATCCTGGAGGAGCTGACCGCTGTGCCTTTTGTCAACGGAGTTTTGTTCTGCAAGCTGCGGCTGCTGGATGGAGACTTTGTCGCCACTTCTTCCAGGTAAACGAGCAGCAACAACAACAAGAACAACAACACATTTAAACACCCTTTTAGACATGCCAAACTTCTCAAAGAGACATTCAAAAGTATATTTGCTGCAGTTTGATCCCATCCATGACAGATTTTCAATGAGTAAAGGCCTTTTGATACACTTTATGAGCTCTGACTGCTTTAATGGAACTATACGATGAATTTATTTACCTTTTTGTGTTGAAAGAGTCTTAATTCTTTAGTCCTGGCACTAATCGAATACATGTAGCTCCTATTCTTGTTTGTAGTGTATCTGTGAATCGAAATCGGGTGTTTTTGCAGGTTTTCTCGTGTTTTAGGGTTTTGCGTTGGTTTGTTTCTCAGCCCTCTATATCTGAATGATTAGTAACATCTGTTTTTTGCTTATGCATCTTTGCAAAATGAGCTATAAAATTACTGTTATTGCTGAGTTGAATCAGTATTTCATGTTTACAGCTCTGCTCTGGCTGTAAAATGAAAGTCTAATTTCCAGTGAGTCACAGTCAATAAGAGGGTGTTGCCATGTTAAGTGGCCCCTCTGTGTATCAGCACTGGCACCTCAACTGGACACCCAGACTAAACACAACAAAAAATCCCTTTCAAACCAGTCTGTACTGGTTAAATGTAGTGTTTACCAGCTCTGAACCCACTTTAAATAACTCACTCTTGATTTAAACCTGTAGTTTTGTGGTTAAACAGAGGAGGATTGAGGTGGTGAAGATGTTTTTTATCTTGTCACTCACATCACATGACTCCAAATTATATCTGCACTTTGAAAATACCAACAACATTCATCTCATCTTCTCTTCTTGCTCTCTGAATCACTGGGTGAGATTTCATGTCCTCAGACATCTGTTCAACTCATTTTAGACCCGTACTGATTATAGATTTGATGTTTTTGAAAAGTTTGAATGAAAACAGACCCTCCTGTTTGTGCATTATGCACCAATGTGACTGCCAAGTTGCTCAGAGAGCTGCTTCCTTAAGGATAAACTTTAAAAATATTACACCGTTTTCCATTGTGAGTTGGTTTTGGTGAAGAGCTGGGTCAGCTTAGTTATGATCCTCTGCTGCAGACAGTGTAGAGAGGATAGCAAACTATGGAGTCAAGAGCATCAGCAAGAGAAAAACAGATGATGACATTTCCAAATTTCAGACATGCTCTGAACTCCTAAAAACTTCTAGGTTTAAGTCCAGACTATGTGCTGGTCTAAATTTCCAAGGAGAATAAAGTTCATATCATGTGACTGGTGTGATCTCCTCAGACCCCCTCCACTCTTGAAAGGGAAAACTGAACCTTTTTACTGACACATGAAAATAAGCAATTTGGAAAATGATAGAGGGTCATTTCCAAAAATTTTCAGTAGTGCATGTATGAGAGATGAGCTGTATCTCTCACTGAGAGTATGAGGAGCCTGATCGATATTTCGAGCATTGTTGGTGATGTGAAAAACATGCTGAAAGATTCATGACTTTAAAACCTCGAACACGATCTCCCAAAACATGACGGACAGTTTGTCCCTTCATTGTACAAACTCATGTGACTCAGCAGATTTTGCTCTTGCATGACAAGTTCAGGAGTTGGAAATGTTTCCCTGCAAGTGCGCTTCATCCTGCAAGAGATAGACAAAGAGCAAACAGGACAGAAAACCTCTGTGCACAAAGAGCCTCTCTGTGCTCCGGCCCTCTTTCAGACTCTGACCCACTAAACTGCCCTCATCTTGTAAAACAACAGGAGCCACTGGATGAAGTGTTTAACTGGCAGAGACTCACTGAGCTGCTCTAACCCATTTTTCAGATGAAAGGATGAAGCTCATTTTACCGTCTGCGCTCAGTTTAGTGAAGGATAAGACGTCTCAGCGTGTGTGGTATCAAACGGGACTTAGTGGTTTGTGTTAATGCATCATCAGACCCTCATCAAACCTGTCTCCTTTCCTTTTTATTGAGCCGTTTTCAAGATCCGACCTCGTCTTCAGGCCCATTAAAGTTTAACTCCCAGAGCGAACCACAGCGTACGTGGAAAACGTTTTCTCTGTGTCCTCAATAAAAGTTCCTCTTCCTCTTTGAACGCCCTCGACCCCCCTACAGTCACGTAGCATCCTCCTGAGCAGAGTGTGTGTTTGAGAGTCTCAGAGAGGGAAAGTAAACATTGACACATCCCTCTCATCTTGATCAGTTTGTCTTTTATGTGGATCTTTCATTTTTCTTACCTTTCATCCATGAGGAAAAACAGCCCGGAGCATTTCTGAAAGGATGAGATTATCTCATCTGTTAAGTGAAATCTGCAGAGTTAAAGGACTGCACGTGTTAAAACCCATAAAAAAGACTTTGAATTAACAGTGAAGTCCATAAAAAGTTCCAAACTAAGAACAAATGCTGACAAAAGTTCCCAGAGATTACAGCAGGAGCTGGATTTATTTAATTTTCAGACCGTTTTCTGCGGCTTCAATTATTGCTTGGTTTGAAACCAGTTTGGACCGGTTTGGATGTCAGATGTACGTAGGCTGTAACCAGTTGAACTGACATACAATAACTTTACCAGAGCAATGAGCAGTCAGCAGAAGCCTGTGGATGTGAACCTGTTTGGAGGACTGAAGGCTGGTGGTTGTTGTTCTGCTGTGTTTAGTGGAGACAAATGAAACCTGCTCTATTTTGACTGTTTTCTGAGTGTTTTCTTACTTTTAGACCAGCTGGTTAATTAAAAGACGAATTAGTCACATCAGATGCAACATATGAGTGGCATTGAGGCCCACAAAACCAAAAATATAAATATATCATTTAACCAGCCAGAAGTTCAGGAAGATGTTTGTATAGAAGTCTGTTTGTGATGGCAGCGCTGAAACCATGTGAGCAGTCGGTGATAAGATTGAACTGCCTGATGAGCCTCATTAGATCAGAGGTTTGAAGTTTGATTTTGGAAGTTAAGGTTTATGTTTTGGTACAAAAACACGACGAATCTTTGGCTCCAGCTCTGATGTCCGATTCCTTATCCAGTGAAAACATTTTCCTTGTCTCTAGAGGACAACAGCCTTGCAAAATGAGCGAACCCAAACTCCCTCTCAGTTTGTGCCCTCAGCAGAGAGGATGGTGATGTCCAAGGCCTCTCAGAGGTCATTCTCCTCTGAAGAGGTTATATAACAACCCCCCCCAGTGATTATCTCTGTGGCTGAAAACAAGGCTCTCTCAGAGGAGGAGGCGATGGCGCGGGAGGCTCCCTGTGCACCGGACAGAGATTAGGGTTATGTCACGGATCTGATAGACCGGCTCTTTGTTCGGGGCCTCGCCTTGTTGTGGGTCAGGAACAGAAGGGAGATTTAACAGCTACTGTACCCAGCGGACCACATAAAAAATCTCCCAAAGTCCCAGGAGAGGCTGGAGGGACGTCACATGTTGAGTGACACGTGAGCGTCCAGCTCTCTCTCTGACATGTCAGGACGACGTTTGTTTATCTTTGCTGATATCTGCCATCAGTGTCATGACTTTTACTATCAACGAACAGTCCACAGCTGCAGAAAACACTAGGAAAAACAACTTTCATGCTTCAGCACTCTTTTTTTTCTTAGCAGAGATTTTGTCATCTTGTGGATTCTGATAAAGAAATTTAACTCTAATTAATCTGAAGCAGTCGAGTCCACTGAAAAATGAGGAATCTGCAGGCGCAGGACCAGACTTTGAAGTGAGAACTAAAAGTGTTTCCCCTAGAATTTCCATGTCCGTGGGGGTGGGGGTGGGAAGGGAATTTGATGAACTTGTTGATGACTCAAAACAAGTTGAAAATAATGTTGTGTGTTGTTTTTCTCACACAGTGTAAGTAGAAATTAGTAGTGGCACATTGATATTTATGCTCATGTGAAATTTCAGTTGCAGCACACGTTATTCGAAACACTGACTAATCTGTGTTCAACTTGTAGCTAGTTTGTAGTCCAGGAAGTATTGACCAATCAGGTGTCCGGAGGAAAAACAGTCTGTGTGGAGAGCAATAGCAGGAAGAACATAGTCCTCTGTAATGATGGTGAGTCCCAGTCCTAAAACACTGAAAAATCAAATTGAACAAGTCTCAAAAACAAGAGATTGGACAGCGAAATAATTCAGACTCTCAGTGTCTAGTTTTTTTGCATGCCTGTATTAATTGAGAAAAATAAGCATATCCATATAGTCGGGTGTCAGTCTGGAGCGCAACAGAGCCAAAATCTGTCAAACACACATTCGTGATGCTGATGGGGTCCTTTAAAAGGTTCTTCGTCTCCATGTCAGCAACGTCACTGGCAGGTGGTGTGGAGACTTGGTGCAGTGCTGAAATACACTTTAAATGACACCACCCTGTTCGCTTTATAAGACCAAACATTGTTTACTGGGGATTAGAGATGAATAAGCTCTGTCTTAATGACCGATTACCTGATACCTGACAGCGTTACTGTAAACAAGTTGGAAAACCAAGATGGACGTCTACTGTTAGCTGTTGTTAGCTTTTGTCAGCTGTCGTTGACCGTTGTCAGCTGTAGTAAGCTATACCAGTTCTATACAAACACCATAGCACCATGTTCACAGTTGGATGTTGGGCAGTGCAACATGTAACACTTGTTTAGTTTCCCAAAATCAAAACAGAAGTGCTACTAAATAATACATTACGAGAGCGTTCACTGTTACTCTTTACTGTTGATGCACTGCTCTGCCATCTTGGTATATAACGTTGTCGTCAAGTTGGGGTTGGTGAGGATCGTCTGACTTACTGAGTTCGGAATCTGACTTCTGGGGGGCATGCCAGATGAATTTCCGACTCGGAGCTCGGAAAACGTGACTTTCGAGTACAATTGTAACAGCCCTGTGAGAAAGTCAAGCTTGTACATTCTTATGTTGAATCTGTAGATGGAGATTTATCTGAGGACAAGCCGCTTTCTCTTTCAGAGGACACACTACTGATCAGAACCCATGAAGGTCAGGCTGATCAGAACAGCTTCATTGATACAGGGGAAGGTTTAAGAGCTGCCAGCACAGGTGGCTGTGATTAAACTTTCTACCACATTAGAACTCAAGAATCAACTCAAGAACTCAGATTGTTTTCTGATGATCAGTCTAAAATATTTGCCTCTGTAACTTTTCAGTCATCTTGTTTATGATGATGTGACTTTTGATGGCCAATCCTGAGGCTCACGAACGGCCTGTGTTCAGTCCTCGGAGATCAAACAGTGATTATACAGATAAAGTGATGTAACTCAGAGCAGAGCATATTTATACCAGCTGAACTATATTATCTGTGTGTCTGCCGCCGACCAGTCAAGTACCAAAAAGTACCAGCTATCGGACCAATCCCATGTGATGAGATCTTTGGAGCCTCTTCTACATCCAGCCAGCTCCACGGTCTCTGCAGATGCTCAGATTTGCAGATGGATAAAGTTTTGTCTCTCTGAGAAGCATTAGAAACCATCTGGTCTCCATCCTGATTTGGCAGGAACTCTTGGTTTTCAGCAGTGCCTGAGTTCAGACTTTATCAGCTGCGTCTTGTTTTTTTTTTGTTTGACATTTAAAGGAGAACTCAACCTTTGGCTGTTGCTTTAATATATACAGTTTCAGAGCAAAGACAGGGCCAGGAGCCAGCTGTAAACAGTGTGAGGGCAGTGAAATATTTCTTTCATTCTGTAAGAGCTGAAGTGTCTGAGGTACCAGGAGTGGAAATAGAAGTCCAGAGAGGGAGAAAGAGGGGATTTTTCCTCTAAAGAGTCAACAACAAGCAGAAATGTTGGAGCTTTTAGAGGTTAGAGATACCTGAGAGGAAGGTGTGACTGACAGAGAGGTGGATTTACAGGTGAAGAAGAGGAGGAGGTCTGAGCGAGTCACTGAGAGGCTGTAGGAAGAGTTTGGGATGTGATGATGTGGACAGTCAGGGACTATATCCTGCTCATAAGCAGGAACACACAAACACACACACACGCACTTAAGTGCACACTGGTGTGTTCAGTAAGAGACTTAAACTACACACTGACTGTAGTATAAATACACAGCATCACAGTCTTTCAGGTTCAGATGAGGTGAGACAGCAGAGTCCATGCAGAGCTCAGGATAGAAATCTGTTTCATTTCCAAACTGAAGTTGGCTGATGAGTCTGACGTTTGAACCAATTCACCTCCAGACCATTGTCTGTCTCAAAGCTGGAGGAAAATGACCAACTCGCTAATGCAATAGCTGAGCAGTGCTTTTAAACATGTTTCTGAAGGACTGAGATCAGCCCTTTTCATGGTACAGTTTGATTTCAGTTTTGTAGGTCAGTTTGTTCAGAGCAGACACTCTTACAGTCAGGCAGTATGTTAGCTGCCTCTTTGTACACACACCTACAGAAGAAAACTTTATGATTTAACAGAAGACAAACATCCCTCTAAACATGTTACACACTATCAGATCAAAAGGCTGGTTTCTCAGCCTGACTCCCCTTCTGACCAGAGTCAGCAAAGGCCAGAGTATCCTGTAAGATTGGTGTGTGGGGTATTAATATATACCATCTTGTTCTTCCTCTGACCTGCCTTGGGACAGTATTGGGAGCTAAATTTCAAAGTGTTCAGGATCAGATATCCTGTTATGAGCGAAGAAAGAATACCTAACTTATACTATGAGAACAAATCTATTCAAAAAAGTTATTTCTGCACTGTAGGGCTGCACGATTAATCTGTTTTAAATCTTTATCAGATTATTTGGTTATGAGGATGTTAAAAGAATTAAAATCGTCAAATCAATTTTCCTCTCTGTCATGTCTCACGCCTTCAGGCCACTGTAGGCTACCCCTTTCTGAGGGGGTGCAAGTCAGTCTTGGGGAATTGGTACAACTTTGTAGCCTGGCTGGGCCATCCAGTTGCGTGAATCACTTGCCGTTCCTTCCCACAACAGTCTGGACTTCGGCCAATTGGGAGCGTGTATTAGAAATCAGAAAATAACCGGGCCAATCAGTGACTGTGTTTCCACTGTTCCCTGGACAACAAGGAAAGGCAGCCCCTGATTGGTCCATGTGTAAATGGTGATGTCTAACACATGCTGTGGGACTTTTTAAAGCGCCGTTCATTCAGAACGCCGTTAATGCAAAGTCGGCAGAAATCGTTTATATCTGCAGAAAAAGACGTAAAAGACATTGTTTGCTCGCACACCTTGAAATATTACCAAACCTTTACTTGATGCTTGAGAGCCCAGCAGGGAACACAGTTGCACACTGTGATGACGTCAGATGTTTGGTTACAGTGATTGGTTACAGTAGTCTGTCTATCAAGGAAAGTACTCCCGCCCACTTTTAGGGCTCCCAATTGGCCGAAGTCCAGACTGTTGTGGGAAGGAACAGCAAGTGATTCACGCAACTGAATGGCCCAGCCAGGCTAACAGCTTTGCACTTTTGGATGAAGAGCAAACCACTCCCCGCCGCAAAGTCTGACTGAAGGCGGTATCAACTCGTCCACATGGAAACAAATTCAGGAGTATAGCAAAAGTGTTTTCGTCATATCTGCGTTTCATCTACACGGAAATGGCATTTTGGGTGACTGTAATCGTACTTTTTGAAAACAGGTCAGAGAGTGCATAAATCCATAAAGGACTACCATTTCATCTCCGTTTGGTTGCCTATCTGCATCTCTGGAAACAATTATGTGACACACAGCTAGGGTTGGGCATCGTGTCTCGAGCATCGACAGGGACCGGGTCTAACATCCTAAATTTTAAAATTATGATTCCAAGTTTCGATGCCAGAGTCCGCTGACCAGAAGAAATAGCTGCCAAACACCAACGAGGAAGATGCCATAAAACACCAATGAAGAAGAAGCCGCCGAACACCAACGAGGACGTAGCGTATGAGACGAAGCCAAACAGAGAAAGAAGAGAGATAGAGAGGGAGAGTGCATTGCAACCCACAGCAGCGTTTAAAAGTTTGAGTAACTTTAGCAGGAAGAATGAACTCTTATCTCAGTGCAACATTAGCAACACAGTTATATCATGCAAAGGAGGGTGAACGACCAACATGATTAAGCACCTCAGGATTCATGGAGGAGGAATACCTGAGTGCCCTTTTTTGGGCAGAAATTCAGAAAAGAAGTTCAGAAATTTCATCCAAAAAAAGAACTTGGGTTAGCACCCTCATTTAAACCATGCATTTTTTTTAATATCCTGCCTTTTAAAGAAATCGGAATAGAGAATCATTAGAAACTGGAATCGAAACAAGGAATCTAAATCGGAACCGGAATCATTCAAAATCAAATGATACCCATCCCTACACACAGTATAACTCTTTTATGGTGGCTGCATGTGTCCGGCCAAAACAACTTTTTCTGTCTTCTGTGCATTTCTTGTGCAGCATACAGCGCTATTTACTGGCTTGGCATATACACTACATTGTTTTCAGTGGTTTTGTTTTGAGAGATGATAGAAGAACTCCTTTGTTTTTTAAGTTAAGTTTGGTGAAGTGGTCCCTGAATAAAAAAATGGAAATTGAAAATTTTTGGCCAAAATCGTGCAGCCCTAGTGCACTGTGAGCAAGTTGCTTCTAAGTGGACTTTTACAGGTCAGCTGATTGCAGATACAGCCTCTGATTGGTTGACGGACTGAAACAAATGTTTACCTTCTTCTAGCATTTTCAGCTGAAGTAAGAATGGCGCAGATTTGCTAAAACTTATCAAAATTTATTCTCAGATTTTGCATAAATCTTCACAGATTATTTTTGTATCTGAGGGTTGGGTGCAGTCAGTCTTTGGAAGTACTGTGATGTAGAGAAGACCATGGAAAAGCTGCTGAATGTCGCAGATACACAAAGTGTATCCCCTGAAAGCAGCCTGGCTCATGAATCAAGTGGATTTGACAGAGTTGCGGTATATTTTAAAATAATTTTTTAGAAACACAACAGTTACATGAAAATTGATGACAGCACTGACCCTCCAAACTATTGAGGTCAGAATAAACTCAAGATGAGTGTGTTAGGGCTTGTTTCGACCCAGTTGCAACACAGAGTTGTGACTTTCCACATACTAGTTATGGTTTATTAATCTGTTAAACTTGTGCAACAATCCAGTTCTTTAATAGGGTAAGTGTTTTCATGCTGCTTGTCTGATAAATTAATAGTTAAAACAGGAGAGATTACACATCAGATTTGTGAAACCGTGAAATGACCCTTTAATTCTCATGTTTCTTGGGACTACCACTAAGTAAACGTCATGATTTTCTAAATATAGCCTTGAATTCCTGTTTTCTGTGAAACTGGAGTCTGACTCTGGACTCGTCCAGAACCATGGGGTTTCCTGGTATGAAGGTCCAGGATGTGGTTCTAGGAACCCTAAAGGGTATCAGGAACTTTTGGGTGAGGTTGGCAGAGCTTCATGGCAGTCAGCAGCTCTTAACTGGTTCTTATTGTTATTAATGACTTTGTGAAAGTTTTTAAGTGAGTCACTGACTTCAGGCTGTTCCCAGATGTCCCAAATTTCCCAACATTAACAACAACTGGGAGAGATGAAGGTGAGGGTTGTAGACTCCTATAGACTCCTGTGGACCCCTGCTGTGTTCTTGGGATCACTGTGCATTTAGAGTATTTTCTTGCTTCTGCTGAAAGAGCAGAAGAAGAATCATGGGTCAGAGACACAACCCAGAATAAAGGTCTCTGTCTTGTGTTTGCAGAATTTCTGATTCAGTAATGGGACCCTGTTGAATTCTTAAGCCCTGAATACTCTCTCAAAGCATGTTGTACTTACATACCACACTGTGTTCACATGCCCCCCACCCCCCAGTTTGCACATTTGTAGACATGTGGATTACGTCAGTCAGGGATGAAATCTACATCACATGGGCTGTCCCTGCAGCAGGAAGTTTACATCTGGGTTAAAATTCTGTATATAGAGACGGAGAGCGCTGCACTAGAGTCAGAGAGGTTTATGTTTGCACTGACTTTCACGTACAAGGAAGAGAAACAGGAAGAAACATGATGTATTTTTTTACAACATACTAAACAGCCCTGCCCCCTACTCCCTGCAATTCCAGGAGGAGCTCACGCAGTCTTAAAGCACGTGTTTTCATTTTTTCAATGATCACTTTCAGATACCAGAAACTAGGACTTCAGTTGTGGGTCTCAGCAGGCTGCATTAGCACAGTGTTAATGGGAGGGGTAATGGCCCAAAGGGGATTCCTGTTTACCTGCCATGAACTGCTGCTGTCCCTGTATTCTCCTCTCCTAAGTTCTCTAGGGGTCCAGCCAAAGTCTATAAAAAAGTCCCTGGTGATACATGGCACAGAAAAACCGTTTCCATGGTCACACCTGTTTTTTTCTTTCTTGTTTTTCATGATGAGCTGTGAAGGATAAACAACACACATTTCAGAAATGACCAACAAGTTTCTAAACTTCTATTTCAAACCTGTTCGTAACTCCAACCCAAACTCCTGAAGAGTGCTGGAAACTGTGAAAATGAAAACAGTTGATTTTTCGCTACAATGATAGATGAATTAAAGACAAAAACATACACATTTTAGTATGGGAACCATTTAAGTGTTGGTCTGTGGTCAGTTGTTCTGGAGGTATTGACCAATCAGATATCAGCAGGCTTTGGTGTTTGCAGTAAACAGTCTGTAGACAGACTTTTTACAGAGAAACTGAGACTCTCCACAGACAGATGAACTGGAAGCCAGACTGAAACATCTGAGAGACTATTTACAGAGAAATTATCTTGTCTTGTCATTAATTAGATATGTCATGTAAAGGAGGAATTACTAGTGTATCTGTCAGTAACATTAGAAAACCCCAGCCTTTGTGCTAAAACCCTGGATCAACTTTAAGTCAGTTTGTACAAAATAAAACATGGAGCAGGAGTAAACGTTTGGTGTAACATCCCTGTGAGTTCAGGAGTTCAGAGGAAACACCAGCAGGGAACGTCCCTGGACCCTCCTCTGTGTTTGCACTCTTTACGTTACCTTATCAGACAAATGTCCTGCTTTGTGCCCAGGGTTTGTGTGAGGTGACAGAAGAGACACTTTCTCTGCCCGTGACTCTCCTGTGAGAGTTTGATGTAAGCCAGGTCTGCCATTTGTCCTGAGTGAGTGGAGGAGAGACGAGGGAAAAGGAAGGAAGGAAGAAGTCCGCAGAGGAGATTGTGAGGAGAGTTAGAGATGGACTGGGACAAGCGGCTTTGGAACAGCTGTTTCCTGTTTTCATCTCACTTTTCCAGCAGTTAGCATTTTGGTGGGATGGGAGGTGTGTGTGTGTGTGTGTGCGTTTTTGTGTGTTTGGGGTGTGGGGGTGTTGTTGGACATGGTTCCTCTGGTTTCTGTCCAGGTAATCAAAATCTGTCATACTTATTCTGAGGGGATTCCCATGAAATAGACTGTAGGAGCTCTGCAGGAGCCTTTCCACAGCATGACCTGGATCTTGGAGTACCTGGAACTGCTCTTGAGAGAACTGAAATGTTGCTTAGCATATTTTCATCAGTGTTTCTGTCGAAACTGCCAAGATTTCTGCAACAGTTGAAGTGAATTAGCAGCTAATGTATGAAAAAAATCTGGTTTGACTCAAAGCTGTGAAGTAAAGAAGCAAAAACAGTAATTCCATACATTTTAACACAAACATCTATACTTCTTGCTACATTCTTTTGCACTTTAACTCAAGAATTTGAGAAAAATAACTCTTGTTTCATGTCATACATGCGACTTTTGAACATCCAGTCCAATTTCTACCTAAATGGATGACTAGAGAAAATGATTGCTGGAGAATAAATGAATAAAATATTGAGGGGTGGAGAATTTTCTTTTGAAGGTCTTGGCAGCAGGACTCACGGTGGTTCAAACGTTGTAAATGTTAGAGAACATCGACCTGAAGACCTTTGAGGTTCATGAACCTCCTCTGTGACACCTTGCCCCCCGGATGCCTGAAGCTTCATCCTTGCGTCACTGTTTGCTCTGCAGGATCAGTCTGCTTCCTCAGCACTCTGCTCGCTCTGTTTATCTGAGCCTCCCATGCGACCTGGCCCGGCTGCTGTTTGTGTTTTTGCTGTGACCGGGCCCCCATGAGGCCCCCAGCCCAGGACAGGAGATAAGGGTCCCAAACATGGTATTACCGACATGTTGAGTCATCGCATGCTGGGGTCCTGCTGGGGCGGAAACTCAAATCAGAGGGTTTACTTTACTTTATGTTTGAGGTTTTCTGATAGAGCTTCAGTTTGGCTTCAGTGGACCGAAGTGTCTTCTGTTGATGCTTTTGCTCTTTACTCTGAGTTTCTGTATAAACAACTCTTTGCAACAGCAAAGAATCGTACACATTTAAAGCACACACTCCTGAAAGTTTCTGGAAATATTGAGGGTTTTTGAAAGGAAGGGCATGACACCAAAACAAGCTGAAAAGGTGAGGGTCTAATGTTCATAACATGATAGGAGACAAAGAGAGAGACAGCTATGATGACAGTTTTTGCATTGCTAAAGTTGTGATGAGAGTTTGGATGTGTTCACACATGCAGCCCAGCCTGACAACTGCAGAGGGATTCTGGGAGTTTTGTGCATGTGTGAATACAAAATCAGAACTTGACACCTAAAGAGCTCTTTATAACTTCAATGAAGACTAAATCTAGAGCCACAATAGTCCCAGTTAAAACATCCTGGCCGGGAAAGGGGGCAAAGACTCTACATACAGTGACTTTAATCCCCTCAGCAGTTTGAAGTCTTAAATCCTGGAGTTGTCATGCTGTAAACTTAACTTCCTGGTGGCCCTGTGGTTGTCGGGCACCATAAAACCTCAGCTTCCCTGTTTAGATTTCCAGCTGGGTAGAGTTACTGCTCCTCTTTCTCACCCTCATGTCTCGTAGTATTTTCTAATTCTTCACTTCCTCTTCTCCTCTGAATTTAAACCTTGTCTGGAGTTTCTTCCCTCTTTGCTTTGCTGTTTTTGTAGACCTACTATATCCTCTCCTCCTCAGCTCTGTGCCTGTATTTGCTTTCACATCACTTCCTCATCTGCTTGGATGTTACACTACACTATCTTGGCTTACTCTGCTGTCGTCTCTTGACCTGGTTGCTTTAATTAGCATGTAATCGGTGATATAAGAGCGTGAACTAGTTCTTTTCTTTGGGTTCTATTTCTCCTCCATTTATATCAGTGACTTTTAAACTTTGGTTTTGAGTTGCACTTTTGTCAACCAAGAATCAGGTCACAGTGACAGCAGAGAGACAGTGGAGCCGCTCTGCTGAGCCGAACTTACATAAACCAGAGAGTGAAGGCCGACTCGATAACGCCTGCAAAGTACAGCTGACACAATAAAGGGCATTGTGTGTGTTCTTTTCCATGCATTCATCCGAGAAGCTTTTTTTTTATCATGTTACAAGCTTCAGATACACCAAATTAGTGCTTTCACAACAAAAAACGGCTGTTCCTCAACCAAACAGGGTTCCAGACATCTGAAAGTAGATCTGAGCTGAAATTTCCACACAAGTCAGCCTGGGGACAAAGAGAGAGCTCAGGGAAATAAAATGTCTATTTTTATCCACCATCACTTCTCGATGATCTTTGAGAGGAGTTCCTGCGAAATGAGCTCATCCTCAAAACCTCAGACCAGGAGCCGGATCAGAAAACAAGAGTGAAAGATCTTGAACTACTCATCTGGATTCTGGTTTTTAACTGGTTTGTGTTTGTAGTTTTAGGGTTTTAAGGATGAGCTCATTTTGTCAGATCGCAACTTAAAGTCTTCAGAAAGATCATCTTCAGATACTTTGAGCATTCTTTCTTCCTGTGGTGTGTCTCTTTTGTTTCAAATTGAAGTTTAATAGTATCCAGGAACAACATCATTAATATGTTTGTCATACATTTTTTGCCAATTTTTCCCCAAAGATTCAAGTCACTCAGACGGGGAAGTCAAAGCAGAAAAGTAAGGAGAAAAGCTGAAGACAAATATCAATTACACCAAAGACACTCTTTTTTTTTTTTGCCTTTTTCCTTGGGACTTCTCCGTCCAAATCTTTTCTGCACTTACAGTTGAGGCCAAAATTATTAGCCCCCCCTATGAAATTTGAAGTTTTTTTCCAAAATTTCCGAAGTGCTGTTCAACAGAATAATGATTTTTTACACAGCTTTTCCAAACATCCTAGTTTTATTTTGGATCCTTACATTATTTTACTTTGCACACAGAAACAAAATTATTTCACAAAAACCAAAAACAGCACTTCGGAAATTTTGGAGAAAAACTCAAAATTTCAGAGGGGGGCTAATAATTTTGGCCTCAACTGTACATTTCTCTCTGCTCTATAAACCATGACACTGATGCTGTATTTAGTGTCTTATATAACAGTATGAAGAGCGGAGTTTACTGATCAAGTTCACATCTTATCTTATTGTTATTTGGAAGAGCTATTTATGGGAAAGGGGAGACTGGGAACAATGACTCAAACACACCCAGTCCTCTGTCTTTAGGAAGCAGCTAACAGCCATCACTGTGACGTCATGTCTCTTGTTTGGCCCTGACTGTTTTGTTAGAATTGAACTTTGCAGTAACACCCACCTGTGAAAACCTCTGCAGCACTCGGCGATGCTGTAGAGCAACAGTAAAAGCTCATATGAGTTGGCTAACATCACTTGTTTCTGAAAAATGACTCTGCTCATGCTCTTCAAACTCCTCGTTAGGACACCATATGTCTCCTAACCAGGTCTGTGCTGTCTGTCCTGTATGCACAACATTGGCTGTGTGTCATACACACAGTCCTGTACTAAAATTTGGGCCCTGCACTCCCCTCTCTGGGACTTCCAGGAAAGGTTGAGTGTTGTGCACACAGAGAAGTACCACTTTTTTTAAGATTCCGATCCATGCAAGTTTTTGCAGCTGACACCATTAACACGCTGTGGGAGAGTCTGAGTTTAGAGAATCAGCTGCAGAGATCAGAGCCTGAGTACTCTGTGTTCAAAGAGCTCCTCTTAAAGGTTTCTGTTTAGTTTCTCACTTCAGACCTCCTGTGCAACAACTGGAACATGCCAAAGTAAAACCAGTGAACAGAGGAGGTCTGAAGGTTACAGGTGAGATGAAGCACAAACCTCAGAGGGTTTTAAAGCGAGGTTGAGTGCGTTGTTGTGGTGGTCTTCCCCTCCTCCCTCTCTGAGCTGCTGGCAGCGATGGCAGCGATGGTGTTAGCGGTGGTGGATTTAAGGAGTGCGAGGTTTCCATGGAGCCTGAACAAAGCCATCTGGACTGAGGAATGTGGTTTGGGAACGCTCCCTGTTACATGCTGGAGGACCAGTGGTGTGGGTCCTGGTAAGAGCTGAGAGAGTGTGTGTATGTGTGTGTGTGTGTGCTCTTCTGAGCAGCTCTCTTGTTTCCAGGGATAAACAGAGGAGAGAAATTTCACCTCTCCTCACGGGTTCAGGGGGTCCGTTTGGTTTCATCACATGTCAGGAAACAGGATCCTGCTGTTTTTAAATCTGCCTTTTCCTCATGATAACTAGTGAAACAAACACTCACCTGTGAAACATTGATTTTAAATGTATTCAAATGAGGGCTGCAGGGAGGCCTTATGCCAAGACAGTCTCCACTGGATAGTTTTTACTCAGAGTTTGAGTTTACCTACACTGGAAGTTAATCATATTAACTGATTTTGTAAATACACCTGTGGATTCTTACAGACAGTGCGTGGTTGTTGAGTTTAGGACTTATTGCTGTTTCAGTTTCACCACATCAATAAGCTTCTTACAGTTTCATTTTTTTAGGGGTTAGGAAAGTCTCTGTCTCCTCCTTCATGCACCTCCTCTCTTTTATTAAACAGCTGACCCTCACACCTGCGGTAGAGATGTCTTCGTGGCGTGTTTTTCCTTTTTAGGATTACTTACCAAAGTCAAAAGCTTAAGCGAAGTCAGGGTTTGGCTTCTTCTCATCTAGACAAGTACAATTCAGTGAATTTTTTTAATGGTTCTAATTTTTTTAATTATATAGTTCATTCTTTTCAAATCCGAAAGGCTGTAACTGTTAAATATTTAAAGTTATCTTGTAAACAAATGACCCAAATAATACAGTTTTACTGTCTGTACAACACAAAATATTCATACCCACTGTCTTTAAATTAATTTCTTCATATTTTATATGAACAACCTGACAACCAATAAAAAGCATCATTGAGGGAGGTGTTAATTTTGTGTAAATCTGTAAAAAATCTGGTGCTTGGATATCAGTTTTAATACTGCTACCACTCAAAAGGTTTATGATGCAGCCAAATAAAAGCAAACAGAGAGTGTAGATGAAGCTTTCATCAAGTTCTCTTCTCTAATATTGTGAAAAATTACTAAAAGAAGTAAAAAAACGAAAAAGATGAAGAAGAAGTGGCAGAAATCAGGCTGCATAAACAGATGATGGTGAAAATAAAGGAGAGAGAGAGAGAGAGAGAGAGAGAGAGAGAGAGAGAGTGTGTGTGTGTGTGTGTGTGTGTGTGTGCTTCTCTTTGTTGTTCCATTAGCACCTTCAGTTTGATGCAAGGATTCTCATTGGTTGTTGGCTGATGAAACTTGAATTACTCAAATGTAGTGTTTTAATTTCATACAATAAATGTTCATAGAAATATTTACATAGAATTTTGACATTGATTTATTAAACTTATCAGGAAATTGTCCCAGTTTAATGAGGATAAGGACATACTATTGACAAAGCATTAAACCAGTGATACAGTTATTGACTAAATAAGGATATTTTTTTTCAAACAGTGCTTTTTTCAGACTGGAGTTGAAACTGATACTGAAGCATCTTCTTGACTTTTAGAAGCAAAGGAGACCAAGAGCAATATGGCAGACATTTTTTTAGTTGTATTTAGTTGTGTATGGTCAGTCACTTGCGCACTGATTCTGGAATAAAAAAAAGGTTGCAGTGAAGGCATGTTTGTTGTTCGTGGTTCGTGACTCAGGAGGTTTGTCAGCTGATCAGGTTCTGTTGGAAAATGAACAACATATTCTTTTTTATTTTGAAAATGGAAATGTCCCAGTCTTGCCTTGGATGTTTTTCTGGCCTCTGGAAAATGTCCCTATTTTCACCTCTGATACTTGCTGCTTCAAGTTTAGTTTTTCTGTTTTTCAATGCTTGTATGTAGTTTGATGTCTTTTTCACAGACTGTAAGTACACACACAGGCATATGTCAGTTTTCAAACACAAGGATAAAATGAGAGGAATTTAGCAACACAAAGTAACTGTGACCCCAGGAAAAGTTCCTGGCCATTACCCAAGAGTGCACACCCAAATGATGACACAGTCTCACTATAATCTCCCAATAATTTAACTTTAAGATAACTTTAGAAAAGGTCAAAGGTCAGGCTTTTTACACTGATAACTGACAGCATAAACCCCTGTATTTTGCGATTAACGTGATTGAATCGAGGCATCATGCGGTTTAAAGTACTCCACAAACACTCGGCTCTTCACTCAGCATCTCTGCAGGTTTCTGGACAGACTTGAGTGAAGCTGTTTGCTGTCTTATAAGAGGAGAAACCTGACTGTGATCTTTGCTTTCTCTACGGATCGACAGGACACTTCTAAGGAATAACGTGTGTTTTTACAGGACTGAATTTAACTCAGTGTAGTAAACAAATGGGAGGTCATTCACTTAACAGTAGGGTTGGGAATCGAGAATCGAGAATCGATGGGAATCGGGACTAAAACTTCGATTCTTCCGGTATCGTTCAAATATTAAAATTTCGATTCCAAGTTTCGATGCCAGAGTCCGCCGACCGGAAGAAATAGCCGCCGAAAATCAACGAAGAAGAAGCCGCTTAACACCAATGAGGACGGAGCGTATGAGACAAAGCCACACAGAGAGAGGAGAGAGACAGAGAGAGAAAGTACATTGCAACCCACAGCAATGCAGCCGCTGTGGGTTACAATGTAATCGCTCTCTGTCTCTCTCCTCTCTCTCTGTGGTTTCGTCTCATACGCTCCGTCCTCGTTGGTGTTCGGCAGCTTCTTCTTCGTTGGTCAAAAGTTTGGCTAACTTTAGCAGGAAGAATGAGCTCTTATCTCAATGCAACATTAGCAATACAGTTATATCATGCAAAGGAGGGTAAACGACCAACATGATTAAACACCTCAGGATTCATGGAGGAGAAATACCCGAGTGCTCGTCTTTGACGCGCTTCGCCGGTGTTGTGTCGTAGAATGCACCCCTGACGGGAGCGCGGTTGAAAGTACACAACAAGGCGAAACAATCCAATTTTCTTACCGTTGGACGGAATCTAAAGCGTGTGCCTTTAATGATTTCATTCAGGCTATTCAGATATGCCGAAAACAATAGCCCTCTGATTCGGAATATTTACTGTCCCGAAAATATTATGTTCTCTACATTAACAGCTTACTCTACAGTTTATACTTCCAAGTACACCTTTATGTGTGCATTTTTGAGACACATACAAACAAAACGAAAGTTTACTGCTCCATTTGACAGGTTTTCATGATATAATACCCTTGTTTTATTAAATATGAGATCATATTTCTTCCACTAAGAAGCTAATCAGTGGAGGGGAGGCATTCTACGGCAGGGGTGCATTCTACAGCACAACACCTGTCTTCCGCTAACCAGTCAGGATCAGATAAGTGAAACAATAAATGACTTCTGTCCTCTGCTAACTTTGAAACGGTAAAGAAATTGAACTGTGTACGGTGAGTAAACTTAAATAGCCACCTAACGTTAGCCCTTGTACTTTTTCATAGACAAACGACCTGAAAACAAAAATTGATATTTATATACTGGTTGAAAATAGCTCTGTGAGAAATTCATAGTAAAGTTCTTAAAAAGTTATTAGGATTTAAAAATTCATGGAGAAGTTCAGAAATTTCATCCAAAAAGAAGAGCCCCGGTTAGCACCCTCATTCAAACCATGCTTTTTTTTTTCTTTTTTCTTTTTGATATCCTGCCTTTTAAAAGAATCGAATTAGAGAATCGATAGGAATCGGAATCGAAATGAGGAATCGAAATTGGAATCGGAATCGTTCAAAATCAAACGATACCCAACCCTACTTAACAGTGTGGATTCTGTGGTAGTAGTAAGGAGCAGCAAACCAGAAGTTGAAGTGCCTATTTACGCCGTAATATGTGTGTTATTTAAGAGTCAAATCATGTGGCTTTGTTTTTATTTTTGACATCGTCCTTATTTCAAAATAACCCAGCAGAGATACTATGTTTATTTCTGTCCACAGTAGAGGTGTGGTTAAGTTAGTGGCAATCATTTAAGTTCAGATGTAAATAACTCCACATGCCATTAATCATCTGCAAACAAGCGGTTTGTTGGCGGTGGTTTGAAGCTGAGGTTTGGCTCTGTGGTGGCTGCTGTCTGAAGTTTCTTTCACACCTGAACTCCTGAAGGTTTCAGGACCTCCAGGTCTGATCAGGAATGATCAGTTCTGGTGACTGCTTCTGTGTTGATACAACTACAATATGTTATGAGGGATTTTATACATTTATTAATTTTAAAAGGAAGCTGCTGGTTTTCACTACATACTGCATATTTCCAGGTTTTCCTCTCCCTGAAGTGTTTCCAGGACTTCTCTCAGGAATGTATTGAGCCGTCAGTCACAGCAGCTTTTGTTTTAGGGGACAAACAGAACAGCGACCTGCTCTGTTTTTACTCGCCTATCAGGATGTTCAGACTGACAGCTTTTCCACCGGCAGAGAAAGCTTTCGATCATTGTCTGCTGTTTCCTCAAGAGTGTTTTCTAGTTAGTAAAGCAGGTGAAGAATATCCACAAACAAGTGAACAAGTTGATTATGTTGGCTTGGAAACTGTGAGGAGGACTTTAGAGAGTTTTTAACGGACTCCTAGATCCTTCATAGATCAGAGTGATTATTCACAGACTGTTAAGACATCTGTTATATGTGACAAAACTCCAGATATCTGAGGGGAAGCTCATTGCTTTTACATCTTTTAACTCTGCTTAAGTGTGTTAGTGACTGATGCAGGCAACCAGGAAGCAACAGATACACAAAACAAAGCACAGTGAATGACTGAAGAGTCAGATTTCTTATAACTGATCTGTGTCTGCACATGCAAAACAGAATTAATGAAAAGTGGTCTAAAAGAGTCTAACTTGTGGTTGTTTCCATCATTTCAAAAGAGATGAAGAGATTTGTATGATTATGCTGAAATGTGGAAACAAAAAAACAGACTAAAGATCCACCTCATCGACAATAGCAGGATGACTGAGGCAGCTGCTCCTTTGGTAAAACTGTCATGATTTCACTCTGCACTGGGATATGTCCTGCAGCAGTTACATTTCATGAAAAGTCACATGGTCTATAACAACAGCGTCTCTAAGGACTGTGTTGTTGACAAGAGTGTCGCTCTCCTCAAAAACCCTGGAGAGAGTAATCTTAAGTTCTCTGAAAAGAGCTGGACTCGGTGTCAGAAGCCATGGGAATCAGATCCATAATCCACTCAGTCCTGGAAAAACAAGCTCACAACATGTTTTCTTAGTGGTGCTCTGATAAATCTGGTCGTCAGTGGACATCCTGCTCACGAGGCTGAGACACAATGACATAACTGGAAAAATGTGTTCAGTCCCAGATTCAGAGCAAGATGGTTATAATTATAACTCATACCATGTCTTCAGAGGGTTTGAGGAGCTGAATGTCAGGAGAATCTCCTGATGTATTCCTGGATTTGGATGTTAACACACACACTGTAGGATTAAACCCTGCTTCAGTAAACTGGATATTTCAGTGTCAGAGTCATTTAGCGGCCGCAGCTTCAGAAAAGTGAGGAGGGGACAGAAATAGAAAGCGTCTCCAGATAATGAATAATTCATGTAAAGCACAAATAATGCAGAAAGTGTTCATCTGAGTGATTTATGTGTTCCTGTTTTTCTCCTACAGAGAGGAGGTTCAGGAGAACTGTGTCCGCTGGAGGAAGAGGTTCACCTTCGTGTCCAAGATGAGTGCCAACCCTCACACCGGAGTCCTGGATCCGTCTGTCTGCAGGGTGTCGGTCAGGAAGGTACGACTCCTGCTTTCCTCCACGTCTGCAGATGAAACTAAACCTTAGGGCTGAATTTATTTGAATATGCTTCATTTTTAAACAATTACTTGTGCATTTACTACGTCCCTAAAACAGAGACATTTTAAGAGACTTGCTGCTGCTGACCCAGACTGGAGTTAAGTTTTAGAGCGTTTTTACACCTGTAGTTTGTTTTGGGGTCAGAGGTTTCAACTCATGTGCTAGTTTGTAACTTTGCATTAATATCTCAAGTTTGGTTTATGTTCTCACAGGGACATTTACTAAAAATAATGTGTGATGCCAGAGAAAGGTGCTCTCTGAATGCCAAAATAGGCCAACAGATCCAGCGATGTTTTATATAATCTTTGAAGCTTCAGTCGTGTAGTCATAGAGTATGACAGAGTTTTTATGAATTTTGGGGGGATTTGGAGGACCTTCAGTCAGAGAATAGAAGGGGTTTAGAGTACGACACTGTAGGATGATGTGCTGTAAATGGCAGCAGATCAGTTTTTGAACCTGTGCTTCAAACGAGAGTTACGTATGTAAATGCGGTTCTATGAATCCTGGATGAGCGCCTTTCGCGAGAAGATCCTGCAGGAACAGATCCTCTAATGTCACCGGAAGATATAGACTGACTGGGTCATCAGGGGTCACACGTGACTTTGTTGGTATAAACACTCGACCTGCGCATGCACGAGATGGATCATTCAGTGCTTAAAGCACCGCCTCTAGTGGTCAGTAAGAATGAAATAGAAGCCCACTTTTAGGTTGTAACGTCTGTAGAGTCAGTGTTTGATGTTTTATTTAGACACTCACGCTGACACCATGCAGATCATTTTCTGCATCCTGAGTAAGAGCCCTTGATTTGTGTTTGTCTTGATATGCAATGGAAAATATTGTATTAGAATATATACTATTAGCATATTAAAGGAAACGATCTCTGTGGATTTTAAAAGTGAGTTGGTAAAACATATAACAAATGAAAGAGGACCTTGTATGGAGCCTTGTGGAACACCACATTATACTGCTGTTTGTGCAATTTGCTCTGTTCAAGCTGACAGAATGTTTTAGTTAAACAGGTCGATGTTAAAGCAGTCAGCACAGTTCCAGCAGTACATCATTATTGATTTTCATTCATTCATTCAGCCTTTATTGGTACTTGAGGGTTCATTTAGAGGTAACCTTCATTTACAATGATATCGAGTCAAATAACAGACAGCCGAAAGACAGTCCTCAAGCATTTCTAGAGAAAAGATTGAATTCTGGTTAGAGGCCACTGAAATGATCAAATATCATAAAATATCTACATGAATATACAAGAAGATAAAGAGCATGTGACATAAGATTGGGCATAAAAGATACTAAAACAGTTTTAAAAAACACTAATGATTTAAATAATCCAATAGAGGGTACACTTATGAAAACAGTGACAAACAGGCAGTCTTTTCAAGTTCAGATGGAACTGGAAGAACTTTTTAAAGAAACTACTTTCTGGAGCGTGTCTGATCAAAACAATCTGAGAAATAAAGATCAGGGAGATATAGTGGAGATGTTTTAATAAAAGATTAATTTTAGAAGAGGCTCCTGTGAATCTTGCTTCTCTCCTGCAGGGGGGACCACCCAACTTTCGAAGTTTAATATGGTGATGAGTTTTGTTGGAGTCACTGGTAATAAATCTCAGTGCAGTGGAGGGTGTGTGCAAGCAGATTGCATCACTATAGTCCAAAAGGGTCATAAAAACTTCCTCCACAACCCTCCGACTACAAAACATTATAAAGATTATTTTGTTCTTGTAGAAATCACCTTTTTTTGCCTTAGTCTACCTAAATGATTTCTTCTGCAGTTATACCTGTAATGACAGCTCTTCTGATGAACTCACCTTTGCAACACAATCAATGTGCTTTATCACCTGACCATTCTACCCAAAAAGGATTCATGAGTGATAAAGCAGCTGTTTGAAAAAGGATTCGACACCTTTAAGAAACACCTCTGAGTCTATACTTTGCTGGTTTAAACCTAAAAGTTTCTTCTTTTTGGTGTATAAGCTCTTCATCTAGAAACACGTGACAAAGACAAGTTTTTGAGCTGCATCTCTATGTTTTGTTCCACGAATGTCACAAAGTTTTGCGACACCTCCTCACATACCGGACACACTGCACACTCTGCAGAGGCTGTTGTTTGATTCATGCTGTATTTTTACAGTTTTGCATTATTAAATAGAGAAACAGTGGAACTGTTTGCAGAGGTTTGGAGACGTTCTCACAAACATGTGCTCAGGATATTTCAATGCTGAACTTCCCATGTAAGTGTTGCCTCAGTGCCATGCTCTGAGGAACCATGAGTGTGGTCTAAACCTGTAATTTGGACTCCCACGTTGGAGCCTGTAATTGAAGTTCTCTGTAATATAAAAATGGATCAGCTGGACCACTGTGTTCATCACTGTCTTCCTGTTTTCTCTGCAGGAACTCAAAGGAGGAAAAGCATATTCGAAGGTAAGAACCCAAGTCTCATAAACATATAAACACGCTGACAGGTGAGCTCAGTGTCTGTTCACCTTAAATACACCTTATGTAAATATAAGTGTTTCTTGCAGCACTCTGACGAGCTTGCTGTTTGCAGGGCATGACTGTAAAAGCCGCCTTTCTGACGCTTACTTTACTTGGAAACTGCAAAACATCCCCCCAACATTTTCCTGACTAGAAGTGAAGGAGCTCCTGAAGAATGAGTCACACATCTGTTGAATGAAACTACAAGGTCACATCTCACATCCAGAGAAACTACCTCTGAGCACGCTACTGCCAAACTCAAACCGTTTCCTCTGTTTTCCTCGTTTCTCTATTTAGATTTCCTATGGCTAAATTTACCCACTTCCCTCCTTAGAAGTTGGCTTCCTTAAACACACACCTATGAAAACAGGAGCTGCTTAAAGAAAGGGGAACCTGAAAACTAAAGAATGGGAACCTTTAGCCTGAGAGTGCTGCAGAGTCCATTTAAACCAACATTAGACAAAGGCGTGCTGCAGGCGAAGCTGTGAGGTTTGTTTTAGTGATTAAGGTCATAGAGGCAGAGTCCTTATCAGAGGAACCTCAGGCTGATTGTATATAGGTCAGGGCACAACTCAGACCTTTACAACTTCTGCAAAACTACCAATACAGGCTCCTTCAGATTTAGCCCATTAGAAGTTAGGTCTGATATAATCATTGTCAGTATAGTCAGAAACAGGATGGAATTATCACTCTAATTTTGGCCTCATTAGGCAGTTTCTTCTCTTTTATTCAAATGTTGATGTCCAACTTTGAAAAGGGATCCAGAGCAGAAATGCAAAAACCTGAAGTAACTTAAACTTAAATGTCCACTTGAGAGTATTAGTGAAGAACCTCAGAGGACAGTTAAAAAAGTGAAACACATTTGGATCATTTAAATCTGTGTGAAGAAAAATTGACATCAGAATTATCCCAGAAGACATGTGGCTCTGCATACACGTTAGAAAAGACCAACTAATGGGTTGGCCAAGTTAATGCCTCTCTGAAATAATCAGCAGCAGCCTGTCTGGACTTAAAATAATAATAATAATAATTTTAATTAACAAATAATGTTTGGGGTTACAATTGCAGCAAACTGATTTAAAAAACCTCTTTATTCCCACGACAGTGACTCTGTTACAGATGACAGGGTTTTTAAAATGATACTTGGATTGATTGTTGTGTAAGTCCTCATTGCTAAGGGGGGTTTCAATGTAACATTTGTTTTTGCATTTTTTTGCATGCATCTCAAAAAATGATATAAAGGTCAAAATAACAATGGATAAAATTGATAGAGGACATTTGTCTTTATTTGATATTTTTAATATACACATTCAGTATAAACAGTTTATATTAAGTTAAAAAAAACCTTATTTCATATTATGTATGGTATATCCTAAAACCTCCAACTAACCTCCAAGCCTCCAAAAGCACAACTGTCCCCTTAGAGCCACATGTTAAAATGTCCATTCTTACAGCAACATGGTATCCTTTTAAGAATACTGCAGTGTTATTACCATCTACAATAAACATTGAGGCTTATTTGCATAACGAAGGTGTAATTTTGTCCCTGATAAATAATGAATGCATAATGGCGCATTTTAAAGCAGCTGCAGAGAAGAACAAGTAGGAGCTTAGGGACGGTGTTTGTTGGTAGCAAAGTTTAAGGTGCATCTGACCCATTGTGTGAGCTGTGTTTAAGACAGTGTCTTTGTTAAGATCCCCCTGCTTTTTTTACCCTGTCATACACTCAGACTTCAGAGGCCTCTGATGATAAAGCTGAGAGCACTCTCTATGCGTTAAATATTGGGTGTTGCAAGGATCTGTCTTTTCTCAACACATGCCAAAATAAGTCCCAGTGAACCTTTCATCAGTGAGTCTGGATTTAACTTGTCCTCTCCTCTTGGCCCACAGCTGGGCTTCACAGACCTTAACATGGCGGAGTTTGCGGGTTCAGGCTCCACCGTGCGCTGCTGTTTGTTGGAGGGATACGACACCAAGAACACGCGGCAGGATAACTCCATACTGAAGGTGAGATTCCAGGTGTTCACTAAAGGATGAGAAGAGACTGAATTCATCTGCAGAAAAAAAAGGGAAATAAAGAAACAGGTTCCTGTTAAAACTGTCCAAGTCCCCAGCCTTAAACAAGAACATGAATGTGTTTAACTGTGAGGGTTTCATGGCCTGCAGTGAGTGTGATCATTAACTCCACCTCTCTGAACTCCGACCTTTGACCTCTCATTGATTGCTTCCACTCTACAGATTCAGTCAGTGTAGAGGGAAATAGCCAGCTGTCTCTTGTGATGTAAAACACTTTTTGCCAAACAGAAAATAAACTCAGTGTTGGAGGTCAATCTGCTGATGAAACAGTCGTTCGGTTAATCAGTCATATAAAAGTCATATAACTCATTGAAAAAATAAAATGGGAAATCCTCTGTAACTATCGACTGACTATTAGTGAGGAACCTCAGAGGACAGTTAAAAAAGTGAAACACATTTGGATCATTTAAATCTGTGTGAAGAAAAATTAACATCAGAATTATCCCAGAAGACATGTGGCTCTGCATACACGTTAGAAAAGACCAACTAATGGGTTGGCCAAGTTAATGCCTCTCTGAAATAATCAGCAGCAGCCTGTCTGGACTTATTTTTAAAAAAATAATAATTTTAATTAACAAATAATGTTTGGGGTTACAATTGCAGCAAACTGATTTTAAAAACCTCTTTATTCCCACGACCATGTCTCTGTTACAGATGACAGGGTTTTTAAAATGATACTTGGATTGATTGTTGTGTAAGTCCTCATTGCTACAAGAGCACTTTCAATGTAACATTTGTTTTTGCATTTTTTTGCATGCATCTCAAAAAATGATACAAAGGTCAAAATAACAATGGATAAAATTGATAGAGGACATTTGTCTTTATTTGATATTTTTAATATGCACATTCAGTATAAACAGTTTATATTAAGTTAAAAAAAAACCTTCTTTCATATTATGTATGGTATATCCTTGTTACTTATCCATGCTGACTGAAAATCTGCTGATTTAACATGCAGCTGAAATACTCTTAATGTTGAGGGGCTCTGCAGCTCCCCCTAGAGGCAGCAGACACAAACTGCTGTGTGAAGCGAAGAGCCAAAACAGTCATGAGGAGTTGAGTCATCTCCTTCTCGGACAGACTCAGACGTCAGAGAGACACTGGAGATTTACTCCAAAGTCCCTGCAGTAAATAATATTTTTATTCTTATTAAACGTCAACGGATAGGTTATTCAAAACACAATTAGTGAGAAAGTCGCAGAGATGAAGCTTGGCTCAAACAGTGTATCCTCCGGGTGAGCTAAGCGATCCCTGAACACCTATAGGCTGTATCATGTGTCAATCAAAGAAAACATGAAACCCCTAATAACTTTTAAAAACGGAGCTGCACAGAAAAAAGGAGGACTTGAGCACAAACCAGTCTTACTGTAACTACATGTCAACATCAAAAGCAGGGGGGAAAAAAGTGTATGTTCTATGTAATAAATTTCTAAAGTTTGTCCACAGCTTCATAAGCTTTGCTGGCAAAGGTGGGATTTATGACCTATACTGCAGCCCATCAACAGAGAGTGCTGTTCTTGGAGTGGCTTCATCCAGAGAGGAGGCAGACACTGTCAATTCTATATACAGTCTATGATTAGGACTCATTCAGGTCTTCGATTTTAGACTTATCTTGTAAGTGTGACAGTTAAAGAGAATATTTAGGTTCAGACAAGAGCAAATGATCGATGAACACAGAAAAATCCCCCAGTGTTTGGAGGATGTCTCCTCATGTCTTACCTGTGGACATCTTCCAACATTGACTCATGTATATTTGAGCACAAGCGTAAATCATTTCTTTCCTTCTCTTTCTTTCTAAAGGTGATCATCGGGATGACCCTCCTGTCTGGAGATCCGTGTTTTAAAACGTGAGGTTTTTTTTAAAAATATTATGTTAGAAAAGCTCTATTCTAATGTCAAACTGACTTCTTTATATATGTTGTGGCTAAAATGACAAACTAATAAATTTATTTCAAGGTGAAATGGATAAGAAGTTGCAGGGCCAGTTGATTAGACCTCAAAGTGTGAGGATCATTTTCTAACATTTTTAAACATTTACACAAGCTGAAATATTCCTTCTTTCACATTAAGTGGTTGTTTACGTGCAGACTTGATGATCCATGCATTATACAGAAACCAAATCAAACATGTAACCTACAGATGTATAACTTCGCTTTTTATGACAAATTTCTTCAACCTGCTTCTAGAAAGGTCAAGTGCAATGACCTGCAGTGGTTTATTTTTGGAGAAACATGTTGCAAATTCAACTTTGATTACTGTCCAGCATTACTGGTAGCATACTCATACCACTAGTGAAAGCACTCAAAACCAGAAGACATGATAACAGGTGTGCCCCAGGCCTGAACCTGACACTGTCATATCAGAGAGTGAACAGAGAAAAAAACAAACTGTGGAAACTCTATCTAACCTGAGTGTGCAGTGTTATCAGATTTATGTGGTTTGTTTGAAGTAAGTCCTGTTATTTCCTGGTGTCCTGCTCATTTTACCCTCTAACCTGATTGTTAAACTGTAATAATATTCCAGCTCCTCTGTCCTTTTGTTTCTGCAGTGACTCACTTTCTCTGCAGGCAGCTCCATAAATCTCCTCTGAGTGTGCCAAGCTAAGCAGAGCAGCCGCTCTGTGCTGCTCTAATCTGTTCCAGGCTGATAAGTTGTGTTGTTGTTTCTGTCCTGCAGGCCTCCCAGCACAGCCAAGTCCATCTCCATCCCCGGGCAAGAGCACACCCTGCAGCTGGACTGTAAGGGGGAGGGGACCGCTGAGCCAGGGCCTGCCGGGGGGGTTTCTTTGGGTCGGGCCGCCAAGCCTCGGCCCTCCATCATCAGCTCAGGTATGATTCTGGACTTAAGTTAAGACCAGCAGAGGAGACCTTTAGACTTTACCCGAGGCAACGGTTCTTACAGCATACTGAGGGAGTGAAAGGGAACAAACTGACAGGAAATTTAACTGCCTGCTGACCACACCACTGGATTAACAGTGATAATCAATCAATCAATCAATCAATCAATCATTCAATCAATCAATCAATCAATCAATCAATCAATCAATCAATCAATCAATCAATCAATCAATCAAAACAAACAGAATTTGTAAAACACCATACAAAATACGCTTTCCAGTTTATTAAAAACAGTCTCACGTCCTTTCACCCAACCACCCCACCCCCACAACCATACAACCAGCTTCAACAGTCACACACACACACACACACACACACACACACACACACACACACACACACACACACACACACACACACACACACACAATGTACAGATGAACCAGCTGAGAAAGTACCTGAAGTCCACTTGTTATTGACATAGAAATGACAGGTCAGTGCATAAAAGCTAAAAGTATCCCTTTAATATTACCTCACTGTACCTCTGTTGTCACAATCAGGAGTTATCCAGCAGTCTGCTGCTGAATGGGGCTAAACCCCTCAAATGTGGGCACACTTATCCTTATGTGTAGAGACGTTCTGGAGCCTTTCAGGCACAACTATTTCATTTATTAGAACAAGCTGCTTTTGCTAACTCAGTCCAGGGAGAAAACTCTGCTGTAAACTGTGAAACTGACCTTACAGCAGAGGAGATGCTGACAGCTCATCTCCTCCATCAGATGCAGAACAAAAGAAAACTGCACAGAGCTACAGGGCCTTGTGGGTTGGTTTGGTTTTGAATGTCATCAGTGCAGTTTGCTTTTTGGCATGGACTCTCAGGCAAATGATGCGCAATTTATTCATTTATTGTGCTAGTTATTGAACATTCTTCTCTCAGTGTGCTCTTTTTTGGAAAAGCTGGAAAGCATGTGATGCAAAAAGGAAGGAAAAATTAGGTATTTTGTGTCTGTAAACAAAGTTTGAATCAACTCTTTAAAATGTTAATCTTTAGTTTTATCGGAGCACAATACACATGATGAAGGTTTGTGGATGAAAAGCAGTGAAGCTCCTGGATACAGAGCCTGAGTTTAAAGCTTCTTTTCTGAGTCTTCAGTTATTTTTGAAAATCCAAAGTTTAGACTGAGAGCACATGAAGCATTCATCACTGCTTATTCTCAGTGTCCTGAAATGTCGAGGATGAATCTAACAAACAAAATATAAAGTTTAGAGAGAAGTCCTCTAAGAGATTTTCAAATCTTCTTTTTTAAAACCGACATGAAAACCAAGCCCAGTAAAATGAAGAGAAAAAGACAAAAGCTGAGGATCTGAAAACTTATGCTGACGTGGTCTTGACACTGAAGTCCAGATTTATAGAAGTTGGCCAACAGATCTCAGTCCAGATGTGTTTTAATTTGATCCAAGAGAAGTTGGATGAAGTTTAGAAAGATCTGTTCTTCATGCATTTCTTGCACATGGAAAACAAGCTGGTGATGATTCAGACGACTTTGGTCTGAATAATAAATTAAACCTGTTTTCTATTCTAACTTGGAGAACAACCTTAAACACTGAGGTCTTTGCAGCACCAGAGGAACTCGGTCCAAAACACCTTTTACATGTGAGGTAAAGAGCTGATTCTCAGCCAAGAGCTGTGAAGGTAGAAGAGTTTCTAAGGTTTTATTACAAACTACAGGTGGGAGTAAAACGTGGCTCACATCCAGCTGTGAGCAGAAACATAAAGGTTGTAAACTACAGAGTAAATGAGAAAAGATAGTGTCATTTCAATTCCTGTGAAACCAGTTTAAGAGATTTGAGATACTGCAGAGGCTCAAAAGTTTTATCATATGTTTTAACTTTTCACTTTCCTGTCGTCAGGTCTCCTTGAAGAATCTGAAGTGAATCAGTCCGGCTTTGCAGAGGTTTTCCAGTCTGGTCACTCTCGTAACTCCAGCTACGCCAGCCAGCACAGCAAAATATCAGGTACCACCTTTTTATTTCATCACATATATTTATTTTGTTAGTTTGTGCAAAAAAAAACCCCCAATGATATCAAACACATACGAACTGCACAGCTGGAGAGAAAGAAAAACCCAGGGCTTATCAAAGAAGCTGATGAACACTGAAATAAAAGCATCTGTAAAATCCTGTAACAAAAATTAAAAAAATTTAGATTTTCATGAAAATCTAAAACCAGAAAGAGACAACATGTAATAAACTGTACTTAAAAACAACAGCAGCAAAACAGCTCAATTTGTTACTGGACATTCACCTGCTCTGCTCCAGGAAGGTTATTTCCCATAATGAGGACTTCAGCTCTGTATTTTATTGATGCTGTAATTCTCTTAGACTTTCCTGGGATGTTTCCTGCCAATTAAAGCAGACATTGGTTCTTACTTGTTGTTTGCATAGGAAACCAAATGCTTCATATAAGTAAAAGAAATGCATTTACTGGAGAGTGGGTGTTTTAAGAGTAACTGTATTTTGTGTTTAGTCCTTAATTTACACTTTTTTTGTTGGCTTGTTTCAAAGTTTTCTCTAAAATTCAGATCAATGATACCTTTGAATCTTCTGTCCTCCGGTTTTGTTGAACTTTTTGGTTTCTTAGGGAGCATTAAAGAAAATAAAGGGATGTGTTTCTTTAGTTTCCTTAAATGCATTTCTTCTTTCATGCATTCTAAGTGCTTTTTTAATGAGTATGTATTTTTCTACCCTGATCCTGTGAGGTCTCATGTATCTCATCTACTTTTGCAGAACAAAGACACCCCTTTTTGTGGAGTGATAAAAGCTCACTTAAAGGAATAATGACCCTTCTGTTGTTGCAAAGATGCTGCAGATGAAAAACATCTGTATCTTCAATAAACCCTGCATCTTCAGCACATCTCACCTTCGTCATGTGCAGGTTCAGTGTCCATGCTAAGTGTTGCTCTTCCTCCTCTGATGCCCTTTACTCTTCATCCCTCTGCAGGCTACAGCACCGAGCACTCCTGCTCCTCCAGTCTGTCTGACCTCACTCACCGCAGGAACACCTCCACAGGTAGCAGCACCTCAGGGGGGCTGGGCTTCACTGCTGACATTTCCACAGAGGGAGACAAGGATGCTGGACGTCCAGAAAGACCTCCAAGACCCCCCAGGCCTGTCCTTCCTCCAAACAGGCCCCCCAGGTACACACAGACCACAGTCCCTGATGAAAGTGCGCTGGTCTCTTTGGATGATACTTAAACTCCTGCTGTCTGTGTTCTAGGAGGAAACAGGACTTGGTGGAGAATCACCCCTCCTGGGTGAATGACACCCGCATAGATGCTGACGACATCGTGGAGAAAATCGTCCAGAGCCAAAACTTTGCAGATATCAACAACACTGAAGGTACAGTGGAAGAGGAAAGGCCCCACATCGGCAGACAGAGACAGTCTATATAATGACTTTCTACATTTTAAAACAAAGAACATCAGGCACAGATCCAATCATTGTCATAAGGAAAATTACTGAATAGATAGAGGTGTTGATAATGCAGCCTTTCCAACACAGGATCTGGTTCGGTTCAGCACACTTGGTCCAGTTTGGTCCGGTAAACCCTGGTCTTGCACAACAGACTGAACCCTTTCCTGGTGCTAAATGCAGAAAGCCTGTTGGCTGTGTAATAGCCTTGAAACAGCTTGAGTTCTGGCGTGCATGTGGATAGACAGCCAGTGTGAGCAGCAAATCTCCCTTGTTTATGAGACAGCATGTTTTTAAAGAGGTGAACACTCTGACTCCGTCTTTGGACAGAACTCTCCTCAGATCTATTTCCTTGACTTTCATTGGCTCAAGTGTCTCCTGGTTTTTGTCAGCAGCTGCTAACCCGGTCTGTGTCTGTGTGTTTTTCAGATAGTAACCTGCGACTGTTCGTCAGCAGAGATGGAACCACTGCGCTCAGCGGCATCAGGCTTGGAAACAGGTGAGAGGACGTTCTCTGCTCCTCTGTCCCTCCCGTATTGTCTGATTTCCCCCTTTTTTCTGTCTGTCTGTGTCTCTATTTTCCTCTTTTTTTCTTCTGTTACTTTCACTTTTTCTTTTATTTGTTCTTTGAATTCTAACATCCCCTTTCATGTCAGTGGAAAGCCCTTTTTATTGGATTTTAAAAAGTGCTTAATAATGTTGAGTTAGTCCGACACTTACCACAACTATTTTTCTTGCTAGATCTATGCCTTTTATTGGAGGAAAATCATACACATATTGATAATGTATATAGAGTTCAAACTATGATACAGCTTATGCGTGACATCTTATTTATTGGATGTAGAGTAGATGATAAAAAATGACAGAAATACCTCAGAGGGTGAGAAAAATGCTTGTTTTCTTTCTCTCTTTGTCTTACCTGCTTGATTTCTGTCCTATTTTGTTGGATTCACTAAAGGACTGCAGAGCTTTTGCACCCATCAAACCCATGAAAAGGAACCAGTAAGATACAGTGTAATCCACAGAACACGCAGCATGAACAGAGCTGCAGAGCAAACTGCATCTCTCTATGTTAGTGTTGTTTAATACATTCGGAGCAAATTAGACTTTTTCTGTGCAGACGAGCCTCAATGCAAGTAACACCTGAATCACTGACACTGATGCTAAAAACCAGCTGAAGACAAATGTTTATCATCTGTTGAGATGTGGTGGTTATTAAAACAACAGTACAAGGAGGAAAAAAAAAACGTGTGTGTTTGTGTGTCTATGCAGGGTGTCTGCAGGTGGGTTCGAGCCTGTGGTGATAGAGATCCATTGAACAGAGACCAGCAGACTCTGAGGATCATCTTGTCTTCTGTCTCATTGGTTTTCCTGGAGCTTCAGCTGGTCTGGTGCCGTGAGGGGAGAACCTCATCCGTTTGCACTTTATACAAAGTTTGTGTCAGTCTGCCAGTCTGCACTCCGCTCTGATGTTTTTTTTTAGTTTTTTTTTTAGAAGCAATTCAGAGTGAAAAAACGCCCAACGCACAACTTTTATTTTCCCCTGATTGAAGATACTGACAACAAATTTACCCATGTGCCCCTGATCTGTTGGTTAATATGTGAACTCTGATTTTTATTGAACATCGAAGATCATCTGAAGTAAAAGGAACAAAGTGAAGCATCTAAAGACTCAAATTTGTGTATTTGGTTGATTATTTTTTGAGCATCAAATTTTTATTTAAATATTAATATGACACTAGCTGGATTATTTTGCGAGTTCTGTGTTTAAACCTCTGAATTTCTTCACGGTTCAAATGTACATCTTTTAATAGAAAGTCTTAATTTTGACCCGTGGGCTCCCACTGATGGGCAGCACACCTAACACTGAATGAGAAAAAGAGTTTGAAGCCACTGAGCAGTTGCGAAGGTGCAGAAACTCTGGATGGTTTTGTTTGAAGCTGCTCCCTGTTGATCGGGGAAATGCAGCAGAACCTCTTAGTGCCTGTAAAGTTTCTCTTAAATGAGCCGAAAACACCACAGAGTGCTGGTGACGGTGAGGAGGGAAATCTTGTCTTTCTGTTTGTTTTTTTCTGCTCTTAGTGCAGGTGGAGCTGATCTGAAAACCCCACTGTTCCTCCCAGCGTGCCTTGCTGCACTGAAGAGTGGAAATGATCAGATGATTTCAGCCTTTAGATGTTAGAATTAAAATGTGAGCTCAGCTGAAAACACTGGCTCTGTGGTACAAACTGTTCTGCTTTTACTTTCAGTCATAGTGATGGACGCATTAAAGGAATTTGTGCAGCAGCTGTGACTGTTACAATCTCTGTCGCCCCCTGGTGGAGCGTCCTGCTAGTATTTCTTTTCTGCAGAAGTCTGCGCTCTTCTTGGTTTTAGTTTGTTTTCAGATGAACAAACACCAAAGAGGCAGGAAAGGGGAAGTTTATGTCACTCTGACAAACACAGGAGAGGACTTTTTATGTCAGCAACCAGCTGGCTGGTTGTTGTTGTTTTTTTTTTTTGTTTAAGAGGCAAGTAGAAGCTCTGGATGGAGGGATGTTTGTCATGTAAAGAGTTTTGAAAACACACGTGTGTGTGTGTGTGTGTGTGTGTGTGTGTGTGTGTGTGTGTGTGTGTGTAAAACAGCCAAAAAGAGATGACGGCCCTTTTTTAGACACAGGACATTTAATTTTTGTAAAATGTTTGAGTTAAGTTACTAAATCAGGTTTTTTACTGCAAGATGAGTCCAGTAAATGCTCTGACTCAAAGTATGCAGGAAGTGGTAGTTACAATTTGAATCCAGGGAAACAACTCATAGTCCTACTTTCATCTAAACATGAGTACAATATTGAATTAGATTACGTTTATAGTCATATAGACTGAAAAAAAGCAGCATGTTGGTTTTTTGAGCTGCGTGATGATTAATAATGTATCAAACACAAACTGAGAGTATTTTTAGCTGTTTTTGCCTCTTCTACAAAAAGAAACCTGTTTTTATGAATCTGTGTTCTCCATTTGTTTTTCCTGTCTCATTGTCTCTTGTCTCTCTCTCACTATGCTGGCTGAATCCAGCTCTCTATATTAGTTGCACATCTTGTCTTTACACTACTCTGCCTTTGTGTTTAGTTTATGCGTCACCTGGTTTCTCACACACTTGGGGATGAACCACTGTCAGTTTGGTCTGAGTTTGGGTTTACGTCACCGCAGCCTTTAGTATTCTTTAAAGCATTTATTTATATTTTTGTTGTGTATTCTTTTTGTCAGGAGGTTTGCTATAAGCTACGCACACAATTCACCTCCTCCAGCTTTTTTCTATTAGTATATCTAACAAATAATTCTATTGTAACAAAGCTAGTATAACCTTAAATTAGAGGGTAAAGATGGAGCTTTTGGTCCAATAAACACTTTTGTGGTTTTTCTGCAGAAATGCCAATAAAAAATTAATCAAAGCTGCGTGTCCTGTTTCTATTTAAACATCTTTGTGAATTGCATTTATAATAAAGTGTTTTAGCCTACAGCAGGACAGAAGATAAATGTCTAAATAACAATCTAGACTTGAAGTGCAAAATTACTCTCAACATTAGTATCCAACAAGTGACTTCGGCTGCAGGAAAGGAAGATCTCTTACACCATCTTGATTGATACTTGAGGGACAGGATGACATTCCTGCAGGACAAAAGCCTTTCATCCTCTTGTCCTTTGGTCTCCTTTATGGTGGTTGAAAGGCTGGATGAAGAGCTCTTCTGCTTGGGAGTCCTCACAGATCATACAAGGGCGGATGTTGTCCTTAAACTAAGGTCTCTTACCCCTTCCTCTAGACCTTTTCCATGGCCTGGGATAGTCTGGATCTCCAAGAAACAGAACAGTAACTGCTGACTTTGTCTTAAACAATAATCTGCTCAACATCCTTGCTGATTGGCTTTTGGATGTTGAAGAACTGCAGACAGAGACAAAAACATGTTGGTCATTTCTCTGAGGATCAGATCAGATTTCAAGCAGCAAACTTAGAGGCCTGTGTCCACTGACAGTGTCCTTTATGCTGGAAAAGATGGAAAATTTAATTGTTTCATTTATATATAAATATGTATTTATATATTCATTCATGTGTCAGAAATTTTAATGAAAATGACTACCGTAAAACTTCTAATAGAGGCCCATTTAAAGGCAGTGTGATTTGACACATACAACAAATTATTGTCCAGGCCACTACTCTAAGTTTTGCGGGAAATTACCTCTTATGTAAAGCATCAGAAACACAAAATTATTCATTAAGTGTCAAGTTTAAATGACAATAGTAACATATTTCCAAACCTGATGCTCATTATTGATCAGCCTTTAACTTTGAATAAAACTACAGACATGAAAGTAAATGAAAGAGTTAACTGATATAACAGCCTTCTACATGTCAAGACAGAACTTCATATTCTTCATACCAACACACAACAGAAAATAACTGATGAAAACCATTATGTCCTGTCCTGATTATATTCAGACTGGTTTCGTCAGCTGGTGATCAAATCAAAACAAGACTGAGAGCTAAAGGGCATCTACTGCACTGAATAAAAAAGTTTTACCCAATATTTGGTTTTTTTACACTCAGCTCATCATTGTTTAGAAACCATCATGCTGGAAAATCTATGTCAGCGCTCCTTACTGTTTGAAGGTCCATCTTTTCTGCATCCAATCAATGAAACGCGTTTGATTTGAGGGTGTGTCTGTCAAAGATGTCTCTGGAGACTGCCCCTGTAACCTTGATTATTGCTCCTCTAAACTGCAATGAGGACCATGGGACACCACTTAGCAGGGCAGGTCAAAAACCATTTCCAATTAACTGGTGGACCAAGGAGACAGCATTTTAGAGGCGCAGAATCTAAGAAGTCGAGTCCAGTGTGAGGATTTTGAGGATTCCACATAATCATAGAGGGGCTGGGGCTCCTTTACACAATATAGAAATTAATATTAAATAAAAAATAAAATAAAAAAACCCAAAAAACAAGTACAAATAAAAAGCTAACTACTTAGCTATGTTTCCTGTGTAGGTGAAAGTGACATGCAATTGACATTTCTTTTGTGTCAACAAATTATTGTCAACATGACATGAATCAAGTTTAAATACAGATGGTAATATTTCAAACACAGATAACCTACAGCCTATATCCTAAGAATGCTGAAATTATATTATGATTTTTATATTAACATATATATATATACATACATATATATATATATATATATATATATATATATATATATATATATATATATATATATATGTATATACAGTACAGGCCAAAAAATTGGACACACCTTATTCAATGTCTTTTCTTTATTTTTTATATGACTATTTACATTGTAGATTATCACTTAAGGCATTAAAACTATGAATGAACACATGGAATTTTGTACTTATAAAAAAAGTGTGAAATAACTGAAAACATGTTTTATATTCTATTTTTGTTTTTTAAATAGCCAGCCTTTGCTCTTGATGACAGAAGTACGTAGTAACCCTGATAAGGCACACCTGTGAAGTAAAAACCATTTCAGGTGACTATCTCATGAAGCTCATTGAGAGAACAACAAAAATTTGCAGCGCTATCAAAAAAGCAAAGGGTGGCTACTTTGAGGAATCTAAAATATAATACATGTTTTCAGTTATTTCACACTTTTTTCTTAAAGACATGATTCCACATGTGTTCATTCATAGTTTTGAGAATCTACAATTTAAATAGTAATGAAAACAAAGAAAATGCATTGAATGAGAGGGTGTGTCCAAACTTTTGGTCTGTACTGTATATATATATACATATATATATATATAAAGGGCTACTTTTTGATGATTTAATAGACTCTCCTTCAAGCAGCTGGTGTATCGTGAAAAGTCCTTTGTCTATCCATACTTTGAACCCAGAGTCCAGTTTGCTTAGTTTAAACTCTTCTTCTTATCTATTCCGTCAGCCCGCCCCAGGGCAGCTGTGACTACTAAGGTAGTTTACCACCACCAAAGTGTGACTGTGTGAGTGAATGAATGTATCCAATGTAAAGCACTTTGAGGGTCTCTGATAAAGCGCTATATGAAATCTGATGCATTATTATTATTATTATTATTATTATTATTATTATTATTATTATTATTATTATTATTATTGTTAATATTCTGGTGGCTCTTGATATTGATAAAGACATCTTACATTTTTTCCTCACCAAAGACCAGACTTTGTAAGTACAACTCATACATTCCTTATTCAATTCAAGATTATTCCACTTTTTAAGCTCCAGAGAGGGTAATGACTCAAGAGGAACCCTTGGATATGAGTTTCTTTCCAGGTCTAGCCAGTTTGTATCGTTATCCTGCTTTATCCACTCAACCATTCCGTTCAGCTGTGCCGCCCAATAATAATTTCTCAGGTTTGGGAGATTGAGTTCTCCTTGATCTTTTGGGTAACTTGGCATTTTCCATTTGATCCTCGGTTTCCTCTTTTGCCATATAAATGTATACATCATTTTATCTAGTGATTTAAACAATGAGTCAGGAATCCAGACAGGTAATGCCTGGAAAAGAGACAACAGCCTGGGTAGAATATTCATCCTGATCGTTTCGATCCTGCCAAACAATGAAAGTGGGAGAATCTCCCAGCGTGCCAGATCAGATTTTATTTGGTCTATTAATCTACCATAATTTGCTTTATATAGTTTAGAAGTGTCTGGTGTTAACTTAATCCCTAAGTATCTAAAACCCTGGGGTGACCAATTAAATGCGACCTTCCCCGCCAATTGGGGTGGGAACTCCCCGACCAGCATCATTGCTTCCGATTTAGATTCACTGACTTTGTATCCTGACACTATACCAAACTTGCCTAAACAGTCCATAATCATTGGGATTGACTCCAAGGGATTACTTACGCATAGAATGTCATCATCTGCATATAGTGATATGACATGTGGCTTGCAGCTGTTTGATATTCCAGATATACTCGGATTTCCCCTTATTAACTCTGCTAAAACCTCTATACCTATCGCAAAGAGCAACGGGGATAGTAGGCATCCCTGCCTTGTCTCTCTCCTCAGCTTAAATTGGTCAGATGTATAGCCATAAATTCAAACCAACTAAGAGTACAGAACTCTGATCCAATCAATGAAATTTGAATGAAATCCCATTTTATCCAATGCATGTTCCAAGTATTGCAAATCTAGTCTGTCAAAGGCTTTCTCCGCATCTAGACTCAGGAGCATAGATGTATAAGAGGATATCGTTTGTTTTTTTTGTCTAGGTAAGACGAACAAATGATCCAGCTATAGCACAGTGGTCATTCAGATAACTTACTGTCCTCCTAGACGCAACAATGTCAATTATTCTACTTGGCTGTCCTTGCACACGATGGACTTGACATTGTCAAGATTCAGCCTGCTGTTCTTTCTTTTTCCACGTCGAGTCTTCCAAGTGGTCGGTATCAGTTCCCTTTCGACTTGGTCTCGTTCATCCATGTCCACTTCAACTCCAAGGTCCTTCAGTGTTGCTTGTGCATCCAGCAGAGAGGGGAAGATCTTGTCTCCAGAGTCCAGAGTTATCTTTATTTGGGCAGGGTAGATTGTGCGGGCTTTGATGTTCTTATCTTTCAACTTTTTAATCACTTCCCACACAGCTTTCCTCTTTTTCTGGAGACTTTGTGAATAGTCATGATCGAAGAGTAGTATTTTAGTATTTAGGATTTTGTTAATTAATTGCATCAATGTGTTCAGTAGAGTCTTGTGGTTCTCACAAGTTCCTTATCATGAATGTAGCTGTTACAGAGGATGAGCATCAGGGCAAAGTCTGGGATTTTGTTTCTCAGCTTCAAGCCTCCTTTCTCCTGCCGTAGTGATGTATCTACGGTCCCCATGGCAACCAATTAGTGCACCTGGAGACACACAGCTGACTGGAAAGCTGCTTCTAACGGCGATAAGGCCAGGCTCAGCACACAACAAAACATGAACCCCCTAATGACTTTTAAAAACGGAGCTGTACAGAAAAAAAAGGACTTGGGCACAAACCAGTCTTACTGTAACTATATGTCAACACCACAACCAGGGAGGAGAAAAATTTATGTTCTGTGTAATAAATTTCTAAAGTTTGTCCACAGTCACATAAGCTTTGCTGGCGGAGGCGGGATTTATGACCTGTACTGCAGCCCACCATCAGAGGGTGCTGTTCTCGGAGTGGCTTCACCCAGCGAGGAGGCAGACTCTGTCCATCTTATATACAGTCTATGGTGAAAACAGGTCTCGGCTGTGTTAAACCCACTCCACGCCCTCTCTCCTCCCTCGCTACGACTTACGCCTCTTGGAGGAGCTTAGATAGGGAGGGGGGATACTTACGCTGGAACGCCTTGTCGGTGCGGCGGACCTGACTTATGCCGCGCCTGAGGCACGTCTCCGGCGAGGCACGAAAATAGAGTCCCAAGTGTGATGACAT